ACTAAGGGAGAAGTTAAATAGTAAATGGCAAGAACACTTTTTCTGCAACACCAAAATATATAATCCAATAGAAAAATCTTTTTGGGAACAAAAGAAAGATATTTCAAAAAATACGAGGATTCTTTCCATTTTCCAAAGGATTGATTGCCCCTCCAGTAAACGTGCATTGCGTATATGAAATGTTTGGACACTGGGTAGGCCCTAAAGATGTACGTACATACGATATACTTCTTTGACAAACGAAATATATCTGTAAGAATCCAAATTTACGGGAAGAATGCAAATTATTTTTTTTTCCCTGAAATATATAATTTTTTTGTAATGTCACTATTAACTAGACTATTTTTTATGGTTTGGTCAATACATTTTTTACTTCAAGATGTTGAATGCCTAAAACTAACTTAATAAAAACGAGGGAAATACGTAGGTTCGAATTGAAGTTCTTGAAGTGTATAAAATTAAATTAATTTCCGTCAAGATTTTTACGGCTATATTCGATTTCGTACCGAAAAAAGTGTTAATTAAAAAATTAACTTTTTTTAATGTAATAATGAAATTTTAGAATGTAATAATGTAAAAAAACTTAACTCAAATTTCCTTTTTTAAATTTATCTTTATTGTGAGCTAAGTCTGTCTTAATTAATAATTAAGTTTCTAATCGTTGAACAGCCAGTCAAATTATCTAATTAGAAGGAATGCAATATGAATTCGTGTTGGCTTTAAAGGAATATAGGAATATTTGTACTAATGTTATTTTAATACCCTCATTAGCCTTGATGGCAGATACACTAAACACACTAAAACCAGTTTTTCGTATTTGTTTAAACCATGATTTTTTTTCAGCCCCAGATACCGCGATAGCAACGCTTACTGGATTGGTGCCTCTGATAAAACACACGAAAGCGATTTTCGATGGTCAGATGGACTCACTTTTTCCTATACGAGTAAGTTTGAGCTTTATTTCACTAGCTATTGAAGAAATCAGAGCCTTAATAGAATTCAGAAACATAATGGAAATCCCCTTCAATTACTACCAGAAGTTATTCAATGTTTCCCAGTTCTTTATGCTGATCAGGAACCTCTTCAAATTTGATTGGAAGCTTTATAGTTTGGAAACAATGCAGCATTCACTAATGATTCCTAAGACCCAAAGTCAGTTTTCCCGCAGTCTAAAATGCTTTTTTAATTGTATCCACTAAGATTTTGCTCTTAATTGTGGAAAATAAATTTCCCTATAGCAAGAGTGCACAATTTAAGGTTTCCTTAAGGAAGATGAGTTGATTAATTTATTTTTCTTACTACTACTACTTACTATACAGACTTGCGTGGGTATACAGAGTGTTCCGTAAATATGTTAAAATATTCTAACAGCGTGTTCTTCTAGTCATTTAAGAAGGGGGTCTTTCTGATGATCTTTTTAATTTGATGTTTCGTTGCTGAGTTATTTGATTTCCAAACTGGCGGAAAATATTAGTTTTTGTTGTTTTCCTTTAACACGGTTAAACATAGAAACTTCAAATTTAGTATACATAATAAGCTAATTGAGTGCCATTTTATGATAGTGTTTCGTGGTTGAGTTTGCTTTTATACAGGGTAGAAATGTAGAACCCCTACTTTTGTTTGGTTCAGAACTTTTTTATGTGCACTTAAACTTTTCTCGACATAATCTTGTTAATTACTACAAGCTATTTACCAATTTTTTATCTCTTATTGTTTTTTCCTAAGACCACTAGTTTACCCGCAAAAAATAAAATCATTTTCGTTGCCGTTCTCAAAATCTGTAAGTAATTAAGTTATTTTTTTAAATCTAATAACGTTTTCATATAAGAATTTTGGTGCTCATTATTAGTTGATTACTAACAACTTAAATTATTTTTCTAAAGTGTGTATTTCGGTTCAGATTACAATTATTAAGTTTGAATAAATGTTACTTAAATAAAAACATGGTAACAATATGCACAACGATATAAACAAGCAAAATTAAATTTAAATAACCATTCTAATGTTAACTTAGCAGCAGTCTTTTAATGAAATTAAAATTTACAGACCGTAAAGTTTGCAATGAAGTTCTTATTTCGTTAGAAATATTAAATATTCTTTCCTAAACTTATTCGATTGTATTCACTTCTGTTGAATAAACCGTATTTCTTAAATGGCCCCAGAAATAAAAAAAACGAGCGAATGAAAATATGTATCACAATAATCCATTTTTTTTTCTGCTTCTCTTAATACAGACTGTAGGAGGACATCACTTGCATATTGTTATAAAACCGCAAGTTTTACAGTTTTACAAAAATAATTGACCAATTTAAATAGTAGTTGGTAGACTTTTTGGGGGCTGAAGGTTTTTGAATACGAAAAATTAGATCGAAAACTCGAATTTATTTTCTAGTTGCAGACTCTCAACAAATAAAACATTCGCTCCTTTTTGAAAATTTCGTGTTCTTCGGTGTTCAGTCTTCGGTTCTTCGTGATCAACTCCAGAATATATTCTAAGGTTTGATTTTTGAAACTTAACATCAAAAAGCAAAACGTTTTTCGACTGTTGGATAAAAGTATAATAAAAAACTTGTTTATATGAAGAAATTATCATCGGTTTGGTGTGTAGAATGTGGCTAATAGAAAGTGGAAGGTGTTGACTTGAACTGCAATAAATAGCGTTAACGGGGAGGTAAATATTTTTCCTGAAAACCTTTTCATAACTATAGCTATTTTGAGGTACTTGAAACCCTCTTCAACATCTTCTTTTCAAATGCTACCCTATGGCTTATGACCTCGCCTTGAAAACCCAGTGGAAAAAATCCATCGATCTTCTCAAATGTTAGTTTTCAGTAAAGTTAAGGGCTAGATAAAATTAAAACGCAAATGCATAGTTTAATTTATTTTCAACGTAACAATTGCTTAAAATCTGTACAATTCACTCACTTGCTAGCATCATCCCAGTCAGTGGTTTATTTCGTTCTTTTCATGATTCAGCATTTCCGGTGTTATCTTATTTATGTCCTCTTGTCCTGTCCTCTGGGTGGTTATGTTCTTCGATTTTTAAATAACCTTCTTAAAACTTAGTTTGAAGATGTCCCCATAAAAAGAGATCAAGAAGTTTCAGGTTGCAGTTTTATGTTTAAAAACAAGGATGTTTTAGCGCAAAAGCATGCGAAAGTCCCCCAAAATTCCCTTATAAGAAGGCTCGCTTTTGTGGACATCCCCCTACTGGTTTCAAGAGTTTTTGACAATGGCTTGTTTTCAGGTTTATGACACTTGTTAGAACTAACATCTATTATATGGAAAAGATGGTTCAGTGTGGAGATTTCACGACACTTTGTATATCAAATATTTGCAAAATCTATGCAAAATATGCCCAAAAAGCTGAATCATTTTTCTATGATTTTATGATTAATTCGTAGAAATAGCGCAAAGAGACTTCGGTTAAAATATCGTATAAATATGGAATAAAACTGAAAGTTAAACTCTCAAGGGTGTGATTACAAACAAATTACGATAAGCGTTAGATATTTATACAAAACAATAGCACTAATTACACGCATGTTATGTTAAAAAGTAGAACACAACTTACGTGATGTTTTCGCCACATTGACCTGATACGAACCAATATTGACTAAATAGAATAAAATAAATAAATTGCACTTAATGGAATCAATCTGATTTAGCGGTTTTTATATTTTGAAATTGAGGAAAAAACGTCTGGGTTGTAGAAAATTAAATAGGACCAAATCCTTCAATTCCAATTTCTCCAAAAAGTCGAGTTTTTTCCTTTTTGGACTCTCTTGTAAAATGTCATTTTTTTCTGATCCTGGAAATGAGTTCTATAAAAATAATTATGAAATGTTGCTTTACTTTTAAAGAGAAAATGAGAGAGAATTAATGGCTCTTTTACTCCTTATCGATTTCAATACTGATTGAATCAGATATCCAGAATTATCTAGGCTAGACCCGATCGATTAGTGTGTTTGCTCTGGAAAAGTATCGTTTCCAAAACTATTAGTAAGCTTTTATCGCAGTTACCTAACACCACTTACAAGCCTTTTAAAACGCCCAAACAGAACATCCACTATTATATCGCTCTGTCCGGTTCAGCTTTCTTTTGCAATGGGAAAGTTCAGGTGGAACAATAAAGTTTCATCCACATTTACCTGGCGTAAATAATAAGAGCAAAGTATAGACCATACGTAAACCATCTACATTAAATAATGAAAACCTCTAAAGTTCACGGGTTGCAAATTAATTTTATTTCATGTGTGATAAGGACTCAACTCAAAAGTCTTGATGATGGCTGCAATATAGCTGAAACGTTACCCTAAGAAAACACGCAGACTGTGATTTCCAATATTATCGTTAAACCTTTTCTCCATCATCTTTGTGATCACAAACTCTCAAAAATACATTTTTCCAGAAAACAAATATTTTCATTCTTTGTAACAAGGTTTTGTAACAGATATAATAATACATTAATATAATTTTTGACTAATGATATTTAAGTTTACAGTTCAGAAATATGCAGTTCTAAATAAGAAGTTGTAATGTTCCCATGTTCGTGCGATAAATTAAGTGATTATATGAAGTCCATGTTACAATATTTCACACAACATTTCTGTTCAATGTGACTCTAAATGCGAGAGATTTATATGAAAATATGGTTTTAATTCAGGAAAAGCGTACTGTTTAAAACTAATTTTTAATTAAATTTGAATGAAAAAGAAGGTTTTAAAATATGTGGAACATTTTTTACAACATTTTCTCTTGTTTTCGATAAGCTTGAAATCAGAATATTGAAATCGTAATCGAAACAACACAGAACACACACGAAACTTTTTTATTACATTTTTCCTACTCAATGATCGAATTCGATTAAGATGAACAATTTTTTCGCGATTTGTAGAATTTGTTTCAATGAAAAAAGAAATGACAGGGATCAAAAATTAGACGATTTGTGTTTATGTTGGCTTTGCTGCGAATCTCAGAAACCATTGAGTAAATTGCACAAATTTGTGCCAAAACACTAACTAAAGTTACCTGAAGAACCAATCTCATTTCGCTGCAGATCTCCTCATAATTAAGTAACACTATTATGCCATTTCACCTACGGGAAGGCCTGATTTCCATTTTCTTTGTCAATAAAACGAAAAATAAAATGTTGAAACATGGGACCAGGATAAAGGTAACACCGAATAAAAAACTCTCTAATTCAATGAATAGATTACTATTTTTTAACTACACGTATATGTCATGATCAGGTTGTTAACGTTATAATTTTGCAGGTTTGTGAATTACATTTTTAATGGAAGAATAGATTAATAACGAAAACGTTCACCTGCTTTTACGTAGCAGTTAGTTTAGAATTAAACTGACACTGTTGATTATTTTGAAATGCATTTATTTTTGGCAGAATTCATGAGCTAAATTATTTTGAGCGTATAACAACATTATTTAATTGAATGCAATTCGTAACCAATTGAACCGAATTGGCCTATATGTAATCCTATGCAGGTATTAGTTTGTGTTCGATTTAGTTCAAACATTTAGCAGCTGCTCATTTCGCAGCTGGAACAACCGAAATCCAGTTTTATAGTTACACTAATTACAATTTGATCAACGGAAAATTTTGTTGAAAACTGAAGAAACGCTGCTTAGAAAAATGTGAATAAACACATCAAATAGTATACTTTAGTTTTAGTAGGTAGATGAACAATAACAAGAAAATCAGAATAATGAATTTATTACTTTTAATACAAGCAAATAAGGGGCAAATATCTGGTAAAATGAAAAATAAAGAGTCGAATTTGCGGCTTTTGAAGCGAACCGGGGGAGATTTTGCGGATGCCTTCGAAATGTTAACGGCCGCAGAAAAGATGTAATAGAATCAACTTAAACTGAAAATTGTTTAATATTACCAAAAATGGGTGGCGTATATACGCGGCTGAAACATTATTAAATTAAATTAGATATTTGGCATTTTTTCTTTTCTGCTTTTACAGGGGTGAAAGTTGATCTTCGCACTTGTCGTTTTTTCAAAATTGGTATTGTTGAAATAACAAGGTGTTTCGACTCTATGAGATCTCGAGAAGTCGAAGTCATCCAAACGAGCCAAGTCAAATATTTAACTTATAATTAGAAAGCCGATTTGCCGGGAGTTATAATGATGATGTAAAAATAGTTAAAATAAACACACAAAAATATTCCTGTTAGTGTGCTTGTTAAGACGAAAGTTTCAGTAAATTAAGACTTCTTGAACTAGTTTTCACTTACAAAATTACTAGCAGTTAAGTAAAGTTAATCACCTCTGAAGTAGAAGAGTTGGAATGGACCTAAATGATGTTTTACATTTCTATTAATGAGGGTCATTTTAGTTTATAGAGACACTTTAGATAAAAACTTTTTGCAACAAATGCCTTTAATTAGACAATAATAGTTTTGTTATATTGGTTTACTACGATTTTATAATTTTCATTATTTTGGTATAAAATGCTACTCGTGTAATTTTTCTACCACAATTTCTCCTAGTAATATATAGAACAGTCGGTTGTATTACTACAAGTGGTTGGAAGTTTCAAATAATTTGCGTGAAAGTCTGTTACTTGCCACTACACGAATTCGAGGAGTAAATGCAATTAGTGCCATCAGCTTTAATGAAAATTATGAGTTTAATTTGTAAGGATGAACGGTATTTAAAGAGGATATTGCTCAAGAGCAGAGCAATGTTTTAAACAGCTTCTTCTATACTTGTATCGATTGTGCCTTTATCAATTCCACTAAGCCGATTATTTTTACTTTCCGGCTACGTGCTCCGATCCTCCACTTTACAGTAGAATATAAATGCAAACTAATTTGTATTTTCAATACAAAAATGAAAAAGTCGGAGATATTTTACAGCATCCTCTTCTATATACCCCAATATTTACCATAAGTATTCTTCTTGTAAAAGATAAGAATTTTGTATTCGTCGTTGGTGAAACCTGCGAATACAGAAGGATATGAAACGCATTTTTAAATTATTCAGTTGAAAGCACTTTTTGAATGCACATCTAATATCAGAAAAAATCACATTGTCGGTGAATAAGAGGAACGTATGTCAGTAGATTTTATTCAAATTGTTTTTTTTTCACAATTTTCAAAAATTGATAGCAACTGGAATCAGTTCATTTGGTGCAGTAACCAGAGAAAAATGCTAGTTGGTCAGATAAGAAAAAAGCGTGAAACAATAGGGCAGATGTTTGTTACAACCAGAGGAATTTATGTCTGAACCTTCGACTACTCCTCCTGAAAAATGTGAACCGAACAGCTTTCGACTTACATATCAGCAAGCTGAAAAAAATAATTTTCAACCAATAAAAAGCTGTTTTTAACGATTTTACTTCACGTCAAATGCTGCTTATAATGTGGAAGACACTTGATGAGGTCAAGTTAATATAAACCATACTCTAGTAGCTGTTGAAGACGTTGTTCGAAATAATGTGCTTCATGTGTAGGAATTCTATAGTCAAACATACGAAATGTTAGGAAATAAAAAGAATAAAGGAAGAGTTAAATTTCTAAATTATATAAAATTTAAGCCCAAGGACAGCAAACTAAAAATGCGTTGTTGTTCTTGTTAACTTTATGGCTGTTAATGGTTTATGTAATCTGGTCATAAAACCCACTTCATACTACACAAGGAGTTACAGATATGTGGCAAAAAAGCTTTCAACCAAGCATTTTGGATAAAAATACGAGCAATAAAAACGTATATTTAGTCTTCTTATATACTTCATTCATATTATATGAAGCATTGAAATCCAGTTTTGCTTGTTAGTTTGCATAACAAACGCCCAAATACTGCCATTCATCATTCCTGAGCAAATAGCTGTATGTTATCAATATATGGAAATGTGGATAAAGCAGTAACTTACGAAAGTAGCTACAGTTGCTCGAAGATGCATAAAATTTGTGATGAAGGAAAATAAAACATAGTTTAGTTTACCGTTGTATAGAAAGTGTAGTGAGTGGTTTTGGTAAAAAGTCCTTTGGGACAATTATAAAGAGAAATGAATTTAAAATTTTGTCAGACTCAAATATGAGCAGTTAAGGGTGAAATTCTGTGAGTTTTTTATATAAATTCTACCATAAAGTATTGTACCAAACTTAAAAATAAACGATGCTTTAAGTCGGCACATAATGTATTGCCTTGTGAAATTTTGGTTGAATAATCGAATCCCAGATTAAAAACTTTATTGTCATTCTAACGTAACTTCAACTCACAACAAACAGCAATTCGATAAATGTATTTTTGTTCAATTATTATCAAAACAACATAGAAATTTTTAGGAGTGCATTTTTATCCAAAACGTCAATTATTTATTTATTGTACTGCACCGTAAATGAGCCTCGGAAACAAATACGTTATACACAAAGTTCTTCAAACCTGTATTACTGCTGTTAAAAATGAAAGAACTGTATATAGAATTTTGTTGGTTTAATTCTGATAATATTCTCCTCTAGGATTATAATCACTCATAGGATTATACAAAAAAAACTGAAAACTGAAGTCCCTCCAAAAGTTAATATATTTTGCCCATTTGGTACCACGCTGTGAACCCATTTGAAGGAGCAAGAGTATTTTTGACTCCATTTGGAGGAGTTTCCACACAGCCGTAACCAAACACACAACAAAATCCACATTAATTCAGATTGAATGAAGTAGTTATGGCTTAAATGCAAAAGTGTATAAGTTTTGAAAATATTTCATGATGCTTTGATGCACTTTTAAAATCAGTAAACCAGATGAGTACGAGCTCGCATGCCCGTTAAAGGAGCCTTTCCAGCTTTACTTAATACGTGATGATTTTTTGTTTTTCGAATGTAATAAAAATATCGTTCAAGGACCCAGTGGGGGCCGACTAATTTTAGCATCTCGATCTAAAAATGCTTGGCATGCATGTAAATGTTCTCATCCTATAGGAGCAGAAGTTTAGTGAATTTTAAACGATCTGTAAAATAGTATTATCTAATTGGCTTAACTATTAGAACTAGTTAAGCTTGATCTAAAATTACTTGTATGCATTGAACACTTTGCAATGTCAAGCTAAAAAAATCCAAAATAATCATTAGATTTGGGATAAATATAATCCTATATGATGCAATTGTGTTTCTGATCGTACTACAACTGGGCAATTATAGCTACACTCACCTAATCAGGCACGTAAACATTGAATAAGTATGAATAATAAAAATGAATCATAGGTAAATAAACCGGGCTTTGCCAAAATTTTTTGGAAGTTTGTAAGTTGAAAATATGTGGATACACTTTCAGTGAACCTTGCCAAGTTTCAACGCTATTTTCTTTATTGATCTGCTTCATTTTTCTGTAACCGTTCAATTTTCTATTTTTATCGTGGTCAGTTTTAACGTGGCGATAGGAAATTGGAACAAAGTATATTTTTAAAAAGACGCAAAATATTAAATCCAGCCTGTTACCTGAGATACTACTCAAGGACTATATTATTTGCGACACATTCCAAATAGCTAAAGCTTATTCAATATTAAATTTCAATTAATAATTTACTAATAAAAGCTAAATATGGTGTACCGTAAAACTTCGCTGAAATCACAGCTAATTTTCGATAATTCTTACATTCATGTACTTATGAGTTTATTGAATAAATTATTGGGCTCAAACTCCTTTACTTCGCTACATCAATTAAGGATCTTAAATATTTCAAGGAAAAATACGGGAAAAACAAACTGTTATCAAAACGTAGTGCTTAAGGAAACAGATTAAATATTAACGGTTCTTTTGAAAGTAAATTATTTACCAAGCAACACTTAAAGCCTCTAAAAATTTGCTTTACTTTGACCTATGGAGGGCTGCCTGTTGAGTCTCCATGAAAATGTATGAGTTTACTAACTCCAACTAGCCGTTTTTTTTTTGTACGCGCTTCTTGTTTCCGTTAGAATACAAATACAAAAAATAATATAAAAGCTACTCTAGCCACTCGTATATCAATGTCAGCACTTCGGATTTTTCTTCCCATAGGTTTCCGCTGGTTTACTTTATACTGAATAATCGGGGAATGACGAAAGATCCCCACAGTAATTAAAAATGTTTTTTGCTAGTTACCTACATCAATTATGCGTTCTTTCTGTATTTATGGAAACGAGTATATTCACACAAATGAGGATTTGCCAGAGGTCCTGAGAATGGGAAGGGTTGATGTTCTATTTAAACTTTGGAAGTTTAAACTGAAACATGTGTGATTAATATTGCAGTGACATGAAATACGGAGGCAGCGTCAAAGACTGTAAAGAGCATTAACATGTCCACATTATTTATTAGCATTAATGTTATATTAATCATCTGAGATGAAATAATAACAAAACAGGTTGTTTATGGAAACAATTGCTCGCAACATGGGGAATTATAATAATGTTATTATTATTCTGTGCGTTGATTATATTTCAGCTTAGTATAATCAGGCAAATATTGTTTTTACCGGTTATTTTTATATACTTCTTATAACTTATCAGGTTCTTAATGATATCGAACATCGACAATCGACATCTACAAACGGCGAAAAGTACGATCAAAACCTAGACACTAACTAACTAATTTTCGGATTTTGGATTCCTACATTAGCCGTTTGTTTCGATTTATTTTGATTAATTGTAGGAACGTTTTCTCTGATTTTAGAGTTATACATCATTTCATTATGGTTCCCACGAACCCTCAAGTTGACAAAATTATTATGTGGTGGTTTGCGTTAATGAGAAGTTGAAAATAACGCATAAAAAGAAAAACGTAATCAAAGTTATAATTTGATTCACACCATGTTAAACAATATATTTATTTGTGACGGAAAGTAAATTTTGTTGTTCAGTGCGTAGTTTCCTAAGAGTCAAGGTACAAGTACGTGCACCAAATACGGCTTATGTAGGAATTGTTCAAAAGTATAACTGAAATCAAATAAATTATTAGTTAAAACTACAATATTGTTATTTTTAAGGCAATTCTTGTAGCAGTAATAGTGTCAATCCATCAATAAAATCAGTTTGGAAATTACTAAGAACATTTTCTGTTTTTTTTAAGTTAAACTACTTTGAATAATTGTGACTTGACTGAATAAACAATTGGAGTGCTACAGAGAATAAGCACGACATAACGATTAAACAAAATGTTTAATTAGATGAACTAATAAAGTGTAAATTGAAATTAACAATAACTCCCAGAAGAAATGAAAAAAACATGCCACTAGTTAATTTTTTAAAACAAAGCAAATATATTTATGATCAGCGGAAAAAACAACGACATTCACAAATTTATAAAAAAAAGATTAAGTTACAAAACAAGGTTTACAGGACTTTGCTTGATTCTTCAAAATCGTATAAAAACAGGTCAATATTAATGATTAGCAGAAAACAGCGAAGGTTGAAAATGTTAATACAATACTGTAAAATCTGGATAATTAAAAAAATATATTACAATTTATCACTTTCAGCAATTCACGTCTACTATTGAAAAATGTTAAAATTCATTTTTGCTCAAAAATTGTTCTCAAATATGTTTCCAAAATAATATGTTTGTATACTACAGCATTATAATTTTATTTATAATAACAGAAAAAGTTTTAAAACGGTTTTAGCTTTATTCTCGTAAAATATAAAAATGTGCCAGACGTTGGTTACAAATTATAAGTATTTATAGTAAGGGAATCGAAATAATTTTACTTACTTCAAGTCTGTGCTCTGTGTTTTAAATTAATTATAATTTGATTCTTGATAAATTTAGTACTGCCGAAAAATATAAGGACAACTTTCATTCATTTCAGTTTAATCGATAATCAAGTCTTAAATTAATATGTAAAGAGAGAGAAAAAAGTGTTTTTAAATGTAATGATTGAGAAGTGTTACATTTTTCTATAATTAAACTTTTATACTTTTAGCTACACCTTAGTAATATGCAAGCAAAGTAACAAACCTGAGATATTACTTGAGTGAAGCTTCTATCGAGTTAGTTAACAGATATCAAACTCATTTTTTTTATATTGGCAGCAATTACGGAAAAATGTTTTTTTTGGTTAAAAATAAATAAATATTAATGATTAGCAAAAAACAATAAAACATGTAAATCTTATTGTATAATATAAGATGTTGATAGTTTAATTATTCTAATCTATCTCAATTTCTAACTTTCATCAATTCACGCATACTATCAATAAATGTAAAAATTTGCTCAGAAGCTTGCTTTCTTAAAACGGAAACCAGCAATGAATAGGCAATAATAATCAAATACGTTTCGGAAATAATATGTTTGTATATTAGAGCATTATAATTTTATTTAAAATAACAAAAAATGTTATAAAACTATTTTAGTTACATTCTCATAAAATACAAAAATTAGTTTAAAGTCGAACTGCAGCGGAACATACGTGCAAATTTTTTTAGTGCCATACGTCGCTTATGAATCATGATTATTTATAGTTGAAAAATCAAAATAATTTTACTTAATACATCTTTGTACTTTGTGTTTTATATTAATTATAAATTGATTTTTGATTTTCTGGCACTGTTGAAAAGCATAAGAGCAAATATTTGCATTTGTGGAACAAATTTTTGAACAAATTTTCAGTTTAGAAGAAGAAATACAAAAAAATTGTAAAGATCTTTAAAATTACCAAACCAATTCCAATACTAAACTCATCAGTTTTTTTTATATTGGACGCAATTGATGAAACATTTTTCTAGTGAATCGTACGATCTTTCATAGAATTTTAATGATTACTTCAAAAGTTTGATTTAAGCAAATATTTATTTTAGGACTGAATCCTCGTTTCTGCCGTGGCTTCTTTTATGGTTAAATTATACTGATCCTAGCAGAAGTTTGATAAAAGCTTCTATTTTTTATGTCTCATTGCGTGAAATGCATGAGTGAAAGCAAAAAGCAAATCAAATTTTTATTTTTTTTTTCAATATTAGTAAAATGTGCATTTCCATAGGTTCAGGCAAATTTTCAGATTTTAGCCACTAAAAATTAATCAAAAGTGAAATGCAAAAAAGAGCAGCTGAAAAGTCCCATGAAATTGCATTTCTTAGCGCCACACTTGTTACTTACATGCAGTAATCACGAGCTATTCTCACAACGGACTGATTAAAACAACGCAAATTAGGAGTTAGTAACCAAATCCACCCAACAATGGATCATTGAAGAAAAATTATGGATTTTTAAGCCTCGTGCCAGAATACCAGCGACAATCCTGTGCCAAAGAAACTTGCAAAAAGTGATACATGGGTATTGGAAGAAGATTGGATTCAGGGCGAGGCATGCATTTTTGGTTTCGGGTACTATTTTAGGAGAGCGTCCGGCTTGCCGCCTTTGTGAAATCGCGGAGTCGGTACGCGTCGCGGCGCCTCCCACTATCCAGAGTTCCATGTCTTATTTTGGGCGACGCCTGCGACTGCGTCGCCCCAACGGCCAAGCCATACAAGGATGGTACGAGCTATTTTGGGGTCGAACCGATGCACATCGGCGTAGGTTTGAAGGGTTTTCGTTTTATGGAAAATGGTAATAAATGGGTTTGGTTTCACACCAGCCAAACCACCACTCAATCATATTATTTTCCATATATTTTTCTTTGAAATTCAATACCGTCAAACATCAGTTCTAGGCACAAAAAAGCTGAAATTGTTCAAAATGTTCACAGGAAACTTCAATGGAGATGACTTTGAAATGAAAAACACTTTGAGAATTTTTAAATGTTTGATCTAAAAAGCTGGGAGTTAAAAAAGTAATTAGTTAATTCTGCTAATGGTTCCCCCTTTGCCTGTTACAAAGATTTACCTTTTCTATATTCTTAGTTCCAAATCAAAATATTCAATATATAATATTCTTAGTTTCAAAAGCACAGATTTGCACAATTGCATGTGTATGAATACAAGCAATTTAAATGGCACCAAAAAACTGCTGAAGTTGCTCAAAATTTAATTACATTTAAAAAATAAATTGTAAAACAATGTGCAAACGTCTGTACCTCGACAGCAAAAAAACATAAGCCATAACTTGAATATGACACAACTTTTAAATATGTAGAAATTTTATTCAAATAGGTTTCCATACAAAATTTAAAACCACTTTAAAACCGTTAGTCCAGGCAATTTTGGATTGAAAGATTAATTAAAACATATATACTGTTTCTTATATGTTTTTTAACAGTCTACTTGATTCAAAACGTCCACACATATTTCATATTAGCGCGTTCAGCTGGGTTCTTACCTCAACTATCGTTTCATTTTTAGTGATTGAACAGACGAAAAATATAGCCCAAATTTCACACAATTGCAAATACTTCATACGAATAATCCAACAATATTTACCTTTGTAGATTGTGATTAACTTGATAAATGAAAAATATGTATTGTTATATGGAAATTACCATCAACTAGGTTCCTTCTTCTAAGTAGGCGATAGTTTCTCCCGTATAATTGAACTTAATTGGTTAAGTTTTTGCAGCTCTTTAAAAAAACGTATATTTTCTTATATTCAGGCGATAAATCAGACATAAACTAGCGAAGTTTTGACATTCTATAATATTTATTTGTGCTGTTTTCATTTGTCCTTTTCAACCTAGAAGCAATTTTAATAACAAAAAAACATTTTCAGTTTGTATATAACGCACTCTTCATTATCCGCTAAAATATTAAAAGACTCTCCAATGTTAATATATAACTTCGAAAAATTGCATTACGAAAATACCTACGCCAGTCAAAGAATAATCATATTTTTCAGCAGGTTTTCAAAATAATCGAGTGGATTAAATTCATTGTACTACTCTACGTATCTTCTGAATGCTACTTTGCCATCAAGCATCAGAGGAGGTTTATGAAAAAAATATATGTATAAGATATGAAGAAAAGACTTAACAGAAAACTATTTGGAAATTAATCATATGTTTTAAACTGATTCGAAGTCTGAAAACTAGGATAAATATGAAGAATGCTGAAACATTAAGTTGTTTCTACAAGAAGATTAACAATTATTTTAGAAGTTTTTTCTAAATGAGAAATGATTCCAGGTTTTGAAAGCATCTGGTAAAATTTAATTAAAAACCACTAAACAGTAGATGAAAACGTGTACTGTAATTTTGTAAAAAGGAAATACTGAAATACTTTAAATAAAATACAAGACGATATTTAATGAATGCAGATGCCAATCTATGTAATGGATTGAATTGAATTGTTGAAACTTGTACAATTTATTGATTAATCAATAAGATTTAAAACACAGTGTAAACAATTTTGAAATTAGGGTGAAATTGTAAAGCTCTGGAGATAGAGCAACTACCCACTATGAAAAAACGAGTTAATTTGAAAAATTCAATACAAGAGGTGTGTAACAGTCGTTAAAAATGAGTTTGATTGGGTTAGAGCAGTTTTTGATTGAGAAAAGCGAAAATGCCCGAAAATATGACCATTTTCGGACGTGCACCAATTGATGTTTGCGGTTGAAAATATGTAACGCTGAGCTGTGTGTAGGAATAGAACGGTGGTTTGGAAAACGCGACGGCGCCACTGGTCTGGTGCTCTATAAAAGCATACCTGGATCTATTCAAACCTCAGTCGCATTCGAGCTTTTAAGCTGTCTCTTTTCTGTCTTTTGTGAGCAGTAGTGATCAACCACAACAGACAACATGTGTGACGACGATGTTGCGGCTCTTGTCGTTGACAACGGTTCCGGTATGTGCAAAGCCGGATTCGCCGGTGATGACGCACCCCGTGCCGTCTTCCCATCCATCGTTGGTCGCCCCAGGCATCAGGGAGTGATGGTCGGTATGGGTCAAAAAGACTCATACGTAGGAGATGAAGCCCAAAGCAAAAGAGGTATCCTCACTTTGAAATACCCCATTGAGCACGGTATCATCACCAACTGGGATGATATGGAGAAGATCTGGCATCACACCTTCTACAATGAATTGCGTGTGGCCCCCGAGGAGCACCCAGTCCTTCTTACTGAAGCCCCCTTGAACCCCAAGGCCAACAGGGAGAAGATGACCCAGATCATGTTTGAAACCTTCAACACCCCCGCCATGTATGTTGCCATCCAAGCTGTGCTCTCCCTGTACGCTTCCGGTCGTACCACCGGTATCGTCTTGGACTCTGGAGATGGTGTCACCCACACCGTACCCATCTACGAAGGTTACGCTCTTCCCCATGCCATCCTCCGTTTGGACTTGGCTGGTCGCGACTTGACCGACTACCTCATGAAGATCTTGACCGAAAGAGGTTACTCATTCACCACCACCGCTGAAAGGGAAATTGTCCGTGACATCAAGGAGAAACTTTGCTATGTCGCCCTCGACTTCGAACAGGAAATGGCCACCGCTGCCGCTTCCACCTCTTTGGAAAAGAGCTACGAATTGCCTGATGGACAGGTCATCACCATCGGTAACGAGAGATTCCGTTGCCCTGAAGCCTTGTTCCAGCCTTCCTTCTTGGGTATGGAATCTTGCGGTATCCACGAAACCGTCTACAACTCCATCATGAAGTGCGATGTTGACATCAGGAAGGACTTGTACGCCAACACCGTTCTTTCCGGAGGTACCACCATGTACCCTGGTATTGCTGACCGTATGCAGAAGGAAATCACCGCCCTTGCTCCATCCACCATCAAGATCAAGATCATTGCTCCCCCAGAAAGGAAATACTCCGTATGGATTGGTGGCTCCATCTTGGCTTCCCTGTCCACTTTCCAACAGATGTGGATCTCCAAACAAGAATACGACGAATCCGGCCCTGGAATCGTCCACCGCAAGTGCTTCTAAGCAATTTAATTATTGCATTTCTAAGATATTTCTTTACATGTTGTTTCTACTGTATTCCATCTGCAGTACTAATAATGCGACCGTGGTTGTACTGCCAGACAGACATTTTTTACAAGAACACCTTGTATATACTTAACATCTTTTGAACATTTACCTTATTTGTTAATATTTACTTACTGTAATTATACTTTTATTACAAGGCAGGTCAATAAAGCCTCTCTTAGTAATACACCTGCCTTTTATTTCCTATTTAAGATATTGCCAACGACTTGATGTTATTATTATGTTATATTATGTAATTTTTTTAATAAATATTTTTGGGTTAGTATCTGCTTGTGTTCTTCTAGTATTTCACCTCAAGCTAAAAATAAAATTTAAACGCATCAACCAGTAAATATAGCATCTAAACAAGGCCTTATAATAATAGCAACACAGTCGAAGGTAAACAGAATCCAAGAGAACTCCACTTTTAGGATTCTAATTTTAGAAAGCTTGCCTTATTTGGAAATCGGCTCACTGGAGGCTTGATATGTATATTGTGGTGGCTTTCGATGCGGGAGGCAAACTAAACACCACACCATACGTCACGTTGGCTATTTTTAATCCGATGAAAATAACTTGGAAGATTATGGGATTCTGGCACTAAGACCCTAGGAATTTTGTAATATTTACACCATTTGCCTTGCCGCGGCTAATAATAGTTCGCAATAGCTTATAAGGTAACACGCCTGGATAAACCGGTTCCTTTACATATGAAAGGAGTTGTGACTTACTTTTTTTGGGGAATGTGAAGCCACATTAATTAGAAAGATATATCAGAAATACACGCTTTAAATATTTTATAGGTATGCAGGTCCAACTCTATCGTTAGCTTGGCCTGGGCCAACGTGGGGGCATTGATTTTGCAACTTGTTCTGTATTTTGAATAATATTGAATCGACATCGCGTAATATGGTATACAAACAACACTAATCAAGTTTAAATATTTTTATTTCGCCACATAATTTAATAAATTTAACTTAGTATGCTGATAATTTTATTTCGGGGACTTATATATAAAAATAAACTTTGTTAATTTCGCACTAATGCATGATGTAAAAATGTCATGCAGGGAATAATATAAGGATTGTTGCGCCTTAAACAGCTTACATTTGGAATTTTTGGTTTACCTTAAAAAAAATTTTTGTAGGAAAACTGCTATTAATTACATTCGGTATATGTTAGAAAACTAACTAACAATCCTTAGATTGTGAGTGATCAGCTCTTTAAGCTACAGTTGAAAATCATGAAAATGTTAAAAATATAGCAAAGCGAGGTTTCTAGCATAAAGCTTTTCTAAATATAATCAACAAACTGAACACTTTTTCAAAAAGATTAAAGCTTTTCAGCAAATTCGTTATTAAATTATTGTCATATGTTAACTGAAATAAACAACAAATTTTAATACATTTTAGGGAAGCGAACTAATTTTATTTTAAACTTAAAAGTGCATTCTAAATAATGAAATGAATCTGTTTATGTTTCATAAACCACGCGTAATTTGCTTTAAATTCTACTAAAGCAATTAAGATACGTTAATGGGATTTTACGGAAATGAGCGTTATGCATTGCACGGCGAAAGCAAAGTCTGGTTAAGAGATTTATTACTTAAAGTTTTGAAAAATTATTAGTTGTTAAACCGCTGGGGACATTTATGCAATTTTAAATTTGGATTTGAAATATCTACTAGGCTGTGTAAAAAATTGGCTTCATGTTGACGAGATAAATTGACTGACATTTAAAAATATAGTTTTCTAAATAATCGTTAAAAATAAATTAATCGTAAAAATTTATTAGGGAAAATAAAAATGGAATAAATTTTAAGTTAAGAAAGACAAAACATGAAGAAGAAATCGAAAAATTGATTTAAGTTCTCCTAACTGGTTCGTCAGTTCTGACAATAACTCGAACAACAACATGAAAAAATGAAACAATTTTTAAAATTTCATTTGAATTTTTCTTGTATCTTGTTCCATTAAAAGAAAAATTTTAGCTTGGTGCAGTTTCTATTATATCACAACATTAACTGACTTGTTAGCTGCAAAATAGTAAAAGCCATAGGAAATAAAATAGGAAGTTCCGGAAGGGGAAAAATAAGAAGAAGATAAGAAAAATAAGAAAATAAAGAATAATCATGTTTTTAAATAAAATTTGGCAAATAGTTTGAACATTGAGTGGTAGAATTTGCTTTTGAATAGTTATTTTTCCAACGTGGAAATTCCGAAATCGTCTTAGCCAAACCGTATATAACTTATTCAACATTTTTTCCTGTTTAAAAATTCAATAACTGGGAAATCGCAAATTATCAATTGGAATGTGCACAAGCATCAAACTAACCCTTTCACAATGTTCTTGTTTTTTTTCAGTCAAATGGAAGTGATTAATAACATATTTGGATTGTGGATTTATGAGTATTATTGATTATTATACGCCTCAATTATTGAATCTTTTCTTAAAAAAAAACAGTTTGACGACAATATCTAATAATTTCCGTCGATGTATGTGTATATACTAATAAACAATGCTTAGATTAAGAGTGATCAGGTCTTCTCTACAGTTAAAAATTATGTATTGCACTAATCAGCTTTCTGCACCGTGCAAGGCTTCTAGAACGAATCTTCTAATTACGCTCAACAAACTGAACACATTTTTTCAAGTTTGACGCTTTATAGTAAATTTGTTATTAATTTCTTAGCTTATGTTATCTAAAAGATAAAACATGGTTTTAATGAATTGCCGAAAAACTAAATTAATTAAAAACAACTTAATAATGAAACGAAGCTGTTTATTCTTTATGAGTATTCGTACATATTATAAGTTGCTTTACATTCGACTAAGGCAGTCTAAGATTTTACATGTATGAGTTTTATGATCTGTGCAACGAAAGAAAATGTTGGTTAAAAAATTTCCTACTTAATTTTTTTTTTAATTCGCCGATGTCCATAATCTACAAGGCCGTATGAAAATTGTGGCTTCAGATTGTCTTTTAGATACAGATCTTTCTAAATGAATGTCAAAATAAACTTTATGTTCAAAATGTTATCGGAGAAGTTAAATAGAGAAAATTTTAAGGAAAGAAAAAAGTAAAATAAGCAAGCAATTAAAGAGCTGATTTCACCTAATTGTCTTATTTCACAATTAACCAAGAAGAAAAATATGAAAAAATAAATAAAATTTTTCAGCATTCGTTTTTTTTCTTCTACTGGTTATATTAGACGAGTAATTTTAGCTTATTGTGGTTTTAATTATAAAACTATTTTAAGGGCAGCAATAATTCGTTAGCTGTTAAATATTAAAAACCGCGATCATATTAGGGCTGATTTGTGTGAACCACAATAAGAAGTTCTAGAGAAGAAAACGTAAATAATGAACAATCGCGAATTTTAAACCATATTTAGAAAACAGTTTCAACATTGAGTGGTAGAATTTCCATTTGACAAAAAAATTTTATAAACCGCAGATTCCAAAGTAATGTTCTCGACTTCACCAAACCTTCTATCATTTATTCGATATTTTTTCCTGTTTAAAAAACACGATGGCAATATTCACAAATTGAAAATTGGAACTTGCAATAGCAGCGGACAAGTTAATTTTCATATTGCCAATGTGCTTTGTTTGTCAAAAAGAACTCGCTATGTAAACTGGAAATTACGTACTGGTTAGAAGAGCAAGACCTGGAAAAGTAAATATTTATTACATCAATTAAATCAGCTTCAATCTAAGTTTAAAAAATTATCAGTAGTGAAATAGTAGGTAACAGTTCTTTGTGGACAGACTTTCGCCTTTAAAATGTTTATCATTCCATACATATAATATGGATAATGCCTATGCATAATACATGAGAGAACGTAAAAATAAGAATTGAAATACTATGAGTCAGAATTTTTTAAGGAATCAAAAAACTATTGGGTTCTAAGTGATGGGCTCTGAAAAGAACAACATTACCTGGAATGCATTCAATTCTAATTACAATTGCTTTATAGTATAAAATTGCAATTTATACAGGTTTTTTCATGTTTATTCTCGACTAATTAAAGTGTAATAAATTTTCTGTCGCCGTTTTTTTAACATGGTTTAGAGAGCACCCTTTGAAAAATTAAGTTCTAACAAGGTGGTTACTTGAGCTTAAGTTAATTGTAAGAAAGATCGTTAAATTATCAAATTACCTCACCGACGACCTACTTCAATAGGCATTCAGAAAAAACGCATTATCAACTCAACTTTCAAGAGCGACGAGCACAGTGGATAAGAACTGAAGGGCGGGTTTTTACATATAAGCTTATTTGAATTTCATTGCTCATTCCATTCTCTGCTCTTGTCGAATATGCTCAACAGACATGCAAATTATGCAACTTTTTCTGGACATATTTTTTATGGTGATGCTCAGATCCGAACCCCCGACTTTGCTGCACAAAAAAATTAGTTTCTATGCAAACAGAGCAACGAATTCCCGAACGGGGATCAAGCAAATCTGAAATTAAATCGGCGTTTTCCGATTCCTTGTGATCTTTCATTATCAATAGGGCAGAGTCTAGACAAAATTGAGTAAACAGTGTTTTCTTTTCGTGGCTGGAAATTTTTAATTATTTTTTTTTTACTTTATTCGCTTTTACATTTAAGCGTATTCCCAAATAGCTTCAATATAAAAAGAAAATGAGATCACGAGGAGGCAAGAAATTAAAATGAAGACATAATAGTCGAAAGACAATCCGAAAAGTTAATTTAAGGAAAACGTACAAAGAAGAAATTACAGATTCACCAAATTATTAAAAAAGTGTATTTATAAAACATATTGTAATTATTATGACAACAAATAATGCCCGCAAAAACCAAACAAATGTTGAATGATTAAAATTTACAGAAAATTTTAAAAATATGTACCCACTTAATAGATTTTATGCTTAATAAATAATTTTGCAATTTAGTTATTAATAAACATTGTCCGTGTTCAGTAAGTAAGTAAGATATGAACTCTTTTTCAATCTGTTTACTTTGTACTACTTTTACTACTAGGAATTTGTTGCTCAGATTCTCATGAGTTGATGACCAAACTGTAATTTGTTGTCAACAATTTTAGAAAGTATTTTTCGAATATTTTTTACGATTATTTAGAACTATAATCGTGCTTCTTTGGTACTTTAAGCGGTTATTGAAGAAACCTGTCTGATAAATTTAACGGTGCAGTGAATAATTTGTGGTAATAATCACGATATTCATTCCATTAGATGCGGTATTTCGGCCACTGTCCAGTAAAATATCACGATACTTATAACTGCCGTATTTAAAATTGCAGTACCTCGACTATCCATAACATCCGTCGGCTTCTAATGAAACATACGCCAAAGTTCTAAAACTAGACACCGGCCACGGTCTTCCTTTTGTTCATTTTCACTGCAAAATGTACATCTTAAAATAGTTTTTGTTCAGTCTGCTCCTGCAGGCGCCAACATAAATTTAAAGAGTCATGATTTTAGAAACCCTCCCGGTTTCCTTTCTTTCTGAGCGTAAGGATTTCAGTGAAACATTCTTTTAAGCTTTCATATAGATGTAAAGAATGCCCGCACAGCCCAGAAAGTTTTCTCTAGTTAATATTTTATTGATAAATTGAAATGAAATAATACATACTTTTCCTATTGCCATGCAAAACACTCATATGGGGAGAATAATAACTTGGACTATTAAACGATAGGAACAAGTAAAATCAATTCACCTAACTAAATATTCACGATGGTTCTTATTTATTTCTTGGAAATAGTGCATTCGTGGCCAAACCTCATTACTAACACTCACTTGATAGAGACTCAAAAGACGGAAATACTCAAAGTTGGAAGCTTTGCTAACAAGTAACACTCCTGCATCAATTTATTTAAATTTTCACTTAATTCGGCACAAGAACATAAGAGTCACTAAATAGGATTAGGAAATTTGCAATTTTTTATTTTTTTACAATTATCTCCTCAGTGTGACCAAAACTATTGTGGCAATAATTAGCGATATAATATAGAGCTGCTAATAGAAAAATATCCAAAGGAGCTTCAAGTTTTATAAAACAATAGCTGATCTTCATATAAAGACTTAACTAATCATAAAATCGGATTACAAACAGTATAAAAGTTCAAAAATAAATTATATAGGATGATCCTAAAATGTTGTCACCAACATCGCATTTTTTTATGGAAACAACTTTTTGCTTATGGAAAATCTCAGTACCCAAGTTTATTAGTAAACTATTCAAACTAAGGAATATAAATCGTCACAAAATTTGTTGTGTTATATGGTGGTGTCATGTTATATGGAACCGTTTGAAGGATATGCAATTTTGAAACTGTGGAAATCTGCCTCACTGATGAGAATTCAGTTAATAGATTGGAACAATTATTCAATAGCAATTTAAAAAAAAAACGTTTTTCTTTCAACTAGGATATTTCAAAAGTCTCTGAGTTTCGAAAAACAATATTAAATATAAGTGGAATGCACGCCACAAGTACAAATAAAATTAAAGAATAGTATATAGAGTTTTAGTTATATTTTCGAATAATCTATAGAGTTATATTTATAGAAAGTATATGTCTGTGACTGCTAAAGCCGCCCGTAGAATTTCGACATTCGAAAGATATGCAATTTAAAAATAAAATAATTTAATATACAGTTCACTGTAAACTGATTATCAAACCATGCAAAAATAGAAACTGAAGCATCGAAAAATTACAAACGAAGACAGAAAATTACCTTCCTAAAGTGGATGTATTCACTTATACGAAAGTTTTTAAGTGAAACACTAAATGGAAAATTTATTCGACATGCTCATAAGGTCGTCACAGGTTTCGTAAATTTATTTAAAAACCGAGGCAAAGCCCGTGCGTATCAAGCCATTAGGAAATACAAGTAGGTCTAAAAAATTAATATTTTTATGAATTTGCTTTCTGAATGAAGATCTTTTTAAGGCTTTAGTGACTACTGTAATTAAACAGAAAATAATCATCAATTTCAAGCAACTCTATAACGACGAGCATCCTTTAAGCCTACGCTTTCTACATGAATCGCATTCCTTTCATGTCAAAATCTGAACTCACTGATCTAAATCACTGGCATCGTGCCTTGTTAATTCAATTAATTTAACCCGTGTACTTCGTTAGGAATTTTTTCAGCTTTATATCCGCGAGGAAAAAGTTGAAAAGTAAATTAAGAAGCACGTGTTTTCTGTGTGCCGGGATAATCAGCTTTTCAGCGTTAGATAGATTGCGAGTTTGCCTGGCCCTGTTTGAATTGATGAATGAAATTCAAAAATTTATTAAAACTTTGGCTAAAAAATAGTTTCTATACAAAGGTAATTTTTTAAAGAATACTTTGATTGATACAGAGTGATTCATAAGGCTTGAAGTAATCGCTTAAAGCACCCAACGAGACATTCATAATATTATTGCTGAGTATACGTTTTCATGTTTCGGATATAACTTATAAAATGCAATTCTCAAAAATCACTTGAGAAATTGCTGCTCAAAAATTCAGTTTCGAGAGGAGAATGCAGATGATAATGCCTCAGGAATTTTGCAATTCATTAATATCAAATTACCAGAAATACATTAGAGAACACACTACAATGGTTGCAACATCTTGCAAACTATAGAAAATATGAAAAATGGTCGACTGGAAAAGTGCCAGTTTTCCAGTATATTAAAAAATATCCTGCTCTTCCAACGTCAGCTTTAACATTTCATATTGTCTACTTAGAAATGCCGTTTGAATTATTTAGTACAAACTGGGAATTAGAACCGCCTGTAAATATGTCCAGTACTTTTCTTTTCAAACATGCGAGCAGTTTCTAAATTTGTTTTTTTACGTACCTTGCCACCCCTTATTGACTGACCCATAATCGCATGTTCATTTTCTAAATCCATGTGTATTATTGTTATTGTTTCGATGTTCTATTTTGATGTTGTAAAATGCAATCAATCGAAAACAACATCCAAATTTGTTCCCCAAGCTCAGCATAATAATTTTCCTAAAGGCAGATTCATACTGGTTTTATTAGTATTATACCAATCAATTTTGTTTCAGATTGGTTTCCAGGATGGCCTCAACACCAACATTACAACAAGCAACCCAACGACGATGGCTTAAGCGAGCAGGACTGCGTGGAGGTTCGAAGAACGTACACTTTGCCTTCTACTTCGGTCAGTTTAGCTCCTGGATTTATGTGGAATGACCGCGACTGTGCCACACTTAATTACTTCATTTGCGAAAAGTTACAAAATGATGGTAAGAGCTTTGCTATAAAAACATTTCTTATAATAATAATTAATAATCCTTATTTTTTGTTGAATTTACGCAAGCAATGAAACAATATTTTATGTAATTCAGGTATTATAAATACACTTTATCGTTCCACTTTTTGTAGATAATTCAGAAAACCATCCATATGAAAAGATAATTGCATTCCCATCATTAATCATCTGTGGTACGCGCGACGCTAATCACCCTTCATTTTGTCAGAATTCACTCCCTTATGCATTCCCGTTTTCTTCATACATAAATAAGCTGCATCATTTACAATCCTCCGGAAAGGAATTAGGACAGCACGAGCTCAGATTCATGTGATGCAAGGAATTTGCCTCAGTCCACATGTTTTAATGTTGATTTATTTTCAAGTTTCTTATTAATGATATTTGGACATTTTTATAAACATTTCGTGTTCAAATAAGTGTCGGAAACTTTGAGAAGCGACCATAATAAGAAACAATTTCCACACTTGAGAGGGTTTTAACTCCAATTTTAACTCGAAATTTACAAATACTGTCTCAAACAAGAGGAAGCTGATAGAAATTGCACGACGAACTTGCAATAATTTGTTATTTGTTTTTGTTGTGATTATTATTTCATAATAATATTTTCGAACAGTGTTTGTAAATATGTGGGAAATTACAATAGCAATGTTTTGAATTGATGTTCACTTGCCTGGTGGTGAGCTACGATTTTCTTAAATGCAATTTCGCCAGTAAATTTTTCCAGGCACAGTTGTATCAATATTTTTAATAAATAAAACTATAAACAACTTGATAAATTTAATACATTTTGTAATAAGTAAAAATGTTTAAAACTGCCATATAAAACTAATAAATTTACAAACTTCCACGTCCATAATATATTATAATTAATTCTTAGTTCCTGGTCTGGTTTCAATAAGCCAAACACAATAACGACATTATAAATGGTTGCGCTTAAAATATCGTTTATGTGGCTTTACTGGACAGAGAAATATAGACGTTTTTTTTGCAAAAAGAGAACAGAATATAAATCTTTAACAAGACATGACAGGCGCGCTCATAGAGGAAACGGGAAGAAATCGACATGAAAATTTTTTATTGGTGTATTGGGTGAAAAATTTTGAATATAACTGCAAAATGTTATATTGCAGTTATTAATAGTGACTGAATACAGTCTAGTAAAATGCATGTTGAAAAATTTGACAAATCATTATTGAAATTAAACTTGTTTAATGTAAATGAACTCTCCTCTTCTAATCGACATTTCATGCTAATATTTTCTGAAGATATGTGCGTTAATTGCCATTATAATTTATCAAATAAAAGAATCATGTTACAGAGCCATTGGATGAAATTTGGTCTCCCGATTGCAATCGGACTCTGAGACTTTCCAGACAGGCTCCGAGGGCAGCTATATCGAGCCCCGGATTTCCCAGACAGTATCCTGATAATGCAGATTGCGATACGAACATTATTTCCCCATCAGGATATAGAATAATTCTGGATTTTGATGAGTTGGTCATCGAGAATGAGCCAAGGTATTTATAGCCCATAATTTAGTCCAGAGGAGGTAAAGGTTACAATATTTCGGTTAGTCGGCTTTGTAAAATTAAATAGAAAATTATCATGTTTTTACAAACAAATCTTAGTGCCTTTAGCCATAGGTATTTGTAAAAAGATATAAAACTTTATTTTGTAATCCCCAGTTATTTCGAATATTTTAATAAATTTGCAATAATTTGAAGATTGAGAATTGAAAATCCTAGTATTGTTTAGCCCTCTAATATAATGCCAAAGGTTGTTCGCCTAATTTTATATACAATTATATAAACAGGAAAATCAAATTAAATCACTGAATCACTCTTTTTAAATAAAACTATAGACATTTAATGTTACTCTTATGTCAAAATGAGTATTGCTCAGTCTGTATCAATAATGTGTGCCTTTCTTAGGTCTATGTGTTCTGTGAAGTAATTATTTTCCTATATAACTAACTTGTAATTGAACCACTCTGTATCAGGCAAAGTTTTCTTTAGAAAATTAGCACCTTTAGATAGAAACTATTTTTTAGCCAAGGGCCATTTATACAGATAATCTGAGGTGTTATTAAATAAAATCTGATCTTACCAATCAGCGGAAAGTTCGCTTTTACCTTTAAAGTAAACTTCAACATTTTATTATCGATGCGGGCGCCAGTTACATACTGTCGTTGCAGTACCCAGATCACATGGCAGAATTTTTAAATTTTTGTTAACTGTAAAAGTACTAACAATTCGAAAAACGAATTTGAGTTTTACATCTTTTGCTCAAAGAGATTTAAAATAGGAAATTAGTCTGATGAATATTTTTCCACAGATGAGACACTTGTAATGTGTGGAAGTGAAATTTTTAAAATGTTTCTCTCGTTTACCAACTGTCTCTGTTTACTAATAGTCTACACAGACCAATCAATTTTTTTGTTTGGGCCCCGATTCCTCCGAACGAAATCCCATTAAGAGCTGAGTATAAGGGGATGCAGTAAAAACTTAATTTATTTCTTAATTCGCTTTGTAAACTTTATAAAGAAGTTGATGGCCAGACGGTAATAAGGAGCAGTTCTGCAGGCAGCCGGTTTTTTAAGGAAAGAACCAGGTTTAAGGGCAAACTTTTTGTATGATAATATTCGTTAATAATTGGTGCACCTTTATGGAGTGAAGCAGCTCTATCTGAGACCATGATTCCACTACTGTGCATGTTGCAACTATTTGGCTGACATTAATTTCGTTCGTAAGGTTCGCGGGTCTCAATGCTGTAAAATTTATGTATTTTTATACGGAAAGATTAATGCGCTTATTTCTCAAAAGTGTCCGTAGTCAAAAATCGACTCGTGTCCTACATGGTTGAAAGCTTTTTATATTATGCGCGTTAGAGCATCTACAGAAAGCAAACCAACATCAGAAACCAAAGTAGAGTCAACATGTTGCGCACGGATAAAACATAAATGAATCAAATTTTGCCCACAACTCTTACAGTTCGAAAACAACGCTTTGGTAATCAACTTCTTCAATGGGAATTATTGAACTCTTTATATATCGCAATTGCTCCCTTATGCCACAATTGAAGTTGTTATAATATTGCATTAAATGTTTACGAACATCGAGTTAGGCAAAAGTTAATGGAGTTCTTTCAGAAATGAGAAGTCATTTAGCAGGCACATCTTAAAAAATAGAAGTGAAATACATATATGCTAAATTTTAGAAAAAGTGGAGCCCCTGTTTGTCGGCTGAAGTTGAAAGTCTTCTCACATTAAGATTAAATTTTTGAAAAAATCTAGAGCAGCACTTTTTTGCAATTGAGCGTATTTACATGAGCAGTAGCAAATTTTCGTTTTGCATTTGACTATCAAGCTGTTGTCATTGGGGCGAAAAAGACATCACATTTCGTACATTTTCAGTTGCAGCTACGACTATTTGGAGATCATTGAACGATCCGCGAATGCATTAGCTTCGAACGTGTCCAATTTGGGTCGACGTCTCTGTGGCGACTGGAGCACGAAGCTGAAGCTGTTACGCTACGTCAGCCAGAGTTCACGTCTGACTCTGCGTTTTAGTTCAGACTACAGTCACCACTTTGGCGGCTTCAAAGCTCGAGTTTCGATGGAAAATGGTAAAGTATTTATTTTGCCGCTTATATGTCTTTCTTGATAACCGTCACGGTTTGTTGATAGGAAATAATTTAATTAGAATTTTGGAAAACTTGTATCTAATAATGATTTGTTTAATGATTTATTATGAAGCTTATTTAAAAAAACATATAATTTCATTATTATCTCCATCATTCCAATGTCATTCCTTCTCGCAAATATCTCCAAACATTCCACCTCAGTTATCATGTAACTATTTCCACTAAATATCGGTCTACTGCTTCTCGTCCCTGCACAAAGTTGCAACTTTTCCATAGCAATTTTATTGTAACTCGGTTTTTCTATTCATTTTGATCTGTACTTATAAACTAGGCATAACTTTTTATTTTGACATTGTTTTACATATTTAGTTATTACATGAGTCTTAGCTCGTCTTCCCTTAAATTTAAAAATATTTTGCTGTTTTAGACTTCTGATTTTTAGTTACATTGCGATTCCGCAGATTCTGTATATTTTCGCATTATGCTGTTTTGAATAAATATCAAACTTAAAATCTTATATTATACGTATTTATGTGAATAAAGAATAACATAATGCGAGCCAGGCTGATTTCAAGCCGAAGTTTTGGTAATTTTAAAAAGCAAAAACTCGCCGTATTCCTGAAAAGCCCTAAAGTTATATTAAAAGAGCATCAAAAAAACGTTTTCGTTCGATTGTTTGCTCGTTTGCCTTTCGTATATTGTGTTGTTTTCCATGGCGCTTTTTCGCATTGTGCAGAAGATATTTCCCAGTGTAGGCTTCGCACAGAAATTGTCTGTGCTTGTCACAAATGATCATCACTCACGTATATCTTCATCCTTCTACTATTAGGTGCACTTAATTATTAAAAATGTCTTTAATTGTTTGCTGCATATTTGTCAACTTTAATTTTAACACAGTTTGTTTGATTCTACGTGTTCATATTTTATCTCGTGTGCTTTTTTGCAATTTTAAATTCTATTATTTTTAACAACTCGAATAAACTCAAGAAGATGGTGATGCTGACATGAGTTGTTTCAGTGAAACGATCACTTTGAATGATAAGGGCTTAAAATTTGTATAAATGCAACTGCATTATAAAGTTCGTACAATTCAATGTATGCAGCTTAACATGAATGAAATTGTTTTCTGAGGTGTATTTATTATTCGGACAGGATAAAACAATTACTTTTCAAGCACGCTTTACCTCAGAGGAAGATTTTTTAGATTGAACCATAAAGGCTATAAAATGCAAATGGAATTTGCAATTCTATTGATATAAGGGAAAAATGCACTCTGACAAGAACAAACGCTAAGATTCAGGTGATGTAGTGCTAAAATTAAAGTTTCCAAAATAACTCTGTTATAATAGAATCGAACTGTTCTGCACGGTGTTCTGTCATCAAAATGCTAGAACGTTTATTTTAACTCTACCAGGAAAATGACGCATAAAAGTTGTGTTTTTGCAAGTTTTCAATGATGATCATGATCGGTGCTTCCAAATTTATGAAACTATTTAAGTATTACGCAGCCGCAATTTAGATACCATTTCCTTGAAAACTCATGAGGTGATGAAGTCTTAACTAATGACAAGTTCTTGATCTATTTTTCTTTTTCAAAAGCCCACTGGAGAGAAACATATGAATTTTCTAGCCTTCGCTCAAATGTCTGTTTCCATACAAGTTGTGTAACGGAAAGTGAACTTTGATATATATGATAAGCGATAGATTATACTCCTTGCCGAAAAATTACTTGCTCACAAGTGGTTGGAGATAGAGAGTAAATTTTTGCAGTACTGATTAGACCAAAAGAGTCTCTATATGACAGAGAATTTGCGTTATAAATTCAAGTTCAAGGAATTTTTGGAGATTTTTGTAATTTAACTCATTTGCAATTTGCTTTTATTACCGCTGTTTGCTCAAAAATTATTTGCTCACAAGTGGTGAGAGCTGACGAGTTCATGTTTGCTCTACTGATTAGATCAAAACAGCATCTATGAAGAAAGAAATAGCGTTAGAAAGTAAATTTTAGGGAATTTTTGGAAATTTTTGTAATTTAACACATTTGCAATTTGCTTTCGTTACCGCTGTTTGCTCAAAAACTATTTACTCACAAATGGTTAGAGCCAGAAATTTAGTTTTTGCATTACTGATTAGATCAAGAGAGTCTCTATATTACAGAGAAGTTGCGTTATAATATCAATTTCAAGGAATTTTTGGACATTTTTTAAATTGAATACAATTACAATTTGCTTTCATTACCGCTGTTTGCTCAAAAATTATTTGCGCACAAGTGGTTAGAGCTGGTGAGTTAATTTTTACACCACTGATTATCAAAAAAAAAATATCTATATTATAGAAAAATTTCGTTAGAAAATCAATTTCAAGGAATTTTTGGAGATTTTTTAAATTGAACACATTTGCAAATTGCTTTCATTACCGCTGTTTGCTCACAAGTGGTTAAAGCTAAAGAGTTAATTTTTACATTACCGATTAGATCAAAAGAGTCTCTATAGTACAGTCTCATAATATCTAAACGATGTTTTCTTGAATGTTGAATTACATACGCTTACGAAAAGCGTGGCTTCTTACCTGCTACAAAAATGTATACTATTGCTTACCTAAATAGGAACAAATAGTTAAAAAATACCCGAACTTGTGCCCTTGAATTGCTCGTTAACGAGCTATCAATTGATCCAAATCTGACTTATTACCGCGGACTAAAAAAAACAAATAGAGCAAAAGGAAAACAACTTTTGGAAAACAACCGTTTTTATGTACCCGTCGAGAGTGGTTTAAAAATGCGTAAATAAAAAAAATCCCTTCAGGTTTGGACAATTTAGCCAAAAATTATAGGGTGGTTTCGAAATAAATCTATTCCGTTCAGTTACTACTGATTGCTCATACTGTATTTTTTTATTGCGGGTTTATTCTCCTACCCTGTACTCTGCTGGAACTTACCGGATTTACCGTTCTTAAAAAGTAACCTTCTTTAGAACTAATTAACTAGTTAACTAAAAACTCTTCAGATGAAATACCAATGAAACGTGTTTGCTTTTAATGCGTAAAAATCTTACAGATTTTTTCCATTAATTTGAAATATTTCCTTTACACAATTGTAACATTTCAGCCATGCAGTGTGGCGACGATCGGCTCCACATGTTCAACGACGCCTGTTACTTAGTGGTTAATTATCCAGAGGTAACGTGGCCTACAGCTCAGCAAATTTGCCGAGGCATGAAAGCTCTATTGGCGTCCATTGTCACACCCGAAGAGGGAAGATTTATAACCACCATCATAAGAAAGAACTCCGAATATAGAACGAGCGCTCTTTATTGGTTAGTACATTTTATGATCGATCATTCATTATCGAGCACCTATTCACATCATCGTTCGATGATCGAACATTTACTCAAGATTTTATTGGAAGTCGCTTTGAGTGGAAAACTTTGACTTAGGTTTCCTGCTCGTAAACTTTGGCTTTCAAAGAGCCCTTTTTACTAGCATTTAGTTTTGTTGAAGTACTCAAGTCTGTAACCCGAAGGCGTCAAACAGTGAAAGTAAATAATTATTCAGTTTAGATGGACTTTTAAATTTCAACAACTTGGAAATAAAGGACGAATCTGTTAAACATCGATTAATTTGCTCACAAGTATTAGAACTGTTGTAATACTGAGTTCAATCGTTTCCCGTTTTTTCAGCCAAAATCTAAGACTGTTATAACGCGCATTTTTGGTTTTATTTTATTTCAGGTCTCTTGATAAATGTCGATTAAATGTTGCACATTCGAGATATTAATAAAATTACAGGCTATAAAACTGTTGATTTTGACTAGATAGTTGCAACGCTAAAAGAACTTGCGCAAATTCGTTGATGTTCGTTCATGTAATTAATGCTAATATTTATATTAAAACACGACAAATCGAGATAAACGTTCAGTTGAAAACAGTTAATCCGTTTTGGTGTTTATTAAAACGAGCTTTCCATTATAATATAATATTTTATTAAAGAAAATATTAACTTCGAAACAAGGTATACAACAAAATATAATTGCAAATTTATTAATATTTGCCATTTGCCCCGATATTTAAATTTAAGAAAACCCTAGGAGCAGATAAATGTATTCAACCCAGTAAAATCATAAATGAATACTAAAAATGCTGCACTGTGGAACTTGAGAAAATGTGCTCTTACCAGAATACGCATATTAAACCAATCCGAATTAAAGTTCGGGTTAGGTAAAGCTGGAAACATTCAAAGTTTTCGCCAGCTGATTCTGTGAACAGGAAGTTTCAACTAAATTTAGAAGCAACTTAATTCAATACAAATCTACAAAGATAACGCAAGTTTAAAGTGAACACCAAAATGATTAAATTTTTTCAGCAAAAAGCAAAAGTGGTTTGTTGCAATGGCATTGACTCGCACATCTTTCAGTTGATTCTGCCCAATTTTCATTCAATTCTTGCGAATCAATTGAAAAACGATTCCAAAATAGACTTGTCGCAGAAGACAAGAACAACAGACTGAGACCAATAAAAAAATACATTTTTCTTACTCAAAATATTCGATATATTTTTTTTTCTACCAGCTTAAGTAGAGAACTCTTAAATCCGGGAACATTAATCACGCAGTTTGCAAAACGTAAATCCGCTGAACTTTATCTTAAGTCCTTTACACGTTCTCCTGCCTTGGCCTAGGTTAGGAGGAAAAGCAGACCCAGCTGCGGACTTTAAGTGGATGGATGGAAGTTCAATGGATTTTCAAGGGTGGATTCCGGGCCAAAAACCGTCCGAGAATGACCTGCTGGACACTGGACAAGATGCGAGATGTATCGGAGTTCAGTGGACTCCTTCACCAACTCAACTTATGCCTAGTGGTCTCTATTGGAAGTCTCGGAGGTCAGTTTAGCAATAAATCTAACCCAACTACTCCTTCGCATTGATTAACTAACGCTCAAGAATTTTTCGAGATCAGAATTCTAAAATAAGGATCTCGAGACGCAAGTTTATATTGAAGTCGATGCCCGAATCTGACCCGAAAATCAATGACATAGATAGTTATATGCAGTCTATTTGCAGTTATAAATGTTAGGCAGTTGTTTGTTCGATTTTATATACAACTTATTAAATGTTTTGGCACCCCAGTTTATTCCAAAAAAAAAATTAATAAATTAGACATCAATTTTATTGCACCTTTTTTGTTAACGTTACTTACGAATATTGCGATTTTAGGAACTTCTTTCCCGACGTATCACATGCGCGAGCGACTTACATCATTTATGTGTCCCTTCATAAGTGTGCTATACAATTCATCTAAAATTTAAATTTTGTAAAGTAGTGCTACTATGGGTAATTTGAGGGCTTTAAACTAATATAATCAAAATAAATCATATTTATTTACTGACTCTGCTTCTATTTTATGTAAGGAACCGTTTTATCGGCAACTTCCATTTCATTCCTTAATACAGACATTTCAAGTCTAACAGTTTATAGCCATTTTAAAATTAACAGTTTTAGTGCAAGAAGCCCCCACTCACATTTTAAATTACAATATACTCAAGTTGATATGTTTAATCCAGAAAAGTGTAGTAAAGATCTTCTTCAGAACGATTTTCCTAGTTTTCGAAGTTCGATGTACTGCATCCTAGAATAAAGCAACTTGTCCACTAATACAATTTCTAATATTAAACTAGGACAGCCCAACAAAACTTTACTTGAGCTCTCGTCATTTCATATTAGATAAGCTCGTATGAAATATAAATTTCCTCAACCCTTGATAGTTGCAATAATTCTTTACAATAAATTGTGTTCCAAAGTTATTTTCAAATTAATTGCATTGAAATCTAATTTGTTTCAGATGCAGCCAAGTAGGAGGATACGTTTGCAAAAAAAAGCGACAACTTTTGGATTCATCGATCGACTTCAGTAAAACCATAGAAAGCTCGGGGGGAACGTTGACCACTCCGAATTATCCTGAAAATTATTATAACAACTTAGATTTTTTAGTAAAAATTATTGGTCCAGAGAGAACGAGACTGAAAATAAGGTACTGATCTGCTGCTGACCAGATTTCAATGGTAGTTTCAAAACGTTTAGTCAGTGAAATCGATCAGTTGCTTTAGAAAAATGCAATTTGCTTGTAACTTGTTCCTGAGGAGCTGTTATTGGCAGGTTCCAATTCCTAAACTTAAAAAGTTTTCTCTATTGCCGCAGATTCTCTAAAATCGACATCGAATTGCAGTTGGAATGTCTCTACGACTACGTCGAACTGAAATCGGTTTCCAGGGGGGACAAAAAGGTCCAGGAAGACGCCAGCAGGTTTTGCGGCACCCACGCTAAACAAATGGAACGGTTTGACTTCGTTTCTCAAAACAACGAAGCGGAAGTGAAGTTTCATTCGGATTATTCGGTCACCGGAAGCGGGTAAGACTGAACTGAACGTCTTATATTTGTTTACTTCTATAACAAATTGGTCATTGAATATTCGTTTAGCCGGCAAAGGTGTCGTTATTACCTATTTTTTATTGATTTAGATAAACATGAATAAACGATGGCGTAGGAATATAGTTTAAAATGTGTCAGTTTTCTTCAAAAACGAGCAATCGGAAAATTGTCGAGCAATCGGAAAAGTGGTCCTAAGAAGTAAATGACTTTTTCCAATGTTTTCATATTTTAAGTAGATGTCTTGGAGTATTCTGTTTGCCCCCGACATATTATTAATAAATATCATATTTCTCAAAAAGTGAAAAGTTTTAATCTCATAATTGTCCACTCTTTGTCGATCAGCAATTTAACTGAAAAAAATAATATCAACTTTGAATATTCAATTATCATATCACAAAAATGTCAGTAAAATTTTACGTTATACTTATTTACTTCAAGTTGAGAATAAATACGGATAAATTTCTGGTCTGATTAGTTCTTCGTTGGAATATGAAAACATATTTAATCAAATAAATATATTTTGGCGAAACAATTCATTTGGTAGAACCATTGTCAAACTGAATCTTAAGTTCAACTTGACATGATGCGAAAAATTAATGAAAGCAACGCATTTTTGAAAATTAAATATGCAAAGAGATTCGTGTAAGTCTGTCAACTGACTAAGGTTTGAACCTTGTTTCAACCTCAGGTTAAGCAGATGCTTAAAAAATCGTATTTATGTTTTCTATAAGGTCTGCCATAGCCCAGGTTTCGATGTCAACAGCATACCCTTTTTAGCTTAATATTTATACTATTTAAAATAGTTTGCCTGTGCATTAAATCAAAATAGCATGAATGAGTTTCACTCAGAAGGCACTGTTTTAAGAAGCTTTAGCCAGTATTTCTAGTACTGAGAATATGATCGTTGGAGCGGGGATATTAAGAATACTCGGGTAGCAAACACTGAAAAAATTGCGATTGATATTTAAACAAAAACTAAAAAATAATGTATTTACTTTCCAAGTTAACCAAGGAAATAAAAAGAGTATTTTATTATCAATTTTACGTAACAATATGTAAGTACATTTTTGTACACCATTTTACCAAAAAAGTTATTTATATTTAATGCAGAAATTAATGGTTTTTATGATAGTGGGCCTCAAAGCTCAGATTTTAAGTTTTAAACAAACAATTTCGTTGATATTAATACCATTTGAACCAAATTTTGAAATAAAGTTTTTTTAATACAGGAAGTTAGAATCTGCTAAAATTTTCAATTAACATTCATGAGGGCCCTCTCAGACATGTAAAATTCGGATCTCAAAGGATACATTTCGTTATCGTCTATTAGTTTTCATCTTTTCATCAAAGTGCATTGAAAAAGCTAACGATTTCTAATTTTTCGCACAATAGAATAAAACTCGAAGCGAAAGTTACCAAAATGGCAAACAAAAAATTATATTTTTTATTCGTTCTTTTTATTTATGAAGCGCTGTTGTCTCTGTGGCAGGCTTTCGTTAAACAAAATATATAGATAGACATAAGTGTGGAAAACCATTACTCATCCTCTCTAAAATGTATGCAATTAATTCTTGTAAAATGAATAATGTAAAACAGCTTCATTTAGATGCTCAAATTGAAAAAACTCTAAGAATAAAAGTCGAGCAAAGACGCTGAAGCAGAGCGCGAAATAGAACAAAAGCGAAAAGAGTTCATAATATCGAAAAGCTGACTTTTTTGGTGCATGGGAATTGAGGCCCGCTGCGTTTCCAGTTGCAGGAAAACATTTAACACCTCATTACTTTAACGCCACTAAAGGGCTCGGAACATTATTTGCCTAAGATTGCTACAAAATACGTCAGTAGCGAAAGCATTTTCCTAAAAAAACGCTAATGTTTGTTCAAATCGAATACCAAACTGCTCAGGAAAAATAGAAAAGAAGTGCAGATTGGTGCTAAATTAAACATCCGAACGATCTTTACTCAGTCAAAAGGAAAGTTTTGCCTTTTGACTAATTATTCTCATCAGTTAATATAAGAATATCTTTGACAAATAAAAAAATGATCGCTGGTTTCAATGCCATGTTCCAAATATCGACGCCTGCAGTTTTTAAAATTAAGTTCCGAACACCAAGAAATGGCTAATTATTACTCTAGAGAAGCGATAATTTTCCATCAAGCAGGAGAACTTTTTGGAAGCGCTTTTAATCGCGCTGTAGCTGCACAAATCGCTATTAATGGCTTTAAAGCGAACATAATTTATCACGGTATACCGGATTTGTTTTAAAATTTATTTAAGCCTTTACGCTATAAATTAGTTGCCAGAGAAGGAGCAGCCAAAAACTTTACTAGAGACGCTCTCTAGCAATAATCCAAATAGTCGCAGATTTGCTGAAATCAGCCCCAGCAAGTTGAAAAAGCATGAAACAAATTCTAGGCAAAACCTTAGAGAAAAATACTTGGCATTTCAAAGGCCAGGATAAGGAGCTTTGGTATAGAAGTTGGAGTTAAAATTTTCCTGTATAGTTGCATTGTAATGGCCTGAAAATCACTAAACAAGATGGAAATACTCGGCCGAAACTTCCTTCAAAGAAACTGAAATCATTAATTTCAAAGGAAACGCGTAATTCATCAGCTTTGTTTTTAATAGGGCATTTTGCCCTAAGTTTCCTTTTCTTTTCGTAAAATTTTAATTAATTTACCAATTTTACAAGCTTCTCGTAAATTTATGAAACTTACTAGGGAAGGCCGTTCGTCAAAGCAACACTACAAATTTTATATGAAAAGCTAAAATTATGTTTATAATATTTATATTATTGTATATGATCCTGGACGAATCTCTAACTAGCGGCAGAGCTGTTTGAAGAGAACAGAACAAAGCTCTTCCAACCCGCAGCAAATATTTTCGCTATCAAGCAAACGTTATTATTCTCGGTTAATAAGAGCCTGGATAAAACAACGAAGGAGCTGAAATCTGAAAATAATTTCCGCTACTAAAAAAATAATAACTTGGCTGAAGCGTCGTCAATAATTCAATTAAGGTTTTCTCCTTATTTTCACTGCCTCTGGGAAATACAAGGGAGACAATATAAACTTCTTTGTTAATAAATAAAAGAATTGCACGTACACAGTTATTCACAAATTTAATGGCCCCATAATGTGCTTCTGATGTATTTTTTTTACTAGAAATAAAACGCGAAAGCACACATTGATGGAGATTATAAATGACTTTTGTTAGGTCGCTGCAGCTTTAGAGGGCTATAAATGTTTATGTAGGTATATGGGTTTATTTTTCATTTACTCACCGACATCGGGTCGTCAAATAATTATGGCTTTAAAAATATTCCGGTTTAAAAGCTTCCAAAGCCTGGCTTGCAAAATAATTCTTTGACTTCAAACAAAATTTCTTTGTTTAAAAGTTGTTGTATGCTAGGAAATACAACCAAAAATGTTCACAATCTACGCTAACACTAAACAATAAAATTTATTTCCAGTTTTTCGTTGACATGGGTAGCAGTGGACGTATCAGCATGTCCCACTCAAACTTTAACTGCCCGCGAAGGGGTCATTTTCAGCCCGAACTATCCAGATTTTTTACTCGCTCATCTTGACTGCTCCATCCTCATCCAGGCACCTCCGGGAAAACGAATTTGGCTCGAATTCACGGACGTCGACCTCGGTCACAACAATTCGGAAGTGATAAATAACAGCAACAAGAAAGAAGCCTCCATCGAAATGCAACTGGGCAAAAACCTGAACAGTTTCAAGCCTTTCCAGATGAGGGAACTTTTAACGGATGGTAAGATTGAGGATCCTTTGCTGCGTAGTAAATTCATATCTAGATAAAATGTTGAAAGCGGTAAAAAAGTAGCGATTGCAAAAAAGCTTAAAATCTGAAAGCTTATTAAAAGAGTAAAAGCTTGAGTACACACGAACAATCACTTTCCTTCAAGTATACATTTTGGCGCTTTTTCCTTTACACCTCCTGAATAACATTCAAACAGTATAGATTTGTTGTCATCTCCTGGCTGATCGTAAATAAGCAGAATGAAAACCATAAAACACCACTGAATGATAATAAAAAAATTTCAGACGTAGAAAATGTAAAGCTATTAAACTGTTCCCCACCATTCTGCCACAATCAAAGCGATTGGAAAAGTGTAATCAACTTATTTAGGCGCTCGTTCACATAGTTAAACACAAAGATGTAAGAGCAAAGAGAAATATAAACGGGAAAATACATAAATATTCAATAATCTCGTGAACAATGTGTTTTATTTGAAACCATGCAGGTAGTGCTTTAGACGGTTCAACAGGTCTACGTTCAATTACATATTTGCATTTTGCAATTAATTTTCTGGTTAGCGCACATTTGAAATCCATTCGAACTCACCGGCCCGTAATGCTACAAGAGATGCTATAGGAGTTTACTCATGGATATTTTTCTGTTTAATTGAACTTCGTTCCATTTGCGTTCACAAGCAATTCCATAGGGGTCAGTAGGGTAAATATAAATCTGTGCTGATTAATTTTTTGTTACGCTTTCTATTGCCTTTAATTCCTGTTTTGTTTGGTCATTGCTACCTACAGTCAAGGCCTTGTTTGGAAGCCAAAGTCGAATAAAATCCAGGTGCAAAAAATGGATATTCGCAATTTATTTAGGCAACGAAAAATACCTGCATTTGCATATTCAATTTTGTCTCGCATTTTAAGTTTTTCGTCAAAGTTGCAGATTTTTCTATTAGGAAATCTAACATTTTAAAATCTTGAAGATGGATATTCAGGTCTGATTATCCCAACAAAAAATGTTTTCTTGTAAAATCTTAATATGTTTTCTCCTTAAAAGTTTGAACTACCTTGAAACCTACCTATACCGAAATATAATGTCTTTGATTTAAATGTGTTTAATAAATTTGCCTGCATTCAAAAACACACCGCTTTTCAACGAATGTTTTTAAAAGTATACATGAAATAAAAATAGGCAAAAGGTAAAGCATAAGCTTTCATAAAAATATTAATCTTTCTTAAGGCGTACGCTCTTGCGACTTTTAATCTGCTTAAAGTCGAGGAAATTTTCCCTAATTACGGCAACTTGAAATTACAATACTAAGGCTGGCAAATTGCCTAAATAATATTAGGTATTTAAGAACCGACGCAATTATCTGGGAAATAAGGGTGCTTATGTTCGTCGTCTTTTTGTTATCTTTCCATTACTATCTACCTGCCTGGCTGCTGTTAGTTTTAATAAAAGAAGACAAACTTTGCCGGTATATGTGTCAGTTTCCTGCGAGCAATATAAATTGCTTTATCAGAATACTGCAGGAAACAACAATATTGACATTGATCAAAATTAAATAAATACAGAAGAAACGGGCAATAATAACACCTTATGATTGGAAAAGTTATAACTATTTTGTTTTCAACGAAAAATACTTTAATTTTAGTCATATTTAACTTTGCTGCAAAACTCACTTATGTAGTTGAAATGTACAACAACTAAAACTGCTTCAGGCACTTGCGTTTTTACGAGAACTTTTCACAAAATTATCTAAATTAGTTATTGCTCAGTTATACCAACCAGCTTTATCCTTGGTTGCTTCCTGTGCTGTTTCTAAAGATACTTGAATGAAATTTTGAGAAATTGGCATTCAAAATTTGCTAATTTGCGGGGCTCTGTTTCGTTTTCAACATTTGCAAATTAATATTTTAATTATCGCTTTTTACAATAAAAATATAATGTGGATAATAAACAGAGTAACAGACGCATAAAAACACTAATCAATAATAGGCTGAACTAATTCACGGTATGATGCCACTTAATGGCCATCTATAGTGAGATTTTAAATTAATTGTTGAAGAGTTATTGTAAATATTTAAAATCTATTTTGAAATGACACACATTTTCTTACTGTAAATAATTAATAATACTTCGTTATTTTATGGCAAAGTTGTACGTATACTGAAGACAACGTGTTTTATATGTTAAAAATTGATTGATTGAGAAATTAGCGTTTACAAATGCTTACTAATCTAGGAAACAGTTCTTGCATAGAAGTAGCGCCATTTTTTGGCAAAACGTGTTTCTGTTTATTCACATGCATAAACAAAATCGCAAAATTACAGGTAATTTAAAAAAAATTAACATAAGATCACTTTGCTACAAAGAGCCAGGGTTTAAACTTTGAGGATATTTTGCGCACATTTTACTAGGTACCACCGTGAAAAATAAAAATTGATACAAAAATCCTACAAATTGATATCAATAAAAATTGATAGTTATCGCCTTCACAATTTGGTTGGTCAACAAAACAAGACATAGATTTCGGTTAGAAAGAATCAAGGTTCTTTTCGCCTCGTAGAAAAATCCAAACATTTTTTATTAATTGGAAGATATTATTATATTTTTTATTTCCTGAGTTTCAGTCAAAATGTGAAATAAATGTTTTTTTATATATTCCAAAAATTCTTTGGGAGATCAATACATTTTAAAAACTTTATGTTTTTATGAAAAATATGGAAACATTATGTTTGTTTCCCAATTATGGGGTACGTTTTCCAAATGTTTTACTTTCCCAAAGACTTTTTTTTCTTAAGATCTGATGGTCGTTTTAATGCTTTGTAAATTATAGTTTTTGGACAACATATTTTAATTGTAAATTGGTGTCTATAGTTTGTTTTGAATTTTAAACCTGATGAAGGCGCTGTTGTCTCGCCAAAACGTAATATAAAATAAATGAACATTTTTATTTCACATTTTGACTGAAACCCAGGAAAAAAAATATAATAACAATTACACGCAGTCACAAAAGTAAATCAAAATTATATCAAAACAAATGTTTAGAACGTTCAAAAAATGGGGAAATTTCCCTCAGGGCCTCTTTGAAGTTTTGAAGCGTCTAAATTATTTGTTTATTAGCAAACGAGTTATGTAAATATGAAAATGTTTAAATTATTGTAAAACATTTATTAAAAACAAACATAATAAAATGATCAATTCGAATTATTCAATTTAACATTTCATCAATGCTTCTTAATTGTAGGCAATTTTATTTCGTTGGACCAATTCATGAACATAAGACTTCAAACTGGAAAGCATGCAATAGGCAGAGGATTTCGTGCGTCATATAGAACCTCTGACGAAGGATCTATTGAAGAAAAGATAATTTTTCTTGAAAGCAACACTTCGGGTAATTTTTAAATTTGAAGGAAAACAAAACAAAAGCAAGCTACTATGTTTATCATGTATAGGTTTTCTTCAGCATTTAAACTTTCCTCAACGGTCTCCTCCAAATCTTGACTTCTTGCAACGTTTCATTGCACCACCTGGTTATGTGATTTCCATGGAGTTTCATGCAGTAAAACTGAGTCATTTGGAATGCAGCAATGAGAATGGACTTATAGAAGTATTTGATAGTTATTCCGATGCCAATGGAACGCTTTGGAAAATGTGCCGTCAAGCCATCGATGAACAACGAGGTAATATAATTGAGAGAAACTAGTAGCAAAAATATAAAAAATTGCTTTGATTGCAGAAGACGATGGGCCTTTTACCAGTCCGGCTATTTTTATAAAATCTTTCCTCAACTCAATTCAGCTACGACAGAAAAGTGGGATTCTGGGCAGTCCTTTAAATGGCACCCTTAAAGTACTGCCCGATGACCAATACAAGAAGAAACTCATCAACTGCGAGCATAAAAATGTTGAATCTTGCAACCCCAATCCATGCCAGAATGAGGGAAAATGCACGAATAAGAAATCGAACAAAATTTGCCAGTGCATTGGCCATTTTACAGGTGAGATTTTAATAGTCTTTCGGGACTATATAAGTTACATAAAAATGTGCACATTTTATTACAATTTTAGTGCCGAAAATCGTATAGCAATTTATCATTTCAGAAATTCTTAGTGGAAGGTCGTTATATACACATCAAAGTTGCGTATAAACGTTTTTCTTCAATTTAGCAACTTAAACGTGGTTCTTCTTTAATTTATTCTGCCATTCGTTAATTGTACTTCAAGTACGTGGAATAATGTTGGAAAAGATTTAGAGATACTTCGGCTTACATACTTTGGATTTCTCCTCCTGCATCTTCTTACGCCCTCTCGCCCAATTTTTCTGGAAATGCCTGTTGGCGATTTGTGAAAATTTGCAGATCTGTTTCTCTCTGTTTCAAAATTTAATTGAAATAGTTCTTCTTTCAAGAACACTTACTTACATTACATTTAAAGAGAACTTACGAAATCTTGAAGCATCAAGAAAACCAATGCAGAATTAGTCCACATAAGCCGTTCCAAAAGTGGAGACTTTGGGAAAATATTTTATTTGTCTGAAGTAGGAATGTAATGTTTTCAAATAAGTGTTTTTTGATTAAGTTTTCCACAAAAACGAAGACTCAAAAACCATCAGTTTCCATCAAAAAGCAGCAGTTCCCAATCATAAATTTTAAATTTGTTTTGCAGCCATGATTCAGTACTTAATATTTACCTTGGTTAAAGAAGAATTGAAAAAGTCGAAATATGTAAAGCGACTGCAATCAACGCTGAATACACAAGCACACTTTCGAGTAATCCAGCTTCTTTTTAATACATCACTCAGGTTCGGATTTATTCTCGTTAACCTGTATTGTATGTAAGTCTATAGCAGTAATTACGAGAATATTACAATATGGAGCTTTGCGTTCATCGGTTTGTGTGGATCAGTAGACTACAGAGGAAGCGAAAGCGAAGAATTTAGATTTTCATCAGCATTTATGGCTGGCTTTTCACCGCGGTAAAAGCTGTAAAACGGTAATACCTTTCGAACGAATTAGAGCGCTGTATCCCCTATATGAAGCAAAAGGATTTTGCAAACCGTAAAGTATACAAAATAAGTTAATAAACATCAATCTTTTTAATTTCGATAAAAAAATTTTATTGGTATTTAGACCAGATTAAATTATTCTACAATTCAATTAAGGATCTTCCTTCGATTATTGTTATTTATTATTTTTTAGATTTTAACGCTTGCCTTTTAAAGTTTTTAATTAAAATCGTGGAAGAGAGAACACATTGGCGCTTTACTTTAAGAAACGGCTTTAAAAATCACTGATGGTTGTTTTTTTTTTCAAGAAGCGCAAAAATGATCCTGCCTGCACTAGTCGCCATGAAAATACGAAAAATGAAACAGAATATGAATTAAATAGAGTATAACATTTTCGTGCTTGGACATGTTTTGTCTTTGTTATTATTAATAGCGGTATAAAACTAAGAAGAGAATCCGTATGAAAATTGATAAATTTGTATATCTAAGCGCTTTAATTATTAGCCGATAATACAACCATAATAAAAGTATATTTTCGTATTTTCCAAAAGTGAATCAATAAGTATTTAGCTTTTCTTCGGTAATAGGCAAGAAAGCATTTACAATGACTAAACACTGTACTAAACACACAAAGTACAAAGAAAATTCAAAACAGAAAAAATCAGTCAGTTAATAAAAGTACAATAAATCATAAATTAATAATCCAGCTTGAAAGAAGACCGTTGTTTGAAAATCATCCTGTATGCCATTTTTCGGTGTCTGGAGACCGTAAAAAGCGTTATACTGAAAGTGCTACTTCCAAAAGTGAAAGGAATGGATCCAATTGCTTTCAGTCTGGCTTCCTCGGGAATAGCAGATCCCTTTTAATAAGAATTCTAGCTGGACTCGAAGCTTGAAAATTTCCCGATCAGTGAACTGATTAAGTGTAGCAAAACTAGCACATTAAGAAATGTAAAGCCAGATTTTAAAATAATTTTCGAAATTTGTCAAGTATCGTTACGATTTCTAATAGAGTATTCTTTCAAGACTTCAAAGCGTTTTATCTGATACGTTGCCGATAACTGAAAAGATTCCAGGTACCCAAAACAAAGTGCGAGCTTATCAAGTTAACGCTTCTACTAAATACAAACTCTCGCAACTGAAGCATTAGGAACTGAAAGGAAATATAGGTGTTTCCTCTCATGGTTAGTTCCCTTAAAACGACGGAAATATTACCGGAAATGAACGGTTATGTTGAACCTACAGAAGAAACGGTTGCTTGTTAAAATTACCAAGTAAGGGATGTTTGGGTGTTTTCTTATATTGTTTCTTTGTACAAAATTTTAGATCCAGATCCGTCGCCGCAACATAATGTTTTATTCATTTGTGTTGCTCTTTATCTTAATTTCTAATGATTTTCTACTCGATTTTGTTAATAAAAATCTTGAATTTTAGAGGGACTGATATGCAGGTGACGCTCTGTTTAAAATGTTTTAAAAAATTTATGAATACAAGCGAAAAATCTTTAATGTTGTTGGGTTAGAGATTAGAAGATCAAGATCAGATCAGTTCTCAGAATTCAAATTACCTCATTTAGAAGTAACTTTTCGAGTCGTATTTCAAATGTTGCTGCCTGCTATTGCACGTCAGATTTTTCACTTTTCAATTCTCATTAGTTTCAAAATACATAGTTTTTCAAAAAATTTAAAATTTTGCCCTAATTTTCCCCTTGCATGCCTAATGATTGGTGAAAATTTTACTAATATATGTAATAATAAACTAAAATGTTTAAAATAACATTTGGCAATCATTTACCCGTAGCAAAACAAGATATCTGGTTTGATATAATGATATGAAAGGTATAGAAAGGAAATTTCGTAGATTTGCACATAGTTTTAAACTTTAGGACAAAATCAATATATGAGCTTCCAAAAATTCCAGACTAACATTAGCAAACTAAAAATACGTGCATTGCACATATTTCACAGCAACTATGCAGATTTTCGGTCGACCCAATAACCGACAACCCATTTTCAGCACAAAGCAAATATTCAAAACAAATTTAAACTGAATTATTTTGCTGCACTCAGAATTTCTATGCGATATTGCCCGTTTCACAATTATTCTAATACATGAACGATTTTACGCGGTCCCACAATTAAGCTGTTTTGGAATAAATTCATCAAGGCGGACAGAAATGAGGTCCAATTTCTGCTATACAATGGTTGCTTAATTACTGAAGAGTTGAGTAAACTCCCACGAAAGCTGTAAGTTGAGTAGTCTCCGAGAAAGCTCAGAAAAGTTTCCTAGCGGAAAGCGTCAGAAAATTGTCTATTTGATATACCATTCGGAATGTATCTGTGTATCAATCACCATGCATCCGTAAATACGAATTCACAGAGGAACTGACGGACAATAATTTATTTACAAATTAAATTTTTGTCAAAATCTGAGTGCAAAATTAACCGCGCTTTTGTTAAAATTGTATATTTTTTCTGAGAGAATTAGAATAATTTCCCAAGTGGTGTTTTATACGAAACAGAACGCACTCTCGTACCCAAGACTTCAGCTTATTACAATTCTATCAAATGGTATTGAATGCAGAAGAGAACGCGAATCATCGAGACCATCTAGCGTATATCGAGTGTATAAACACATACAGCAAAAATTTTTAAAACACAACGTAAAATTTAAAAAATACCATATTATTTGACAACACTAATGAATCGAACAATAGCAGTTATAACTGTTTTGTTTTGTTAATTTATCAGCATGTGTTTGAAGTACAAGGTGTTACAATCGTCATTTAATTCACTTTTCTTGAACCGGACCACGCCAAAGGCTGAAACGACTGTGGTCCTTACCAGAGCTCTAATGGTGCTTATGATAAAGCCAAAACGTCGATGCTGGAATAAGAGCATTATGTAGAAAACGTTCTCAACCATTCTCGTTAGGGAGGGTCGGTAGTTAACGTAACCGCTAAAATAACAGTGTTCCGAACGTGTAGCCTGTAAGCGCATTTACAGGTAGCCGATTTAATCGGCTATTTTTAACTTGTTTCATCTTTTTTATCTTCTCGTTACAAAATTAGTAAAATTGAAGTTTAACATTGTAGCTACTTCCGTACCATGCGAGCGATTAATCTCCAAATCGGCTGCTATCGTAAACAAGCAACAAAAACTAGACTTTGTGAAAAGAATCCGCAAAACAAAATATTCTTACATGTTGATTAATTTTTAATTAAAAATTAGCTTTTTAAATGTTACTTTTGGAACCAAAATAAAACTGCAACCTTTTAACCAGTTACAGAAAAATAACCGTTTTGCACACCTCTAATTCTCGTAAGCTGTTAGACACATACATTAAAGATCAAGTATTGCAAAATACATACTTTTTCAAGTTTTAACGCAAAACAAGATATATTAACATAGTAAATTAATTTGATCCCCTTCAGTTTCCAGTTTTTGTTATTAAATACGTATAATTAGCACAAAACATACAAAACACTTCGCAGCTCGCTTATGTCACCCTGTTGGCTCTAAAACGAACACATTGCTAATCGTGCGACAATCATATCCTAGAAAATTATGAAAATTTCTATTTAAAAAATATTGCTGACAAACTCGCTACTCTCATACTTTCGAAAATTGAACTAGAATGTTTTGTGATAGTTTTTCTCCTATATTTAAATTAACTCAAAAGAACAAGACTTGCTGCTAAATGGGGCGTGAAGTAAAATTAAATTAATGATAACATCAACAATGAATAAATTAAAAGACGATAATATCCCATAGATAGCAATAAAAAATAACTCTTATTTTTTGCTATGTGATTTCCATATGATCTTTTTGTCAATTGTTAGCAAAAAATCTGAAGTTTTCGAAAACACATTTTTTTTAATATTCTGTAATTAGTAAGTTTGAGTATTAGACAAATCGAAGAAAAGGGAAGTCGAATATTTGAAAAATAATAATGTGTTGTGTACGATTTTATACCGAGCGCGACTTAGTTTATCTAGACATCCATGCTTAAAACTAAATATAAAGAAATAAAATTAAAATTGGAATACAAGTTGAGATAGGTTTTTTTATGGGCACCGCCGTCCTTGCTTTCAACAGTCAAGCTCTATTAGCGTCTGCCAGCAAAAACATTTTCCCCCAATTTGATTGTTGTGGAGAAAGCCGAAGTTAATTTACTGCTGTCTTGATCATGGTCTTGGTCTTGTTCGTGCAAACATTACTTTGCCTTGGGCTTGCGAACCAAAAAAACAGTCTTGATAATGTTTATTTTGCAAGATCAAGACCAGTATGTAGTGTATTTTACCATTTCTGTCTCATTCTTCAATGAAGCTGCAAGATCTTTGATGTCACGAGGAAGGAATTGTAAACACGTATTGATTTCTACGAGAATAAAAAGACAGAAATCCTGTGCTTAAGAAACATTTAATAAATCCCAAATAACTGTATTACAACGTAAACTTCGATATCTAGAAAGCAACTGTACTGAACGTTAAATTTAATATCCACAGGAAGAACGATTGGCATACACAGTTAAAAGCCGCTTAATTTCAGGATTATTTTGTGCCATCACGCAATGCGATTTAGAGCCATGTGTGTTTGGAAGCTGCGAGCTTACCAACACCAGTTATAAATGCCATTGCAACAGTGGCTACGTGGGACCAACCTGCGAGCAAAAAAAGAAACCCTGCGAAAGCAACCCTTGCGAAAGTCGAGGCAGTTGCATCGAGAAGGGCAACGGGTTCCTCTGTAGATGCCACGCTTGGTGGGAAGGTAATCAACTTTTGATGGGAAGTTATGTTCATGAATAGTGCTAATGCGTATATGAAATTTCAGGTACCAAGTGCGAGAAACGCATGCTACACATTCCGTTTACACCATTAAGTGAGCGAATGCTCCATGAGCCTTTCTGGCTCGGCCTGATGACGGTCTTCGTTGTGCTGGGAGTCATCGGATTGGTCTGGTGTGCGAAAAGGCATTTTCCCGAAAAAATCGAAAAACTGCTAGCAGAGGACAGCAATCGAAGCAGAAGTAAGTTTGTGTTCTTTTATAGAAATGCTAATATACGGAATAGGTGAAATGAATTGTGCTTTATCGCAAACTCCGTTCTTATTATAGTTCGATGGATGTTAAATTAGCAATCTAGTGGTTTTACGCGCTGATTGAAATGAAACACCTTGAATATTAACTTTTCATGAACATGTAGTTCATAATTTCGACAAATCCGAGCATTATCAATTTATAATTTTTTAAGTTTTGCCGCGGTTTAATGTGATACTGGTTGATACTCGATATTTACTAATCTCTTGTTCGTTCTTGTACCATGAATTTACTGTTAAGCCTGTTTTATTTATTGGTTTTTTGACGCCGCTATGTTAGCTTTTACCCGGGCTTCCTTACACACTTTTCTTCGAAAGGTGATGAGGAATTCTGGAACTTTGGCCTTTTTTCTAGCAATTATTTTTGAATATGACTAGTTCGTCTTCCACCATGGCGGCGCCAGCTTTATTTTCCGCTTGGAAGAAAGCCGTCGAATTTTTTTTTAATAGTTGGATATGATATATCTCTTCTACAAAATATGTTGTTTTCTTCTTTGGCCGAATATAATGTAAAGTATTTTTGGTTATTTTTATTTAATATACAAGCGTTGCAAAGATTTATTTTTAGTAAGCACTTATAATAACTGTTTTTGCCAAACAAGGAGCTAACAGAGTTTGACAGTACCTAGAGTGTCCCAATTATTTTATCTACTTTCCTAGAATAACGAAATAAATGATACAAAAATATATTTCTCAACTGTCAACACTTTTTCAAAAAAAATTGTAATAAAATCTTTTGAATTGAATAATACCTTTTACTAAACGAAATTAAATTAAAAATAATTAAATTAACGAAAACAACATTATAAACACTTCATTGTATATACTTTCCTGACTGTGTTTCAATTCCAATAAATGACTGAAACCCAGAAATTAATTTTGATTTGGAATTATAAACACTGAATAAAACTTTTAAAAAGTAGTGAAATAATTGTTGGGCGAGACAAATATTGATTGGGCGCTCGCTCAACATCACCCACCCCTAGCGCCGCCACTGGACTCTTCTATGACTTAGAAGTTTGTGTTTGTCAGTAGTTTTTTATTTGCCTTTTGAAAATGAATTCAAATATCAGAACACCTGGAAAAGTAGATTTTTAGAAAATCACAGCAAAGTAAATTTGTGGAGGTATTTTTAAATTTAAGATTTGGATTAAATAAGAGATATTTTGATAAGCATCACAATAGTTCGCTTTGTCGAAACATATACAGAGTTTCATTCCACCTTTTCAGTCCTCGAAACTAAAACACTCGTTTGTGCATTTAACCGAAAATAAATCTATATTGTGCACAGAACTTGTACATGAGGGGCCAAATTGGACAGTTTTAAATAGAACCTCCTACTGCTATAGCAGATAGACGAAAACTGAGGGTGGTGTCTGAACCCAGATTTTTATGACAAAATTAGCGACGAAAACCGTATGTCAATATCTCTAACAGGTTCAGAGATACAGTTTAATTTGCAGCAAACACATACTTTGCTTTGATAAATCGATTCAACAAACGCTAGGTTTAAATAACACGAGAAACAAGCAATGTAACCAATCATGAATTTTAAATACTAAAACATGTAAAATTGGTCTGGTCATTGACTCAGACATCACTATTCGTGCACCCATCTGCTATAGAAACAGCCAAATGACCTCTCCTGTACACGAACAGGTTCATCTGCATATGAGTTGACTTTGTGTTTTCAGTTCACTCATTGCGTAGTACATCGGTACGAGAGCAGCTAGCTGCAGCTTCGGGTGCAACAGCTGCAGTCCTGGCTGCAGCAACACCCTCCCCAGGACCGGCGCAGGGACGGTCGATCTTTGGCCGTTTGGGTATTCGCAAGCCATCCATCCTCAGCCTGACCAGTCCACACGCGAGCTGTGGTGCAGGCGGTTACTCGCCCGCTACGGCCCGAACTTTTAGTTTGGATGATTTACTTAAACCTCCCCCGAGACGTAAGGCGCCAAGCCTGCGCTACTCTCTACTTTGTCTTGAACACTCAATGCACCACTCTTACTTCTTCCATAAGCTTTTTTGGATACTCACTCGGGTTAACAGGCAAACCCAGACTTACTAACTTGATCACGACCACCGTCTTTTCAACAAAGTAGGGAATTTTGTGAAGTAAGGAATAGGTACGCGTTATGTTTGAGTTTCACTTGCGTTTATTTTTCACAGTTGGGATGGCACTGTTGAGATCATTGATAATAGCGAACGTTCAACAAAGTTCATCGTCTACAGGCTACGCCGAAGAGAACAATTCACGAATGTTCGCCGATTACGCACAGTATCTGTGATCAAATTAACGCTTACTAGGGCGAACAGAAACGAAATAGTGTTAGCTGTCGTAGTAATATATTTTTGAGTAGAGTAATTCCGGGAGAGATGAACCACCTTTTTTGATTCGACTCTATCTTCACAATAAATAGCTTTATTGACGTAAAAAAATGTTGTCACAAACATTTTAACTAACTGCAATCAGAACTGTAACTAAAGACTAAAAACTCGGACACATTTGCTGACAAAAAAATAAGATAAAAAACCTTTATGTGGTCCAACGAACGAAAGCTGCGGGATAGTTGAACCACCAATTTGTGACAGTTGGACCACACAGGGAGAGATGAACCGTAACAAAGGATAAGGAACAAAATTAAACTTAATTAATTTTTTTTTTTATTTTTAATTAATAAGTTTTTTGCGGCATTCATTGCACATATTTTCAAAGTTTGTACACGACTCAACTTCAACGTTAACTGTTCAGCAACAGCAAACGTGTTGGGGCAAAACCAAATTTTTGCAGCTTTTTTACATGTGCCACTATCGTCGCTTCATTTTCTTCTCCTAAAGTAGACGAAGAACTCAATGAGCCAGTTTTTTAGTTTTCCGCACGGCTTTCTTGTAATTAGAGTAGCTTTGGGAATATCAAAGTGTCTGGCTGCGGCATTGACCTCCATTGTTTTTGTATCTATAGCCTCTACAGCATTTTTGAGGTCCTCTTCAGTCCATCTAGCTCTTAGTGAGCTCATCTAGCTCTTAGTGAGCTCAACTTCCGTTGGTATTTTGTAGGCATTGTATAAAACAGAAAAATAAAACCGGTTCAACTGTCCCGATTTACTCTGGTCCACCTATCCCAAATTTCAGGGATAGACGGACCACCCAAAAACAAAAAATCTATTTATTAATCGGCTTTTACATAATTTACGTTGTTCTGAATGAATACCATGCAATGCATTTTTAACCATAAATCGCATTTTAAAACTTTCTCTTAGTTAGAATCGCACCTTCAAAATACCGTTAAAAAAAATTCTACCATTTATAAATGCAGAAACAAATAAAGCCACTCTCGAAAATTAACAGAAAATAAACGAAATTAGAGTTTCAAATTATTTTTAATAGCTAATTGTCTTCTCCGTTCACCTTCTCTACTAATTGCCATTCATTTTTAAGTATGTATTGGATACCAAATGCGGTTTTGGCTCCGCTTCCTGCGCTAAATTATAGAAGAAATGGAAGCTAATTTATAGAGCTATTGTCACCAAAAATAATCGACTTACTTCCATGTTGGCAGAAAATCAATGTTTTTAAACGTATTTTCCCATTTTACAGATACGAAATGTTCACCTTAAATCGGCACATTTCGTGTTATGGATATTTTTTAATTAGGGTGTACATTGAACGTTTTACTCAACAGAGTCCGAGCGTCTATTAAATTAGTGCCCGAACAGACGTTATTTTAACTCGATCACTTTTAAAACTGATTGCTAATGTAGTGAATTCGAGTGAGTATTCGAAACTGTCTTTTGTGTGCTGTGCCAAGTTTTACTTTACATCTTTCTGGAAATATACAGAGCGAATCAGCAAAGCGGCAGTCTTCCAACCTTGATCGTATGCAAATAGAAGCTGCAAGAAAACTTTAATATAAAAGTGTTACGGTTGCAGACGAAGAATTAAGGTATAGAATATACAAAATGGAGTTATCAATTAACAATTGCCTTTGAAACTTTATCACAATGGTAATGGTTAAGTGGTATGGTTCTAAGTTTAAAAATGACCTGCTTTTAAATTCAGATTTCTATTCTGGCCATATCTGAACTGATGATCCCGATGTTATAAAATAACAGAAAAGTAACGTAGGAAAAAGGTCGCATTTTAAGCCAGAAATCCATGCTATGGATGAGGACAAAGGTACACAAGTAGCTTCCATACCACTTATATTGCACTTCAAACCTCTATGGAAATGACTTCCATAGAGTGATCTCCACAACTATATAGAGGGAGTTTCTCTAAATAACTCTCTCCTTAAATTATCGCTCCACTATTAGGTTTCAACATAAGGGAGCTCTTTTGCATTTAGCCATTAATCGTTACACCTATAATTGTAGGAGCTATTGCGTTAATCCGTTTTATTTCCTGGAGCGTTCAGTTACTGCGCTAAGATAAATTTGTAGGAAGCGGATTGGACGGTCAGAAGACCTGATCTCATTTCTTGTAACTTTTTTCCTGGATCTATTAAAAAAGAATGGTACCCAGTTTCTCCATACTTTACCGCGATTTCTGTAAAATATCCTCAGTCACTGTAGGGTGACCTTTATAACAAGAGAGAAACTGGACCTTTTGGGAAATCTTGTTGGAGCACTAATGAAAAATTACATTCTTAATTTATTGGAAATAATTTGGACATTTTTTAGTTGTATATTTTTTGCAACTGTTAGAATTGAAAAATGGTAATAATATGCTGATTGAATATTCAAATATAGCTGTGACCAAAATTTATCGAATTTAGTCACAAAGCGTGTCATCCAAAGTATACTTTTATACGAATTTAACTAAATTTCTGACGAGTCCAGAATGTAAAAGATGGTCAATCCAATTCAAACCAAGCACTTTTAGGCACTTGCACCACAGCACTTTTATATCAATAAGTCATTTAATTTGAGTCGATATTTGTTGTCGATGAAAAAGGGAAGAATTGCTGGACTGACTCACCCTTTATAGTAGTTGCGTTGATATGTGGTTAAACATTGTTTTAATTTAATATTTTCTGACCAGGAGGTGAAAGTCCCATCAATTTTGCAGCGCAATGATTGGTTTTTAAAATGAAAACTGTATATTGTCTAAAGCAATTATATCCTCCGAAAGGAAATAAGAAAAGAAATAAAGCACCAATTTTTTTTTAAACCGCACACGCACAAAAATTATCAGATCCTTATTAACTTTAACTAGTCAACCATGTGCTCATAATCGGTACATTGACGAGAAGATGATTTCCTAACTACTAACTTAATAATTTGTTGCTATTCCAGTGGCATTTTCAAGAATTTTCCAAAAAGTTTAGCAGAAAAAAACAATTTAGGATATACTTCATATTGTGCAAAATATGTTACTTTTTTAACGCAATTTTTATGCTATATTTCTAAACAAGACTTTCCGTCTCAGCAATATGTATACCCGACTTCTCAATGCAGAAATAAAAAATACTCAACCTTTCTGGCTCCATAAACTATCAATAAACCTTTTATTGAGGGTTTCTCGTCGTCCGACCCAAACTTATTGGACCCTGAAGTTATTGAATAGATATATATCGGAAAGCGATCAAATAACCCATAACGTCCGAAGCATTTATCAGAAGTAACAACTTATATAGTTGTTTTGCAATATATTCACTATAATTCCGGAAAATGGATTTTGCAACTTAATCTTCAGATGTTCAAATTACCCGCCCAGGAAACGGTATTGAACAGTCAAAATCATATTTCAATAGTGTCAATTTATTTTCTTAAAATTCAAGTTTTTTAGTGTGGAAGTAGATGTTGGAACTTGGAAAATACGAAAATACTTTCAGGAGTACAGCAAGAAAATAATAAACTATATGTTTTCTTCTCCATAAAGCATAAAGCAAAATTTTATAAAACGTTTGTTATACTTCTGTTGAATACTGCTGTACTTTGGTGCTGGACAGCAAATTGTTTTTTCACTATTTTTTTTTTCAAAAAATTAATACCTTTTCAAAGAATTGAATATGTTTAAAAGTGCATTAATTGATTGAATTGAATGACGGCAAATTACATAAGAATGTTTTTCTAAAGTGAGTGAATTTAAATTTAAAACTTTAAAAATTTAATTGTAATGTGCAATTTTCAAAACATTTGTTCAATTAACGATTTTACATTTGTCCATTTTTCGCCTCAAAACTCTTTATATGAATTTAAACTTTTTGATACAAAGTAATCTAAGAACAAATTTTGTAGAAACTGTTAAGAATTTTCGATTTTGTGAGCCGCGATGAATGTTCGATTTTAAATGTCTTTTAACAGCCGTGCTAATCTGAAAAAGAATCGTCGTAATAACACAATTTGAAAAATCCAATTATTTCCGATCAATTTTACACCAAATTATCTTGGATGGCATATTTTTGCCTCTATTGTTAATCGAGTTTCTATTTACAAAAATAAATCCGTTTGCCTAATCACTTTTATACAGACAACTTTTGTCATGGGCACTGAACAGAAAAGAACTTTTTTATATTCGCTTGCGTATGTCCTTAAATCCAATATTTCTTAAAATTTATGAATTGACCAGTGATAATTGTAGACTAGATTATTGCCATTATTTTTTGGATATTACTTTTATTTCGCCCTCTTATTCTATAAATTTACTGCTTTTTTAGTGCTGTCGTTACTGGTTGTTACTACCATATCTGAAAAGCTTTTAAAGATAAGTTGTTAGATAATTTTTAATTGCAAGATAATTTTTAGCTGTAGGTACTCAAGAATTTAAAAACTTACTTTTCTCTCACTAAAAAAAAAATTACATATTTTTTAATGCAGATCTGTTAAAATTTAGGTAATGTATTTTGTTTTCTGAATGATTCATATAAAAGCCTTCACGGTGTTGCCTGTAAATTTATTTTTTTATATTTTCTTGTGGTTAATTATATCGATATTTACCCGTTGCCGTATTAGTGGTTCATAATTATTTAATGAACAGTACATTGTTAACTAAGAATAAATCTTCTTACTGAAAAATATCTTAGCAAATCTTATTTAGTTAGATTGCTATAAGGAATGAGTTAAACTGGTCCCTACTTTAATTGCTTTCAAATATACAGGGTGAGTCAGAGAAGCGATTTTTGGCTCTGACTACAACCACAACACTTTCATATGAAGGTTTTTTTCAGTCGCTATTTCTGTACGATGCAAGAGGTGGACTGGCTTCTCCAACTCACCCTGTATAAAATAAAATCAAAGGTTCTTTGTCAGTTTTCAGTTGATTCTAAAATGTAAAGACTCACAATATGAAAAGCTAGATCACATATCACGCAACTATATTCCTCTTCTTCAAAAACGTACTTAGTACTCTACAACAGAAATACAACTCTTTTTATATTTGTAGATTGATTCTATTCCTTTTCCTCTTCTCACTTTGCGTGTGGCTGGTAGGTTGCACTGTACTCTTTCTAAGAAACTCTTGATGTTGCACTATACGCTATTTCTCATCTACGTTTCATTCACCTCATCATTCATTTGATTCCGATTTCTTTTAAGATAATGTAAAAAAAATTATCACTATTTTTCTTTGAACCACAGTATTGGTCTGGTGAAAAAACGCACTTTTCTTGTAGGAGTAAATCACATAGTTTCAACATTAACAGCCATTAGTATCATGTACATACACGCTAGTTAACGCATTATGCTATCAATGTAATCAGCTGCATGAAATAGAAATTCCACTAATACAACTCGTCTGCCACTAGGTAGCCCATCACCCAAAAAGAAGCGGAACAACTCAACTCCCACCAAGAAGAATGTAGCCGAAAAGAAGCAAATCCTCCAACATCTCATCTCGCCCGTAAACAAGCACCTGTCGAAGCGGGTCAGTTTAGGCGAACTGATCCAGATGAGTGAACACAAAACCAGCGGTATTCAGTCAGCCCCTTCGGTAATTATTAAGGAGACGAAATTCTCTGACAACGATCCAGCTTTGGCAGCGTTAAACGATCCCAAACTGGAAAAGAAAGTCACTTTTGCTCGCTTGCTTAATAAAGTGAGTGCGGAGATGAGTTCGGGCTCGGACATGGAAATGGGCATCATGCAGACCAATCGTCTGGGTTGCATTTTTCCCAGGGCTTCCAGCACTCCTCCATCACCTAGCGTGATTAACAGAAGTCCGAACAGTACATCAAGTAATCAAGGTAAAGGTGAATAGAACAATACTTAGCTTGGCAGCAAAATCGATCAGACGTTTTTGTAGGAAGCGCTTCATTCACCAGCTCCGACCTAGCAATTCCTAGCGCTTTAAGTGCAAGCGCCTCCGATCTGTTGATCGCCAGACGTCAAAACAAGAATCCAATAGGCAAACAGAAGCCAGCGAGTGCCGATTCCATTCTCGCAATGTTCCGCAATTTTTCTTCAAGTTCTGCAGGAGCTAATTTGCCTTCGTCGCTTAAGCTTTCGCCTTCTTCCACACCAACTGCTTCAAGTCCTCACGATGATATTGTAGGCGACGATGAATCGTCGTCTTCCTCCGTGCATACTCCGGTATCTTTCTCCAGTGGAGCACCTGAAAGTCCAATAATGCACCATGTTTTCAACCAGAGTACCATCGAGGTTCCGGTCCTGGATCCGATAAGTGCACATCGATCGCCTGGCGGTGGAACCAACTTGCTGCATCCACCAACGATATTACTAGAGATTCCTAGCACAATCAATAAGTGCCTTTCTCCCATTCGGGAGCTGCCGACGCCTCTGCCATCACCAATGCCTTCGCCAGCAATTACGCCCATCATGCGCAGAAGTCAGTCACCGATAGCTAGAAGAGCTGCGGCTCAAATTTCCGCATCTTCGCTTGATGACTTGGATAACAGCGATGATAAGATATCCATGGAAATTCCCAATATTTCCATAAGTGGTAGCGATGACGAGGACTTGAGGTGTCCAGACATCGCAATCGATCCTCAGGCTGAAGATGGTCTTATTTTTGAGGAAGCAGCTGCTATGCAACATAGTGCCTTATATAAGATAAAGGTAACGTTCAAACACAGAATCATTATTATATAACACCTTGTCACGTCCACTGCTGAACAGATGCTGCTTTTAACTCAGGCTATTTTGTTCGGTCTTGGGAATTTAGTACGAAAATGAAGTCATCTTTAGTGCAATCCGATTGCGAGGCAAGCTGTTGGTTCTGTGAGGGCTGTAGATTTTTTTATTCACCTTAGGCAGGACGCTGGCCTGACCTTTAAACCCTTCTCCTTTACCGCTTAGGGCTTGGGACCGGCAACATGATTCCTGAACTACTTACACCATTCGTGTGTTTTTAGTGATCTTTATTAAAAAGCTGGTTTTTGCTTTGAGCAATTCACTCCCTCCCAGTTTAGTGGATTCTTCACCGAAATCGTCTTCACCAGATGCTTTTTTCTGCTTCAATCCTGACAGCGACTTCAGGATATCTTCGACTGTTATCGTTGGCAACTCTTCCAATTTTTGTTTTACCATGTGAGGCGCATTTTTTATTGTTTCTGCTTAACTCTGGTTTTCGTCGTTGGTAGAGATTCCCGACAATCTTCGGTACCGGTTGCTTGATCCATTGCTTGTTATTTGTCCTTTTTAATTTCTAGTTTTGGAAGTTTTTCTCCAATTACTTTCTTATGTACTGCCCTCATGCTTTTATTTTCTTCTTATATCAAAAGAAATTCCTGGGTTCCAGTCAATTTTATTGTTTATTTGTAACATTTTAAATAATAAACAATAAAATTGACTGGAACCCAGGAATTTCTTTTGAATTAAGTTGAAATACAGTCAGGAAAATATTCACAATTTATTTTCTCCTATAAGTCTAGTTGTTCCTTTCGGCTCTGTTTGATCAATTTATAGAGTTTCTTTTCGTTTTATGTTAAAGGAGTGTTCCCTTTGAGCGGCGTTGATTGTCTCCGGAGTGCTTCTATTTAACTCCTCGAAGTTACTTGTATCAGCGTTCTTTAAGTTTTCTTTTATCGCATTTTTTTATTTGTCCACATAATGTAGATTTGTCCACTACTTGCTGTTCTTAATCATGAGTGAGTTTATTTTATTCTATCTTCAAATTCAGCAGTATCTTCGCTCTCACCATTCTAAGTCGCTCCCCACTGATAATGTATTGAGTAGTTACATCCGTTATTATATCCGAAGTAATTTTTGTTCTACCATCTGCATATGTTCATGTACACTGTCGCTATCGTGCTTCTTTGAAAATAGTATTACTTAAGGCCTCCAGGTGGTGATGGAGAAATCGTTGGAGCAGCAGGTTTTTGCTAGTGATGAGCAAAGCAAGACCAAGACCACGACTTGCACGGCCTTGGTCTTGGTATTGCAACAAGGCTTTTGCAAGTCTTGTTTTTATATAAGCCGTAAAATGACTGTTTGCTATTTTAATAAGTTTAATTATTTTGTAATTCAATATTTTTGACCCGTACTTTTTCATTGTCTATTAAGATCCAGAAGATCTTCATCCAGAGAAATCGAATATATTTTCATGTAGTGTAATTTACATATTCTAACGAAAGTACAACAACAATGAAATATCTACAGTAAGCTGTAGATATTTAAATATTTTTATTGGGCTTTTTACTGATAGAAAACAAACTCAATTATTAATAATGCACATGATTCGTCGCAAGGATTAAATTATATTACTGTTTATACAGCAGTTGTAAGTACTGCCAATTATAATATTCTTTGGCCGGATGTCAGGGTTCTTCATTCAAAATCATGGGTTTGCTCTGGAAATTTGGAATGGGACAATGGTTTCTCCCGTTGGGATGTGGGAGATAAAACCAAGGCTCGCGTGGGCAGGGGCGCATCCCTGAAGTAGATATAATTTAGTATCTAGCCGCTACCCAAAGACACAGGATGTTTCAGTATAAATTTAAAAAATATCTCTAAATTTGCGATCAAAATTAGATCGAAAATAGTTTCCTGTTCGGCCATGGCCATGCAATTGTGAATATTCGAGTAGCTTTTTGTAAAGCACTTTAGCTAAAACTCATATGATCCATTGCCTTTCGGCGTGGAGGTTTAAAATGGTATCAAAGCTTGCGATATTTGCGCCAAAGTGGATAATTATACTTGAAGCTCTGCTAATTTACATCAGTAGAAAAATGTGTCCATTGATTAAATTACAAAAATGTTGGACGGCAGGGGGTTGGGACAGTTGGGACAAAGGCTAAGAACATGGCGCTAAAACTGTTGGTACGAAGTTTTTAGTTACGGGATTAAAATCATTACTTGAGCTTGAGCAACTATAGTTTCTTATAGACGCTTTATGCCAGCGTGAAAATCACATTATCTGTTTCATGGTTCGACGTTTCATATGTAAGAAACCACCATCAATTTTGTTTTTTGAAATACGACTCGGTTTGCTTAGGTATTTTTTCCAACTTCTAACCAGAAAATAGTGAATACCGACCTGAGTTTTTACTGTAAAAATATGTAGTTAGTTTTGTTCCAGTTTTGATATTAACGGCAGAAACTAAAATTTAACGCACAATAATTCTGAACATTTCACTGTGGATATTTTCCCAGTAGGTGATCCGATTGCAACAATTTTTTATCGACTCATAGCTCTATTTTTGTACTAAATTTAAGTTGCAAGAAAAGAAAAATCAAATGTAATAAACATATTGTAGAGGGTGTTTAAATAGTGTAATGTTTTCTTCGGCAAAGTTTAAATCCGTTTGGGGGCAATACCGGGTAGGTCAGACAGAAAAAATATATAGGGTGCACCTTCAAGTCGTCTGAATAATTTGGATCTTCTATCGTCTGTTTATCCTGAGCCGTTTGAGAGAATTTATTTAAACCGTCTTTTTTTATTCCGGAAAGGGATGTGCAAACGAAATTTTATTACATGCGAAATCCGCCAATCCCTGATTCTTTTGTTACGCATGAAACTCCATAAGGAAGCAAAACAAGAAACAATATATCGTGAAAACAAGAATTGGGAAATCTTGAGCAACTGAATTGACCGAGCACAGGTAGTGGCAAAATAAACAAAGCTCGCAACAAATAAAAAGTATAAGTTTTCCGAGGAAAATGTGGCGCGTCATAAAAATGCATACCTGTCGAATGGCTCAACGTAAACAGATGTTCGAAGATCCAAATTGCTCAGAAGACATCGTATCCTTTTTGTCTTTCTGGCCTACCCCATATTGCCCGGAGAAAGATTTAAATTCGATCAAGAAAGCATAGTAGTATTTAAACACCCGAAACAATAATATTTATTTCATTTCTTGTTGCTTATCTTAATACTTGCATTTTGTCGAAGAATAGGCTGCGACTCGATAAACAATTATTCCAATCGGATTTGCACACAAAGCTATGAAATATTTCAACAATGCATTAAATTTGTTTAATAAATAACAATAAATGAGATACGAAAATCCGCGTTAAAGGTTGTAAAGCGTAAGTTGCTTACTCTTTTAATTGCCTTAATTGTTTCCTGACTGTGAACTTACTGCCTCAGTAAATTAATTAAATATCAATTGACTGACATTCTTATATTGGCTCTTCTTATATTAGACATCTGTGGGAGATCAGCGCATATTCATGAGCCAACCTGAACATATTATTGCACCAGTTAATTCTTGATTTTTACTTTCTTTATATAAGAACTTTGTACTGTACAATACATCTTTTGTTGTTGCAGTCCACACCTCAGAGCCCGCTCACACCTACGACTTACAATTCCTTATATCTGCAGACATGGATAAAAATTGAATAAATCTGAGTTTCATAGAGGTTCTGAAACGGGTCAGCAGTTTCAACGTAAATTTCATCTTAAACGTTCTTTGTGGTTGCGTTCACTTGTCGTCAATTGTGTTTGTTTCATACATATTTTGCTTGTACATATTTGAACACTTTGTAACCCAGTTCCTGACTCGTTATGCTTGACTTGTATGGCACGAACGCAAGCTTCTACATCGACCATTTACTTCTTTCAGAATCGCCCATCTCCACTAGTGCACATCAACGACCAACCAAAAAGCCCCAACAGCGTCCCACCCTTAGTTATTCCGACATTAACCATCGAAACACCATCACCAACTCGTAAAACACCCACTTTACTGATTCCGGGATCACCACCGCCTCAACGGTCGCACCCGCACCACCAAGAAAGCGCCTTCCAGTTTCCTACCGGCACCAAGTCGGGCCGAAGAATGTTCAAGGACTTCGAAAAACCAACTTCACTAGACTTGCCATGTGCACCTCCTCTTATAACAGTCACTTGCAATATGAGTGAAGCTGAATCGGATATTGAGTCAATATCGCCAGCTGTGAAGCTTTCAGGGCGGGGCGGAGCTTCGGGCGGGATGAGCTACTTAAGTCCATTTTCAATGGCACATCGAGCAGAGCAACACGCGTCTGAGTCCAACCTCAGCTCTTCAGGGTACAGTTCGATGGCTAGCCCAGGACCTTCTAGATGTGGGTCTAGCAATCCTCTATGTCCATCGGAGATGGAAGATCCAGGACCGCCTGGATCGGGCCATTGCCTAAGAAGACAATCACTTACTCCTGTTCGCAGACCTAATTCGAACTGCGGAAACGCTGATAATACCAGTGGGCAAGGGGACCAACGAAGGGGACGTTCCGACTCGGAAACACTTTCAGATGACCCGCTGTTAGAGTCGAATGATGAGGGAATTGGAACTGATCATATAGACGAAAAGATTGATGATGGTGAAGTGAAAAGTGCAAAAGATCTGGAGGTATTCATGACAGTTGAAACCAGCGACACCAAGTCGTTGCTTCTAGATTTGCCTGTGGTTACCAATTTGAACACTCCACGAGTTGCAAAATGTGTTACCGTAGACAGCACGATCGACCGACTGATTCCTCCTCTAACGACATCGATTAGCAAAAACTCACTGCAACTTCCTTCTATAGTTGTTCAATTGGACGCTATAACTGGTGAAAAATATTTGAGCCCCATGAGCTCTCGCAGTGAGAGCCCTTTGAGCGACCGCACATCTGGGATGGGTCGCTTTTCGCCATTATTCTATGGGAAGAATAAAGACTTGCTGCCATTCACCGACTCGGACGGACTGTACGACTTTCCCAGCTCCGACAAAGTGAATGTGACCACAAGCTGTCAACATAAGAAGATAGGCAGGAAAAGAGACAAACGTGCTCTACGCAGCTGTAAAACCCCCAGCCCGACTAAACAGCAGCAGAACCTGAGCTGGCACAATCACTTAGATGTACCAAGTAGTAAGGACCCATTTTATAAAGTTCCACCTCCACGGAAACTTAGCCCCAAGCGAAGATTGGCTAGAACGCAAGTAGTCAGTTCGTCATCGAGTTCGGACAGCATCACTTCTACAAGGGAAGTGTTGAAACATTCATCATCCAGTCCCAGTCCCGATACAATAAGATGGTCGTCTCCCATTGGCTGGACCGATCAGAAACACCCAAGATTGGATGCCACCAATGAAGACAAGGTAAAGCAAAACTAGTTTATAAATTGCCAAATATTATCGGTTTAAATATATGCTCTAACTCCACATAAGTCGGCGATTGTTAAGGGTATGCGGATTTTAAATATTTTGTACCTAGATGTTCTCTATAGATCTTTTCTATAGATTTTATGTTTCATTCAGTACTTATTATAATGTGATTCAAATTATCCTGGATTTGATTTTACATGATAAATAGTTGTCTTTTCCAAACCCTTAGCAATTTTCCGGTCCTGTATCAGTGAGAGGAAAAAGTAACAGTAATCAGCACAACTTTAAATCAAAAGTTCTAAAAGTTGTTAGTCATCGATGAAAAAATAAACACTTTTGGCTGTGTCAGAAGGAACATAATTGGTTTCATATTAAATGGATGGATTCATTGAAAAATTTGAAAATATTGCCTTCTAAACCAAAGTCTTAATCAGGTACGATGTAATTTGTATTTTGCGTTATTAAACTGAAAATTAATTGAATCAGGATTTTGTTTTAACCACTGTTAGAAATTTTAATTTCAAGAAAACACAAAGAGTGTGAAGCATTGAAAAGAAATTGCAATAAGAGTACAAGGTGTAAGTTTACACTTAACCAGTACCTACCTACCTAATATTTGTTTCAAAATTATCATCGTCAATTTGTAAAGGTACTAATCGCGACTATTCTATAAATATTCGCATTCAGATCACATACAAAGTGCGTCAGGACAGTTGAAGAGCAGAAAACATTTTTTTTTCTAATATAACATGCGAGATTTTGTTTTATTTTTTATCATCAGTTAACTGCCATGGTCTACGTGTTAAGCGAAACTGAAAAAAAATGCCTATTGGTCCAGAGGGGCTGCTTATTTGAACATTTATTAAGTCAGGCCTAATATTATATGCGTATTTGTATTTTTTTTATATTTAAATTACTCTCAAATTACATTTGCGATACAATTTGTAGTAACGCTCTCAATATAACGCAGAAATTTAGAAAAATATGTTTTTCTTGAAATAACGTAAACCGTCGATTTCTTAATCAGAACTGGGTCTCTACATTGCTTCTCTCAAGCTTTTTACACATTTGAAAACCTCTGTTTGCAAATTTTCAAATGTTTTCAAAAAATTTGTTCTCCATAGAAGAATATAAACGAAATAACCAATTTTGTTTGGGTGTGCTAAAAAGTGTGCTACTTAAATTTTCTTTTGCGCCATGAAAATATCCCATCTAATTCTAATTAGTACTCAGACTCTCCAGATCACTCCAAATTAGTTACCTTTAATTTCTTGCAGGACGATTCCAATCCGAACTCACCAATGTTGTCTAGATCACTGGAATTTGCCAAAAAGCAACCGAAATATCAAAAGATTAGCCGACTTAGAGCCATTAGTAATCAGATTAGGTAAGTTAAAAATAATAACAATTGTTAATTGAATTTGAAATTTCCAGAAAATCGGGTGTTTTTTACAGCTTTTAAAACATGTATAAGATAATTTATATTAATTTGTATATTTCATGTTTGTTAGTGTTAAATTAGTCTTCTACAATCTGGTTATAACTTCGATTCATCGACTCTCTATAGCTCTAGTTGGCGCAGTGCGGCGCAAATAGCTTGGTGCGCCAACCCAACGCACCGGCGCAGTAACTCAGTTCCGTTGCTGGGAAAATGTTGATGATCCTTTTTTCTTAATTGTTTTAACATTTATTTTAACGTCAGGGTTAAAATACTTAAAACATTTTCTGCGAAAAATTATCAAATAAATTTTACTAGAACACTTGCCTCCTTCGTCGCTTTGCAAAAAGTTTTGAAATCTGTTTCCAGCTTCGAACAAAAATCAAATAATCTTTTATCAAAAAACGAAAAGAATCAGCTACATTATTTGGAAAACACATCACCCCCATCTCTCTGGAGACTGAAGAGTTTGTTAAAAAATTGTGTTCTTAGTTTTGACCGATTTTTTTCTTGCTTTATTTTCTACTCAAGAACGCTCTATTTTGAGGAGTTTTACTTTAAAATACTGACAATGTGAAAGTCTTTTACGTGAAAAATTACGCGATAAATTTAGAGCTTTATAGGAATTTTACAAACACTTTTTTCAGTGTCCAATTCGGGCCGAAAACGAAAATAAGTTTCTCCCGTTTCTTCCCGAAAATCATTAAGGTTTTCTCAAAAACCGATTACAAAACTAAAAGTTTTTAATCAAAAGCTCAAAAAAACCATTATTTTTTATGCTTTTCCTCTTTCCTGACAAGCATGGGGTCTATTCAGCAAAAAATCACAAAATTCTCCACATTCATCGCTTTGCAGGGACTTTTAGAAAACCCTTTTCAACTTCAAGTTTGCCACAAAAACCAGATAATTTTATTTAGTTTTTTGGAAAATTCGCCACCCTCATCGCTCAGAAGATTCATAGTTGTTTTAAAATTTTAGGTCTTTCTAGTTTTCGTAAAGATTTTATCAACCGATTATTTTTTAGTTTTACTTAAAAATTACAGTCTTTTTGAAGTCTATTTTCTGTGAAAAATTATAAAATAAATTTTATTGGAACATTCTCCTCCTTAACAGCTTTGTAAAAATGTTCCTAGAACTTTCGCAGCTTCGAATTTTGGACAAAACCCTAATAACTTTTTCTGGATTTTTGCTCTACTATATTTTCCCGAACAGAACAAACGAAAGTTTAAACGCGAAAATAATTTGGTATTTTTTTATTCCGGTTTCGCGTTTTACCTTGGGTATTGGAACAAAACCCAAGGTAAAACAAATGGTGGAAAATTATCTTGGTTTTTTTCGAAGAAAATTAAGTTTTTTCAAAAAACGATCAGAAAAATCAAAAGCAGATAATCCACTATATGGAAACCCTCATCGGCCTGAAGAAAATTTAAGTTTCTTCCAAATTTCCGGTTTTTTCCATTTTAGACCAAATATTTTAAAGCAATCGTTTCTACAGAAAAGGTAAATCAGTGAATTTTTTGGAGTTAATGATATTTTGTTCGATGCTAAAATTCCAGTCTTGGTCATCGGTAAATGAGTTACAACTCATTAACCGATGAGATAACACTCATTAAATCAGAGAGCGGCAACAACTCAAAAACGCAACTCAACACAGTGTTACCCAGGCCTACTATCGCCTGTTTTCAGAAATGTAGTTTGAGGAAGAAGCACTCTATAATAAACGAAAAACTCATGTTTTATTCCACAAAAAGCACACTTTCCTGAATTTTTAGAATTAATTATAAAATAAATAAATACCGCTGGTATTTTTGCGCGATAATTAGTGTTTAAATTATTAAAGAGGTTACTATTAAAAAACTTACTACACCGTGTTTATTGAATTTTATAGATTCTTAAAGCGACTGGAACAAAGCCTGAAAAGGCGTGAACGTACAGCCAGTCCAGACACCGATAGTTTCGACAGCGAAGAAGAATCACCAATGGTGACCTCACCATTGCTGCATCAGTCCAAAGGGCCGAAAGTGGAAATTCGGAAAAGCAGCAGTATCGGAAAACTGCAGTCAAGCACGGGTCTTAACAGTAGAACCAATAAAGGCACGAAATACAAAGCGTGGGATTCGTTGCAAGAGCGAAATCGGGCCACAGAGGTTTGTACTAAACATGGAAATTCGGAGTAATAATTCATAATAATCGCCTTAGAATTAGTTTTAATTAAATATTTTTAAATCGACTTTTGTGGGGTACAATCAGCCATTTCAATTAAAATTCAATGTACAGTCGGAAATATTGCATGCAATTCGTGTTGTCAATGTTTATTTAGTTAGCTTTATCACTCACACTAACATTTATCTAGCACTTACCTTCAATTATATTGAGCAAAATGTGTATTAAACGAACAATACAAGGATCTTAAAAAAATTTAGCAGATACGATAAAATTCATATGGGCAAAGAATTGCAGCTTTGTACGCCCTACCAGAAAAAAATTCGTTTTTTTTAATCAATCGGCAAATCTTTGACAGTTTTAAATCATTCTTAGCACCGTTAATACAAATATTGATCAACAACTTTTTGCTGGTAGGTACATGTTAATAAATAGGTGATTTTATTAGTAATCCTGTAATATATCATATAAAGTGGTTTTGGATCGGTTTTTGTTTGGATCGTGGATACATTAAATGCCACAAAATTTCAACCGCAATTAATCATCTCTGGGATATACAGAAATCAGAATTATTGGTATTTTGAACATCATATTAAAAAAAAGACTCAAATTGCGTTTTATTACAAAGTATTAATTTGGAATAAGATTTGCTTAAATGCTTGCTTGAATAAGACTTGCTACAGTTCATTTTTTTCTAAGATTCATTAATACGAACAGCGCGTAAGTAGCTTAAAAATCTGTCGAAGCAGTTTTGTTTTTTTTTAATGCACATTCGTAGCTTGCAAACATTGAAAGACAATTTAGTGTCCAGTGGAGCTTGCAAAAATATGGCTTTATCTATTTGAACTTAATGCAAGTCCTCTGCAATAGTTTACAAGATCCTTGTTAATGCCGCAGTTTAAACGAATTAAATGGAAATCACGTGTGGCCGCTATTTGAAATCGAAAATTTCCGAACTTTTACCCGGCCGTTGGACAGTTTAATTTTAACCATTTAGTTTTTTCAGCACTTTTAACAACCTTTTAAAATTCAGAAACATTTTCAACGCTCAACCATTATTCATTCATCCGTCATCGTTTCATACAATTTCAAACTAGCTTGTGTAAAACGTTTTATTTCGCTAAACCTTTTAATTTTATAATGTTGAATGTGAATCGTCCATGTTATTCATTCCTCATTATGTATTATATGTATACATCGAGCGAATATTCTACATTATATAGCTGCCCTATCGTTATCCTAGTTTGATGCTTTAAAGGAACAATTTTGAACAATTGAAACCATTTATGCACCATCAGTGTTTTACTTTAAATATTAGTAGTTTCCATTTCATTTATTCAGCCGCTTTAGTTTTCAATGTTTCGTCCGTAATTATTTACGAAAAAATATAAAATTTTGGTGGAAAATGTGATAATGCTACAAAAATCTAATAATTTACTTTGTTAAAAATATGTTCTAGATTGGGATAAACTATGGGCAGCTGCAAAAAAGGCTTGTAAATGAGACTGATTTTTCTACTATAACTAAGTAGTATTTGACTTGTTCTTATGTACGAGTATAAATATGTACATATTGCGTTTGATTCCTATGTAAAAATTCTTTCCAAGTGCACTCTTTCCTTAAAGGAATATAGGTCTAGCCTTTAACCAACTGTTCGTGCTCTTGCAAAGTTGACAAGTTCAAAAGAAGAAATAGTTTAAAAGAAATAAACGAATCAACAGTTGTTCTCATCAGCTAACGTTTGACCTGAACTTTAAAGACTTCAACCACACTTTGCAAATGCACATCTAGAATTTTTTTAAAATATGCAATATTATACTACTAAATGCGATAAGAAATAGCGTAGTACTTCATTATGTTGACGATTTCGCTTAAAATAGTAACACAACTATGGCTCGTGATCAACAAAATAGCATCGGAAAACTGCAAATTGAGTCTCTAAAAGAAAATCAGAAATTGATCATTAAGAACAGTATGAGGATATGACTAGTAGCAAATGTATATGGCTAATTTAAAAAAGATTTTAAAAAATCCAAGTAAACCTACAACAGTTCACGATACAAGTACGTAGTTGTGTTATAATTTTTCATTTCTGCATACTTGAAGAAAACCCAACACATCATTGGAAAAGGTCCACACAGTGTGGTATATAGAGACAAATTCATGATTATTGAAAGTGTTTTCAAATGCGTAACTTTTTATATTAGTGCAGTTTAAAGCTCCATATTTGATTGTATTTTCACTTCATTGTATGTAAACTTAAATTTAGTTGTTGAAGGAAAATACGCCTTTCTAGAGACAACTTGCAGATTAATTGAATTAGGGTTCAATCAAGCAACATCCGAAATAAGGTTGTTTAAAGAGCTATTGTAAAATAATTTATTATTTTTATCTATCAGTCTGATGCATTTTATTTTAATTATTTATTATAATTCGAGCGGAACTTATATTCGGGCACCTTGATCAGGAATTAAGTTCAATTTATCTGAAAATAAAACAAGGAACTTAAGATTCAATTTAAAAAAACGTCTCCATGTGTTTTCTCAAAAATTAATATTGCCGAAGATATTGAATTTATTCTACTACGGTTGTTCGCGCTGTAGCAAATTTCCGCATTTATTTGATAATATTCTTTTAAGAAAAAACTATATTAACAAAAGTATACATTTCAGTGAAGTATTGGGTAATTCTCACATTGTCTTTGTATTATCTACGTCGCGCTAACCTGCCAATTTCTTATATTCATGCGGGTATCTGATACCTTACTTTGGTACCACTGTGATAAATCGTCTGATACTTTCAGAACTTTACTCTTCAGCAATATTCATAAGATAATATTAGAGGGAGCAACCTAATCGTATATCGATGCACAAATAAGCAATTTATTCACTGTAACCTTGCACTATTCTAAATAAACTATGTTAAACGTTGGTTTCCACTTTGCCGCATAAGTAACAAAATACGTAAAAGCAACTGCATTTTTTAAATAATTTAATCCGAACTATAAAGAAACATTATTTAGTGGAAACAAACAGTTAAATGACTGGTGTTGTTTTAATGAATATTTCGAAACTCTTATAACTTGATTTCTAAATAGGTAACATTTAATATACAACATCGTGCATGTATGAATATTTTTAAATAATTTCGCCGTACAATCGTATTGATAGGGTTTTTGTTATAGTAAAGCTTTGATTCAGAAATAGGCTGTTTTAGTGTAGACACACAAAAAGACAACTTACCTGACACAAATCAAAGAAATATTTTTCTGCAAAGGTTCACATTTATTAGTCCATGTCCTTTTCAATATTAGTGCTGCTAGGTTCTTCAAAAATTTACCTAGTAATTAAGGGCGATAAAATATTCTCAAACAGAATGGTATTAGATCGGGGTAAAGAAAACCATAATTATAGAAAAAATAATAATGCTTTAAAAATGTGAATTAAAGTTTTTAACATTAAAAGTATATATTTAGTAATCTATAATATAATATACAACTATAACAAAATAATGTATTTGGTTAATTCTCTTCATCTGAACTAAGTAGCATGGTTTTCTCAGTATAATTTTGAGATATAGTCGACACTTTCGATCCAAGACTGAGAGGGGGCTTAGAAGGATTATCCAGACTGTTGTAAGAATGAGGCACTATACCTCCACTTGGACTCATCGGATCGTCCGGATCATATTGAGACAATCTCATTGCCCTACCATTTTTACCACCTGAAAAGTATATAGAAGAATACACACTGGTGCACATGATAACAACAGTTAACATTCGCTACGGCTTTGAGCTAATACAGCTAAGCATATGCGTTTGTTGATCTTGGGATCCGCAACTGAATTACATAAATCAAGTTAATCGATGCATCGAACCGAATAAGACACAGTATTTTTTTTTATTACAAATAATTTAAAGTTTTTTTTCTAGAGAACACTAAAATCACGTAGACTGAAAGCATTTGAAAGTAAAGTCAATTTTTAATAACAAGTTTCATGTACGAAAAATTTAATTTAAAACCAAATCAGAAACAAGCACTAATTTGTATCAGAGTGCTAACAAACTAATACTACGTAAACTACTCAACCTACATGTCGCATTACTGTCTATGAACGAGATTTGCAGAAATGCTTCAAACAAACCAACAGAACGTATCTACGCAGCACACAATTCGTAGTATTATAGCAGAAATTAAAAATCCTTCAAACATTCCTTAAAGTACTAATGCCAATATCAAATACCATTAATAATAATACATTCCATACAAATCCAAGTAACACTGAATTTTATATACATCAAATCGGCCATAAATTACACAAAAAATAAAATATACAAAACACATAAAATTAAACGTCTAAAAATCAAATAATATTCACAATTACTAACCGCAGGCGCTGATGTAACTAATACTTAAAAAATACTAACTCGTTTTTTTTTAACTGAAGGGTCAACTTGAACATGCACATCTAGAATCGGGAAAAAGTGTATCTCTGCAATTTGTAATATTTACAGAAACTATTGAACGCGTTTCAAGGCTACTAAACGTGACCTTATTTCTATTCTCACATTACCAAAGGCCAGCGTTAATACTTTAATAACAAACAGACAGGTTTTAAAAGTTTATTTCTAATTAATAATAAATTTTACCGAAATATTATAAAACACAACAATTTTGATTAAGATATATCAACAAAAAGCAAGAGGGTTATCATAATGAATGTTACTGAATGTTTAAATACTAAATATAAGCTTATATACAAATATACAAAGAAAAACATAATACTATGTAGTAGTTAAAGTAATCGTTCTAGGTTACTTTGCTTTGATAATCACTTATTGCAAAAACCCAATATACTCAAAAATATGCCTTGTCTATTAGTTGAGTCCTACTTATTGCTACTTAATTTTATTTTTTTGTGCTTGTTGATGATCCCTATTAGTTAGGTGAATATTAAAACACTTAAAGCTTAAGTAAGAAAGGCAACTAAACAATTTAAAATCAGTCTATTTTCAACTTTCATAAGAGGCGTTAAGACCCCAGACAGTACCGTGTATTTTCCGTTCAATTTTGCTTTTCATTGTTTTACCTACAGAAAATGTATAGTCAGTTATTAGTGAAATGGCCTAATTATCAATTCACTTATTAAAGTAAATAAAATTATTCAATTAAGTAAATTACGAGGTTTGCCACGTAGGTTCCCGTAAAGCTATTAAATTATTTTTCCCAATATGTCTTGAACTTAACTAAATTATTTAGAAGTTTAGCGGTAAGAATCCAGACAAAATAAATTAAACTGCTCCTATATCTATGTGTAGTTGAGCTGAATAGAATGATACAGAATAAGCACGGACCCCAGAAATACTACTAAATTAAACAAATCTACGAAAAAAAACAGTCGAAAAGAAAATATTGGCAAGACAAACTAAACAGTCCATAAAATGATAGTCAAAATTGATCAGGAATGCGAATTTAAATGGCATAACTAAATACGCATTCAAAGTATTTCCGTACTAAAGCGCAGTCATCCAAAACAAATCAAGAAAATAAAAACACTTTTTTACCAATAATATTTCCTATTGATTCTATTTCTTACCATAAACTGTAACTGACAGGGTGTGATTATATAATTTGCTTTTCGTTTATTCTACAGAATTGCAATGAATTTAACTCAGCCTTGAGACCGCAAAATACACAGCTGTAGCAGATGTTAAAAGATGGCCTCGTCAGAATTAGAAAGTAAAAAAATAGTCCCTGAGTGAACCATAACAGCACATTTAAAATATGGATGGGATGATTTAAGGCACTCTATCCAGCAACGACATCCATGCAGCATGCGCTAGCTGGTATCACAGTCTCTCATAGGGCTGGTGTGATATGACATCTGCAAAAAGCTTTTTATCATGCAGCTAATTTACATAAACATTATAAAGGAAATTGTTATCAGCATTATCAAAATTAAATCAAGAATACAGTCATTGAAATTAAATGGATATTTGTCCGAAGTTAAAGTTAGCATAAAAGAAACTATACAAACTGTCCGGAAATAAGGTCGAGGGATTTTGGCACTAAATATTTGAGATAAAAATAATGAATAAAAACTTCAAACATACTTCAAAGCTTGCTTCTTGCGTTAACTGGATCCGCTTAAAAGGAGAAATCGGAGTCCAAGTCTTCGAATAACTAATAACCATTTTGCAGTTTGCAAATTAAAAATATCACCAACAGCTTTATTGCTTTTGTTTATTTATGAATACTTAATAAATCATACTTTCACTGGAACACCAAAGAAATTAGTTGGTTTGCACAAAGATTCAGTAATTTGATTGCAGAAATAAAAAACAAACCACTCTATTTTTGTGATTTGTATTTTTCGGTTTTGGAAATATTTGCGTAGAAGAACCCTTGAAGATGAAATGTACAAGACGAAACGGCAGTGTCTAAAAATTGCTGTTATTAACATACATAACTTTACCCAATGCAGCTTAGTAAATAGTATGGAAATTCATAACTTTTCCCATCTTCAGAGTTATTCCATCAAGAGTTTCCAGTGATTTTAAAACGCAATTTTTGCATAATTAAATGAACCAGTTTTTATTATTTTATTAACATTATCCAAACATTCTGTACTGTTTTGCTGCCTCGTAATATGCAAATTAATTCTTCGCAAAGTAATTTAGTCACTCAAAAAGAAATGAAAAGAAGTAAATAAAAAAATGTGCAATGTTTTGAAATTTTAAGATGATTAAAGAGTCATTGCTTCCGTATACTTTTAAATGCCTCACAAAATTTGTCATTGGAATATATTATCTTTAAGCATTTATGCACATATGAGTAAAACTTTTCCAAAAGAACTCACAAAAAATTAACTGAAATGCATGTTGTGTGAAATCATATGTTTTCCCCGTTATGAAAGGTATCCATCCATAAACCTGAATATATTTACTGTTGAAACCCAACGGAACATCTGACGACTGTATTTTGAAAATGCAGAAAAAGTTTCCATATTAACTGCATGCAAGACTAAAAAAAATCTGACTTCAAATATGATAAAATGTATAAAAAGGGAAATCCACCAAGGTATGAATTATCAGATTTTCAGATCTATGAAAACCACCCGCAGATAAACACTGTTCAATCTATTAACGAATAAGGTAACAATAGCCGCATTATTTTCACAATACGGAAACAAAAAATGCTCGAATATTTGTAAATAGAAGTTACACATAGAATCTCATGGTTCGATAGCTTGGTTACTCAATGCCAAGTTCGAAGCGTTTGCGAAAATGCTCAAAATAATCTACTTTGAATGGAAATGTATGTTCTCATAACGCGACATTAAAGAAACTGATATGGAATATCAAAACCGGAAGAGAATTTGGACTGAAGTATTTGCGATAGAAGCGAAAGGGAAATAGGAAATACATGGAGCGTATTACAACTTATACCGATAAATTTCGTACCGAAACCCTTGTATTTAAATACACAGGATATTTAAAAAAAAAATTTTAAACAAAAATAATTTAATAAAGGCGACCAAAATTTTGATTTTGTGTTTGGGTTGAAATTTAAATACAAGTAGAAAATAAATGTAACCAGTTCTCGCTTATTTCCGACCGCTTTGCGTTAAAAAAATCAATTATTGTAATAAACTCTTGCGTCAAGACACCCAGCAAACAACGTATCTTGTAGCCAACAATTCAGAATTTCACAAAATTAAATAATTTTACATCGAAGCACGAGCAGATACTAAACACTGGCAAAAAATTGAACGACAAAAGATCGTGCAGAATTACAATAACAGATAAATTCTCACCTGAACTGTACTGGGTGTACTGTTGATATTGTGGATGGAAATTGTGAATGGCGTCAGTCATAATATCCTTCGGATTCATAGTTTCCTGCAAAAGTTTGTTAATATAAAAAGTTCGTGCTTAATTTAATCCAGAATTAAATATTATCTCGTTAATACATCATTATAACAAGTAGTAACATATAGTTACCGATAATAGAGATAAAATAAATCGGAGAGCTGCAGTCTTTTGTACTACTGTAAAGAAATAGCAAATAGGTAAGTATATTTCTGGCATTTTCATAAAAAATATTCCGTTGTTAATTATGGCGTACTTTGATAAGCAATGGCTGTTTCGATTTGAATAAATTACATATTTCCAAACTAGTGAAAATGTTTACGATATATATGGCTCTTTTAGCATGGCTGGCTTAATAGTGGAAGCATCAAGTGTTAACAATTTACCCACGAGTATCATAAAATATTACCTTAAGGCTACTGGAAATACTTTGCATGGTGACTGATCGTCCTCTGGAATCCGTAACGCAACCCTGCACGTATACCCTATGAGGAAACGCATAACGGAGAGCAACCGCTGCACAAAACATTTCAATGCAGATCAAGAAGTTTTGGTACCCAGCAGACACTGTACCAGCAGACGTTCTGGTACCGCTACTGTCTATTATAGGCGAAATTACATCTGCTTTTTCTAAGATGGCCAGTCCCACGCCTGAAACAAATTTACAATAAAAATAAATGTGTTGATCTTTCTGCAAATTTCTTCAGCCTTTCTAAGTTCAGCCGCCTAGAATAATAATAGGCAAAATATTTGCTATAAACTATAAAATAACTGAGCATCGGTTCACTTTATTCAATTACCGAAATATTACTTTATATGAAGTCTATGAAGATTCAGAAAAAGTTTGCGTCACCGTCTGAATATATTTATGAGCGTATAGATTATCTGATGGGTATACAGGAATGGCGTTTTTACCAGCAAAAATAACCTTCTAATAAATCAAAATATTATGACTCACCTTGCCAGAAGGATAAGAAAATCACAGACTTTACGGTACAAAACTTAAGTACAGGCTCAAACGGCGTCAATAGATCACGGGTCGCAAAGTAGAAGAGGAACAGTCCATATAAGGCAAGAGATACGGAGATGTTGTAAATTATTGTTATGTAGATGTAGCCACCATCAGGACTGAAATGAAAAAAGTAACTTAATTAGTAGAAACAAATGCTCGAATTAACTGTAAACTTTGTGAAAATATGACAGCTTAACAAAAATTTAAAAGTTAAAAATCAATGTGAAGTATCAATAATCAAGTTGTTGATAAAAATATTTATCGGTTAAAACCTTGCTTAAAATTCAATTAACTGTTACTAAAATTTAATTCAATAGAAAGTAACGCCGAACAATAGAGCAATTTCTCCACATATGATAAGAGATGCTCATTATATTCCATTATAATACAGATTAGATACTTTAAAATTTCCAGTCGTCAAAAATAAAATGGATATACTTAACTAATAGAATCTAGATAACACCACGCATTAAGCTACTTCAGTAATCAAACCCTACATATGTTGACCGGCGTCCTACTAGAAAGTATCGATTTCAATTTATTTCTATTCCATGCAATTCCATAAATCTAATGAGGCATAAGTCGTAACTTAACTCCTGCATTATTGGTTTAAATGCGAAACACGCAAACACTAGTTTAAAGTTAAAACTTGTTTGAGAAATTCCAATGCAAAAACGTTAAAATTAAATAGAGCGCTCTAACTACACAACCGAAAGAGCAAAAATAGCAATAAAGCAATGTTTGCATGAAAACGATTTAACGATTTTTGCCGTTGCATTGAAACGTGATTTTGTCAATTTTACAATAAGACAAAGTGCAAAAGTGTAATTGATGCAAGATCCGAAATTCGAATACAATTACATGCATGCTTCTAACATCTGCTCTAATTAAACAATTTAGTTCAATATTGTCGTTAAACACTGCGTGATATTACATGACGTCACTGAATTATTTATGAGTGTACGAAATGTCTGCTGGCTTGCAAGTGAAAAGGCAATCAATAAAAACTCAATTTAATAAAAATTGTGCTAAATAAATTCAAAACGGTCTTAATTATTATCTTTCAAAGGAGAATAGTATTAAATGAGATAGTTGTAATTCCTAATCAAAAATTGTGATTACAATTTTATTCAAATTTTTTTCAATTACATATGAGGTTTTACCACAAAGTCATCAGCGAATTGAATTAAGCCTTGAAAATTGGTGTTCAAACACGTTTTACAACAAATTTTATCAACGAATTTAATAAACCTCTATAAACTCGAATCAATTCACATTAACATGACTTTAAATGTATTTAAGAGGTCTTGATTAAAGATCTAAGCCATTGAAGGTCTCGATTATTGAAATTCACTAGAGTGTAGGATACGTTTTAATTATTCAGCTGCAGTGTACTTTACCTCCAATCACCATCATGATAATGTCCGAATGCCTGTAAAAATATGATTACGAAAGCCATCAATGGTTTTACCAGGCAGAATTGTAAGGTGGCCTGCTTGCAAAATCTTAAAAATCCAATGGTATATGTTTTGCCTTGAAGGCAGCAAGTTCCAAATAAGCAACTCGATCTAATCGGTTTCCCTCGAATTTCCGACATTATGTTTCCTTCACCGCCGAGATATTCATAGCATAGAGACAAGAAATTGTAGATTACAAACGCTGAAACAAAATCATAAAATGTATTGTTTATACTCGATAAGGTATCGAGAATGTAGCCCGTGAGTTTGCATGCTCAAAACCGTAATCTAAAACTGAATGTGTTTTACCTTCATAACAATCTCTAACAGTGAAGAAATACACATAGTAACTTTCCGAATTGAAAAACAACAAACTTGTCCAGGAATAGGTTGCATAAATTGGAACTATAAACAGTATTCTCACAATCCATCTTTGTTCAGCTGGATTCGTGTACCACCGCAGGTGATGATAAATCTGCAAAATAAAAACATTTTTTAATCACTTTACTCAATCAGTGATTCGTCACATTTGCATTAAAGAATCCAAATAAAGTACGTCTCTGTACAAAATTTAAACAAACTTTAAAATGCAATATAGAAATAAAACATGCCATATTTGAATATAGCATGTTTCTAATGTATTAAATTTGTCTATAACCGGTTCTGCTCTATTTGTTTCTACGATTCAATGGCTTGTCATAGCAATTGTAACTGTAATTGAAAATATGTACACGAAATAAATAAAACTGGTGCAGCACAAAAAAAATGTTTTTTTCTAACGGCACACCCTATATTTAATTTTATTGATCATAATAAAAATGAGAATTAGCATATTTTCCAGCTTCAAAAATTGCATGTTTTTTAAATGGCCCACCTCGTATGTTTGCAGTTTCGTATATTCAGGATTGGAAAACCTTTAATTTTTGCTTAATAGTTCCTTCATTACCTCTTATTGTTTACCAGAAAATTTAATTTTTCTAATTTGCACCGATATATTTTATACGTGACGTACAACATTGTATCGCGGTAGTCGGGAAAAACAAATACATACATGGTTTGCCAACTTTCCGATTTCGTTTTTTGCAAATATCTCAGTTTCCAGTAAGAATATTTTTTGCAGTTTTTTTACTCTCTGAATAACACAAGATTACACCGAGGAATTCACTATTAGACACCTTTTATATAACTCTATTAAAACTATAAATTTTGGGTTCTGTTTTGCTGGACCCGTCCTTGGCATACTTATAATTCAAGTTTTGATATGAATGGAACTTGTTAACATAAATCAATTGATTTTTTCCAATAATGCCAAAATTTAGGTTCAAAGATTATGCCAGGCTTTGGATTAATTGCGCGGTATGTATATAAAAATCATAAGTGTTTGTCTGCTTTATCAGATAATCATATTGTTTTACTTTGCCAATTTGAGTCATACGTTGATTTCCACATCTGTAAAGGTAGATAAATGTATGCCGCTAATATTTCACATAAAATAGTCCGTGCATCATTTATAGGCATAATATTGCATACAAGCAGAAACGCTTAGAAAATAAATCACCTAAAATCTCCCTTTCCTTGGGATTTATTGGAGAATATGGAGAACTGAATAACTCAATACCAAAAACGTTTGCCATTAAAATATAAGCAAATACTTCATTAATTGGAATAAAAGAATTTGATGAATTAAATAAAGCAATTCCTAATTTAAAAAAAAACTTCCAGACCTAAAAATTGTTAAAATCTAGAAACAATCATAGAATGTCATAATTGGACTATCTATAAATTCAGTAGTAACGTTGCTTGATAAACGATTAAGGAGTGCTTTCGAAGGTAGGGTTTTTTATGAAAAAGCGATAACCATCCCAGATCACAAACAGATCTGCACTACTTATCAGGGAGCGCGGCAAAAAAACTCTCAACTCGGTGCTGAAATTAACTGATTGTCCACCTGACTCATTCAGTTTCAGTTTTAATAAAAAATCTTATATAATTTTTTGGATGTAATTGAGCATGCTGAAATTTTCAAACCAAGTACCTACATAAAACATTTTAAAAAATCCAAAGTAGTTGATACAAAAAGCAGCATGTTTCTCGTTTCATGCAGACACATTTAGAAAACCTGATCAATAGCTTCAAGGTGGATTAATTATTAATATGAGCTGAAAATACCAACAACGTCAATAGCTAGCTGCGATATAAAATTAAGCGAGATAAACATGTTTCTCAAGTTAGATAAGCCAAATCCGTATTCACCTTTGATTGTGCAAGTAGGAAACGCGATGCTGTAAATGCAAATAAGCACATCACTTTCTCTTTTCGTAATGTTTTAGTGAAGAATGGCAACGGAAAACAAAGGAACCAAATTTATCCGAACTCTAAAATGCATGCAAAGAGACCCACAAGCAAGTTTCGGTTAACAAGGAAATCAATCAAGTTGAGTTTTATAATTATTAGCAAAAAATGATGATAACCCGGAAGTGACTAAATTCCTTATACAATATTAGCCATTCGTAAAACTGTCTAATTTGAGCTTAATAATAGCAAAATTAGAACAAATATTCTCGAAAAGTGAATGGGATTAAACAGATTCACGGCATTTACACGATAAATCTTCAATAATTATTACATTGCCTTCAGTAAGCCGAAGAGTTTTAATTAGAGTGAATATTATCGTTATGTATGCAGCATATAACTTATAGCAGCACACAATATGAATTTTACCCAATCAATAAATCACAAATAGGATGGGAACTATACTGCTATTTGTTCCATTATAAGAAGATTTTCACTAAATACTTTAGATCCAGCAAGAAATGTCATGGTTGCATAACAGGCAAAAGGCAAAACATTTCAGTTACTATTTCTTGCCAGGAAATGTTGGAATTCTCAGTGAAATATGGTTCGTTCACGTTTTTCACCTTAGGAAGGATTCGACGGCCCAACTCGGTTCAAGGCTAGTTGCTTTGAACTCATCTGATTCTTTGTTCCTGCCAAAGATATTCGCTTTAACTCCTGATAATAGTCGGAACTAATACTGTCGCTATTTTGATTGCTTTCAGTTAAATGTATAAATTTTAGACCCAAACGAACACAATAATCCGATACCAGGGACCGTTTCGTAATTTTGCTCTCAATTAGCTGTGACCTAACTGGAATTTGTAATGAAAACGTAATAATGTTTGAAGGCTTCTTGTAGTAGTGCGATATAAAAGATCAACAGCATTTTAAGGTCTAAATGTCGAATGATTCCTACTCAACTTTTCATCATTTCTTGCTGGTCGTTTGTAGCGCTCATAACTTTCAGATTCGATTACTAATGCCTTTGAAAAGTTCAACCTGATCATTCGTTCATTATAAAATAAGATATGAAGAGTTGAAAAGAAAGTGATGCTAACATGTGGTCCTTAGACATAGGTGTCGATGATGTTTGCAAACTACTCTCAGCAAAACAAGGTTTTTTGGTATCTTGAGCATTCTAACATGATGAATCGATAAGATAACTTCTGCATCGAGAATCCCTTCAAAGTTATGTTGTCACCTTTAGATTGTTTTTTTAAAAGAACCCTAATAATGTTTAATAGCAAACTCTCAAATAGAAACTCTCCACAATCTTTAATACTTTAATTTAACCGACCTCGAATCATTTATTATACTAGTCGAGGCCCCCATGCTTGGACTAAATTGGACACCCTGTATAAATCGGTTATTTTAATTGTACGTATAAATTGCCACAGCGAAGGATTTCATTGTAATAATCAGTTCTGATGTAAATGTTCACTCTTATTGTTAAATAATAAAACTGCCTTTTCGAGTCTTACTTAAAACCTCTTTAAAAGACAATACGTTATAAAAAGAAAATTTTGGTAGCTACATTTTTGTGTTGTTATTTTAAAGTACGTTTAAAAAAATAACCAAAACTGCTGCAATTGAAATATTCAGAAATAGCAGCATTATTTTTCAAATTTTTGCATTTCTTTCAAGTACACTTTTTTCAAAAATATACACAGCAGATTGCATGCTTTAAGCAACGAAATTTTACATTTTGTCCGTTCAGAACAGTAGTTCCATACCCTGAACGGAAAGTTAAAATTGTGCACTTACTTGTGAACATGTCAGAAATAAAGCAAATCCAACAAATAGCCCAGAAATGCACTGGGCTAGTTTGGTCTGAAGGAAAATTGGTTCAGATGGTTGGGAGTGAACCTGGTCGGACTCCAACGTCTTGATTGTCGATGTCACATTTGCAACAAAAGCAGCAGCAACTGCCGATGGTGTGCTTCCAACCCCGAGAGAAGTGACTTCCGATGCCATCTTAATTCCTGCAATTCAGAACATTGATATTCAAGTATTGAAAACGTAATCAATGGAAATAAACAAGAAAAATGAATAACACCTACTTTGCCTTGTTCTTCTGACAAATTTGGAAAGTTTTCAATTATCTAAACAATCTACTGACGAAACAAGTTAGTGTTTAAGGTGAAACAAAGGTGTATTGTCTGTCGATAAGAATTTGTTAACTCTGTCAGTGGGAAAATAGTTCAAAATAGTGAATATACATTCTATTTATTATTCATCATAATTCAAGGTCTTATTAGAAGGTTGAAATCTTGCATGAAAATCTTTATTAGAATAATTATTAAGTACAGCAACTTAGTAAATCTGGGAGATTTCGGAAAGAACAAAACAAGATAATAATTTGATCAAAAAAGTACAGTTCGCGTTAAATTTGGGTTTAATGAATTAAATTTGCTGGTTAACTGAGTATAAGAAAATGATTCATAATTATTCACTCAAATAGAAGGTCGGACTTCGTAGGTGAGAGCACCAAAAAAAGTTTCTCCACCAGATATTTATTTAGAGCTATCAAAGAAGACTGAAAAATTTTTCAATGGCGTGACCCGAAGTAACTTATTTGGTTGTTCAAAAGTACTCCACTTTTGGACAAATATTCTATGATCTTGAACAGTTGTATGTTACAACTGTAGTCTTTTTAGACAACACAAGTGACTTGCCTATGGCCATTCTAGGTACACTTTCGAACTCCAAATGACTCTCTACTACTAAATCAGCAAACTGTAAAAATGTTGAAAAATTTGGTGAAAATGTTTTGAAATATTAATTAATCCTTAGTATTTTTTAGTTTGCATCTTGAAATCAAAACATATTCAGGATAAAAGAAAGTTTTTCAAATTTAACATTTTAATTATTTCCGTGAAATATTTATGAATGAACCTGGATATGATTTATAAACAAAACATCATTAAACGTGTACAAATAGAGAGTGGGAACATCCGGAAGTAGGATGGCAATGACACACGTTCAAAAATTCGTATACTCGGTATCGATTATGATGAAAAAACATGCGTATGTGCCCTAAGAAAAGTACGCATTCGAGTTGCTATGTTAGTATCTACCATTCAGTAAGCGTAATATAGACGCTTTCAGTTGGATATTTTAGGATATAGATTAATATATTGCGTTAATTTTAAAATAAATTAAAGCGGTACAAGCAAAGTGTTTTTGTTTTCTCTTTACCAAACAAAATTGGTAGAACCAACAAAGAAAAAGTGGACAAACTATTAATACTAACTATTATTAAATATTACTACTACCTCACCAAGCACACTACTATTATTGCCATTGTACTGACAGTGAAGATATACAGTAAATTAATTTTTTTAAATCTTCAATTGAAGAAGTGTCTTAAAATAAACACATGAAGGCGTATTGAAGTAAAAAGTTGAAAGTTAAATCGGCGAAGCGAAAGTTTCAAGCGCGTAGTACCGTGGAAGAAATACATGAAAAATCTCATTAGTTTTCCTTTAGAAATAGCGAATATTCCGAAGATATACCATCAAAATCATGAATCAATTGAATAAATCGAAATACATACGAAGTTTGTGAATAGTAACAGGGTAAAAATCTTGAAGTATTGTGACTATAGACAGAATTTAAATACAATTTTAATGCTATAAAAATTTGTTGATGCAAATTACAGATGTTTTGAAAAAAATAATTTCAGATTCTAATAACTAAATATAAGGCATAAATATCGAAAGTGGTTCGGATTTGAAGATTTGTCGTCATATCAGAATATAATTTCTAAAATGTGTACGAAGTTGGAAACATGACCAATGTTTTACGTAGTTAATTACCATTTTTTCAATAAAAAAGTAACAGAATAATTACCTAAGACAATACAACTTTATGCTGTAACATACGTCATATGGTTCCCGTCGATGCAAAGAATATAAAAAGGTATTCATACCTCATGAAAATTAACAAAAACTCAATACCATACAGTTTCAAAAATAATGTCCGATAACACGTAAATCTAACTTATTAGAAACATATATTTTTTCATGAGTTCATAACAATATTTTTTTTACGGCTGATGTGTGATATACATGTGCGACTGTTCCTAATGATATATTATTAAAATTAGTGGGCAACGTTTAATCAAAAATTCCTTCGACAAAAATTCGACATTTTATTTATAGCAACACCCAAACTCTGAAATGAAATTTCCTGGAAATAATTTGTACGTATTTATATAAGTTTGTGTTTTCGCTACCCTAAAAATAACTTTAATTTTTGCTGATTTGATTGGAAATTCTTTGGTCGCTTTTAAACATTTTGCAAGACGAACAGTTTCTCTGTCGCAGAATTATTTGCGGTAGGTATCATTGCCGTGACAAAAATAATGTAAAAAAGTGTTTTATGGTTATTACGCAGAATTAAAATAAATATTCTATACATCTGATATACCGGTAGTGTTTACTATTGATGGTGTTAAGCGGAGTTGACTGGGTTATAAATTGATAAATTTTGTAGCTTTAAAACGAAATATGAATCTATGTATGTTCCAGATCTGGAACCGATAGCATCACCTTAGCTGGTGCTACCTAAGAGATGAATCAAGTGAAAAAGCAGGGTACCGGTAAATCTGCTAGAAAGAACAGCCGATACGATAAATCTAGACTTTTTCTGTGTGTGGCTTTAAGACCATAGAAGTGTATGGTTTCCACAGTCCTACGGAAGCTGAATTATTGCAAAGAATCATCAATGCTGCAGATTACATGTAAAAAGAATTCAGAATTAAACAAGTCTGATTGGGAATTAGAACTTTTTTGTTCTTGTTAAACAATGAAGAAGTGCCAAGTAGTGCAAAGCATTTGTTTTTGTAGAGAAACTGCATGTTTGCAATATTTTATAACCGCCAACAATTTACAAAAAAAATTGTACAAGGCGTAGCAAAAATACTAGCTTTTATTGTCAAACTACTTTGAAAATTATTAAAAAATTGAATTGAATTGAAACTATTGAAAAAAGTCCCAGTATTAAAGAAAGTCGATATGTGCGTTCGAGAATTTCTTCGAATAAATTATATTAACTTCAGAACTCTGACGCCTTGTAGCGTATAAGTGAGCAACATCCGATATACTTAGACGCAAATCGCTTTATTTTGCTATATTCTGTCTATGAAATTCGTTTACTAGAAGGATTTTTGTTTGTTTGGTTTTAAACCCAATATTTAAAGTAAACATTTATTATAGAATTGAAAAATACTTTTCTGTGACTAAGCTACATTTACTCGTATTTTTTTGCAGATATTTCCACAATGATTAGGTATATGTGGTCAATCAAAACCCCTAGTAATATTCGAAAAACCTAAGTATTTTCAGAAAAAAAATCCCTAAAGTTTGGGCTGGAATAATTAATGACTAATAAATCAAATTTGGGAGAGAGCTTTATTCGAGGGAGAAACCGCATCCCATAGTTTCTGATGCATACTCCCTCATACTTCTTCATACTTACTCGCAATTTCCGAAAAATTTTCGAAATTAAATGAACATAATTTTTTCGTTTCGTACTAAACGGATCAACAGAAGGCGATATTTTCCGGTTTAAAGCGTAATTATATAATATTTATCATTCAATTGTTGAAGTCTTAGAACAACTGAAAAAGATTTCTTAGATCTTTCTTATATTAATTAAGTACCTACTAGACTTAAATATTTTCAAATAAACTTATACAAGAGACAAGTTATACAAAAAACAAACTGTGATAATATTAATTATTGTATAAAATTGGTAAACCTACCTATAATTCATATATGCGTGGTTTCTCGCAGAATAAATTTAGGTAAGTAGTCTAGTAGAACTTGAACATTTTTTTTGTTTCTTTAATATATTTGTCTATCTATAGAAATCGCGCATGCCAAATATCAGCCCTCAAATAACAATATTTAATTTGCAATAAACAATTAAAATTGTGACCGCAGGCTATTCATTTGAAACGACACTAAATGCGCAGGAATGGTTGTGACGTCATAGCGCTAGTTCGTTCGATCAAAAGCAATACGGAAATACGGCTTGCCGTCGAATTGTCTGGGTGTTTGACTGTTCAGAGTTCGATTTCAAAATGTTCAGAATATTACAAATGTTGTATGGTGCCACTGTGTCATAGTACAACTTTTAAAACGCCAGATAAGCTATTTATTCGTGTACCACGAGATAAAAGCCGGCGTTTAAAATGGTTAAAGGTATGCAGAAGAACTCTCAAGGATATTTCTGAGAAGACCACTGCCCATGTATGTCAAGATCATATTAATGTAAGGATAAAAAACGGATTTTATTTTGTCTATTAATTAACCGATAGATATTTTAAATCTGTATTTTGTTTGTTTCTCGGCTGCATTATAGTAATAGTAAATAATAACCTCAAAAATAGTTATTTGCTATACTAGACGATAAAGAGTATTTGCGAAGGAAAACTCTCGTTTCATCAACGGGTATTTACGTTAAATACCTACTATTTTTCTCATGCAATATGAATATAACACATATTTTTATGTAACTTTAATATTATTTATTTATTCTAGCTGGAAGAAGATATGGATAACTATGTTAAATTCAAGTTAATGGGAGATCTGAAAAAACTGAAGGCTAATGTAGTGCCTCATATATTTGATTGCCAACCAGACAGAAAGATATCATACAAATCATCCCAGGGCAGCAGCTGTTAAGAAAGCTAAGATAAGAATTGTTGATAAATCTTTGAATCTTGAAAATTAGAGCCATTGGAACCCCAATCTAACATTTTATCGCTTTATATAAGTAAAACTATTGACTATTTTGTCTATAAATCTACCTGTTCGCTTTAACGCCGCGAACTTCAGCAAGAGTAAAACTTTCGGTGTTTTTAATGTAAGATGCCACCTTAAACATATCCACTAGTGGTAAAATGTCAGATTGCCCTTTTACAAAACCTGCGTCAGTCATTTTAAAAGATTTTCGCTTTCTCCTAATACACTATAGAAACGTTTTAACGACAATATCAAGACTGAGGTTACATGTTTACATGCTCCGCATTGCAGCCGACACGGGCGACTAGCTACTTGACGTCACAACTGGTCCCAGCCAATGAAGGCGCGTTACAAGAATGAATTGAACTAAACAATTTTTAGTTGCTTATATTAATTATATAGAAATAAAAAATGAGTTTTTTGGTAAACTGTGGTGTTTTTAATAGTATTAAGTTACGTTTGCGAGTAATATTTTTCAATTTTTATTAGTAATTTTTTCAACGACGTTCACCGACATTTATTTAAAATTTCGATAATACTTGTGACTTTTTTCCGTACTTCAAATAGGTAGAGTATTTCATACCTAGAGATTTTCATTTACTCTCTCGTTCATAATTTTCATTTACTCTCATGCCTATTATTCGGAAGTGGTTCTCCACTTCTATGCAACTTGTAGCTTTGCTGGCATCAGAAATCATGCAGTTATCAGAGGTAACAAAAATTTACGTACATAATCAACATTTACCATTCAGCACACGGAATATTCCATACAGCAAACATTAAATCATTGATAATAAATATAATCTATTTATATTTCTAGTTTTCTTCTCTCGATAATCTCGATAAACCACCTGACAAAAGGCGGATAGTTAAACCTCACATGATATAGGTATGTTTCAAAGTAGTTAATCTTTATAGACCTAGAAATGATACCTAAAAGCCCTCGTATTGTATAGTAAGTACCTACCTACTAAGCATGTTTAAAAATGGAATTTCCATTTCTAGGTACCAACTCTAATTAAAAGTTTGTACATGTTCCCGTTAGTTGACCATGTTCCTTTTTCATTGCCTTACGAATTGTTTCACATGTATTAACCTTATAACACACATTTTAATATTTTTTCGTCAGAGTTGCATTCGCTGATTTTCGACAACAAATATTACCTTTATCAAAACTGCAGTAATAAGGCGAGAATGCCCATTGGGATTCTAATATGATAACTTGTAGCCGATACATTCATTATGATGCAAACCTTCATGTGCATATTTAAACAGTTTACAATGCAAGCCAGGTTTTCTGGTTTCTGTTCAATCTAGTGGCCAACATAGCAGCTGTGATAGTAGGGTAATAATAATGGCAATAACAATAGTAGTAAGTAAGCGTTTTTGTACTTACAACACAAAAACTGCATCAATTCACTTGACCGAGTACTTGTTTGTCATAGGTAAGTGCAAGTTTAATATGATTTGATGCTGAGAAGCCTGTCCACTTTTTGGTTTAAGGGGACAAAATACATTATTAAATGAAATGTAATCTGAAATATGTACAATAACAATAGCGATCTATATCTGTTGGTGATAAATTAATCATCACTGTGACATATGGTATTGCAGTAAACTTACCTGAGAATTATATTTCCTGGGTTGTAAAAGTTGAAGAAAACCTTTCCACAATCACTATTTATTCACTACAGTTTGTTGATCGCTGAACACCAAATAAATTAGTGAAAAACACATAATTTCCCGTTCTTTACGTTCATTTTCATTCGTTAAGCACGACGATAAAAGACTCAAACAAAAACCTACTGATTTTAGTGATTTTGGCATTCACATTCAATAATTTTTCGCTCGATGTGTTGCGCAGAATCTCTTGCAATTCTAAGCGCAGTTTCAGTGTTGTCAGATCACCACCATTAAAGATCACTGTCACTGTGTTAGATTACTGTATCCAATACCGTATTTTTATCAATTAAAAACACACCTTGTACTATTTAATTCTAGTAAAGAGCAATTAAACTGACAAACAACTGGAATAAATAAAGTAAACTAAGACAACTTTGCTAAATCAACTGCAAAAATGTGTGTGACGTCACTGGGTTCTGGACTCTATTGTTACCAATAATTGCAGAATTTAAATTGCAATTTCAGCGATTGGACACTATACAGAGTTGGCTACAACAATAATTTTAAAATTAAATACAGTTTATGAATATATATGCAATAGCATATTTTGCGATTACACTATTTTCTCATATTTTCTCTGACTCAACAAATATTATAGAAGATTGATCTGTTGCGCGTTTTCTAACAAAAAATTTAAGAAAATGACCCATTGATTATGGTGATTTTGCAACAGTAAGGTTTAAGTGAGATTTAAAAATATTTTCGTTTTTTTGAATAAATAAGAATGTAAATTACTTTTATGCAACTACTTCAATAAGTTTCTATGATCGTTTCATTCCATTCAAATTTGTGAGGCAAAATTTTGCCGCATCTAATTTTTTTAAATAACTTTAAAATAAAATAAATATTTGACGGCATATTTCCTAAAGGAAACGTGAATACAATTGCACTCTTCTTACTCTAACCCGTTCAATTGCCAGGCTTTCTCCGACAAAATGTACTTAATGTGGAAAATAAGACACTACAGGTTGTTTGCGTTCTTTGTTTAGTGTATAGAATGTTAGAGTGAAAGCGAATGTTATTAATCTCTCGTTAAATACGATGCTAGGCACGTCCTTTAACTAATACAGATTACGTCTTTTTTTAGTAATTTAACGCACGTAAAATGGACGATACAACAAACATTATAAGGACGTGATCTTGGGCTCACCAGCAGTGTGTTTTATGGCGTCTATTTCACGTTTATTCTTCTAGGTTTCACTTTCTCCGAAGAATCATCAGAAAGTTTCGCAATTTTTTTATTTGTAATGTAAAATATCGCTTAATATCAGCAAAGTTGAAATATTGTTGCATCTCAAAAAAATAATGTAATTGAGAAATAAACTATTACATTTTAATAAATATTTTCTTCTGTAACAATCATATAAAATTTTTCTTTCAGCTCTCCCGTTTTTTCTAAGCAAGCCCCAGTAACCCTTTAAAAATGTATATCGACAAATTCATCATCTTGTATAGTCCTTTATACTTGCAGTTACAAATAACTTTATAAAAATACAGTTACGTAAGCAATTTTGAGGCATATGCACCCTAATTTAAGTTTTGGATAGACGTCGCTTATTGGCTTGGCAACCCTGTTGCAATGACAGTGCCCCTGCCCGAATCCCCATTTTAATCAAACATAAATACAAGTTGTTATGGTTTGATTGACGTCGAACATTATCAAAAAGTAAAAAAGGGCAAATTAATATCCTGCTGGTGGGTTTTCGTGCGCTGAAGAAGAGAAAATGGGTGAAAACGAGAGACAACCGCTTTTGGCCCAAGAAAGCATCGCTTATAATAACAGGAATCTTGCAGGTCAGTGCTCATTAAATTGAGAATAATAACAGGTCCCCATTAATAGGCACAAAAGAATTGCAATAACTGATCAAAAATGCTAACATCCACATCATTACTATGCTTTATTTATGTCTAGCATATTGGAGCTTCGGGTAATCATCATCAAGGGTTTGGTAGCACTCACACAACATATGATAGCATGCATTTAATAAGCAATATTCGGCTTTAATATACATAGGTAGCTACTAATTAGTTCTTAACGTCAGGAAATGGTATTGTGAGCATCCTACAATATTGGAATTTTAGTACCAATGGATCTTTCCATTAGAAAGCCCTTTGAACTCATGACACACGCTCTATTGTCTAACCAGGACGAACCATATTTATTTAGGCATATTGATATTCGGTTTTACTCAACAGACCATAACTGGGAGTATACAGGAAAAATAATTATTATATATTTACCTACCGAACCAAAAGAGTGCTTATAGTGTGTTTATCTCGGTGTTTATACAAGATTTAACTTTAGATGTAAGGAATATTGTGCCGTGTTCAATGTTAATATGAGATTGAAGCCCGAATAGTGGAATTACATATCGTTTTCAGTTTAGATTTACATGCAAAGTATGATACTTAAATAAGTTTAGTTATGAAAAAAGGTACTATAATGAATGACTCTAAAAACGATGTTTTGTTATTTAAGAATCTAGTATGTTCATTACTCTGTTTCAAAACGTAGTCATAAGTTTAGCTGTTTTTAGTGCTAATCTAGTACTCGAACTGGCAACGGGCGGCCGCAGTAGTGCCATTATTTTATCTCGGTATAGATAGGCAACACCATGATGCAACAAGTGAAGCTGCATCTGCGATTTATTGTAAATTTCTACAAAAACGTTGTCTTCGATACTACACGAGACATATTAACAATTCAGGGTGTCCAGGAAATGCTAAGGGTGATTTTACCTAAATCGTCTTCTTCTTATAATAGGAACTAGTCCTTAGTCAGTTGCATTTAGCTTCTTTCGGGACTCCTGCGACGCTGAGCTTCAGCTTTCATACCATCTCTTGGGGGGTCTTCCTACCGGTCTTCGCGAGTTTCATTTTTGCGACTTGGCCCACTTTGCCCATTTGTCATCTGGCATTCTCTCCACATCTCAGCCTCAGGCCTCTTCAGCACTTCCTGTGTGTTCTGACCCATCTTACCATTCCTGTATTTCCAGCTCTTCTCTGATGTGCAGGCTTCTTATTCGGTCCCTGAGGGTAACACCCTTGATGGTTCTTCGTATTTTCATTTCGATCGTTCTCATTATTCTTTCCGTTGTATCCAGACTAAGTTTCGCAATTAATTCAAAGTACATTTCGGATTTTAACTCACTGTCGTAGTACTGAAGGAATTAAATTTTCAACAAACAGGAAAAAATCTTATAAATCTGTAGTACAAGACTGAACGCGCATTGCCCACACTTTACGGTTTAGGAACGAACAGTTTTAACGGTAAGTACGGGTAAAATATCTGTTCGCAAGAAATTTGGAACGAACGAAAATAGACACCAGAACGAAAGCAGACAGACACTATACACTATAGTTTTTGAACGCACGGGTCGACCTATACAAAACCATGTAAAACAACCAAAGTCTGTGGTCACAACTATTATGGTGTGTCCAGACCTGACGAGCCGAGCCTGAGGCGTTGTTTTGACTAAACATCAAAGGAATTTTGTTGCGGATCAAGCTCGACTCGGGCTCATCTGGTTAGCTTTGGACGCACCATTAGGATGTTCAGTTGGTTCAACATGCCCATTGCTCGCAAGCAGTGAAGCGCGTAAAACTGCGAACGCGAATGATAAAAAAGTTAAGTTTGTAATGTTCGTGCGCCTGAAAGGCGAGTTTCAATTGTTCAGTCGTGTAGCGATAAAATGAATCCACATTGCTCCTGTTCTTCCTTCTGCTCATGCTTACAATTGCGCTTTCCTGTTTTGGGAACATTACTTTGCGTGCTCCCAGTGTTTTACTTCCAAACATATGTGTCCACATTCTGCTTTTATGTTTGGGGTTCGGATATGGATGATATTCCTATGTATATACATGATTCATTCATGCTCGCGAGTTCAATTGATGTCGATTTGGCGAATGTTTGTTTCTAGTTAAGTAGTCGCAGTCCTGGGCATGCAAATTTCATCCATATCCGAACTGTAAGTAATGCAAACTTCACGAGCTTTGCGAGCAGAAAAGGCAATATTCCGACACAATCATTTCCAAATTAAACAAATGTTCCAAAGCAATGTGGACTCACCTCAAAAGAAAAACTAGCGTCCAACAACGCCCGGGACGACAAAATATGCGAGGATAGTTGGCCAACCACAATAAGGCACGAACGAGAGCTTAGGACAGAGATTTGAAAATGCGGTGTAATAAGACATTATTACACCAAAGCTTAGCTTTCGCACGTGTAGTCACAGAATAAAACACATGAAAGACTTCGTAGATTATTCCAAAGAATGTGGATCTAACACTAACACATATTTGGAAGATGCATTGTAGATTTCATGATATTGTATTAGAAAGTTTTACTTACACTGTACGTACGTAGCCCTAGTTGGCGCTTGGTTCCTTTTCAATTAACATGAATATCTAAGAAAAATGCGGGGCTCTGGAGCATCTGACAAAAATTGGGATGCTTTGAACTTGTAATGATTGATGCACCAACTTTAAATAGTGTACTATTGATATTTTCCGTTCCGTTTTATTCATTTTTTTTATCAGATCTGTCCCTTACTCAGATTCGATTATAATAGTTTTATAATTATAATGTAATTTCCCAGAAGTGTTCACTTATTTAAAGTAAGATAATTTGGAAAGGTAAACACATTTATAGATCTTTTACTTTACATTAAAAAGCGAGTCATATTATATTGTAGGCATATTTAACATGTTTGAAAACAGTTACTGAATTAATAACGTGTCTTCATAATAATAAAAAATATAATAGAAAACAACTTAAAAGTAAACTGAGTGTTCCGTTAAAATTTCTGGGTTTGCAAAGTGTTCCATTATAGAAAAAGTTTGGGAAACCCTGATATAGACGTTTAGTCACTAACCTCACGTTCGCCTAATATAATATTAATATGTTGCTACATATAGAATATTTTCCATATGGGATTTTATTGTCTAATTGAACGAAGCTATTTGCATGAAGCATATGACGACGTGGCAATATTGGAATTAGTTGCCATTGAAATGTTCTTCAGTTCCATCTAGCGTTCACACCTGACGGGCCTGATGTTATGTGACTCATTTTTCACATATAACATTAATTTATATGTATATCAATATCGGTGCTTGCTGCGTTTTTGTAGTGCATAAAAATGGATTTACACAAACAAGGTCGTATTGTCAACAGCAGTCAAAAAAACAACTTTTTAAATCTCGAATTCAATGTTTACAGTACACATTTTGCGAAGCACATGAAGTACCTGATCTAATCCCCGTTCACGCGATTTTTTAGGGGTCATTTTCTTTGACTTGAAACGCCTGTAACTTTTAAGCTAAAACACATTAAAAAAATTATTAAAGTAAAGTCCAATCCTAAGGGCTACATAGATGCGATCACCCTGTACATCTGACTTGCTTGTTTCAAGTGTTAACATCCTGTATACGGTGGCTGTATGCATCTATGCTTTACTGTAGGATTGAATTCATTTTTAAAATGAAAAACTGGCACAAATCCGTACAGGTATTTGCGTAATGTTAATTAGGTAGATTACCTTGAAAAACATTGTTGCGATCTTTCTGATCTAGTTTTTGGCAAATATCTTAGTTCTTAATAACAATTTATTTTTTTACTATTTTTCCTGTCCTCCCAAAACACCCCCAGACAACACCTCCAGAACGCCAATTTTGAATCACCCGGTGAATTATGATACAATTAAGAATATTTTTTTCATGATTTTATTCTCGTCATCGCAGATAATCTTTCATCTAACATAGTTGGTTATTCATATTTTTTATGCTCTTTAATATTTTCGTCAGTTTTCTCTATTCTATTAATAAGTCATTTTACAAATCATTCGAATAAACTTTATGAGATTTGTTGCTTTAGTTTCTAATTCATCTAATTTTATGAGGAATAATTGTTAACGAGTATGTGTATTGATTCATGCGTCCTGCATTTGCAAAATTAATATATGTGTACGCAAATACGCAATTATATGTTTTTCTCGAGCACCTGCTTGTCCCTCCCTTAAAACGCCTCCGCTCAGAAGAGCCCCTTTAAAAACTGTTATTTCAGTACGATGTGTGAAAACGGTACTCTCATAAATCCACATACATAAGTACACTTTGGACCTACAAAGATAATGATCCCCTTAGAACAAATGATCGAAATGTGAGAAATTTTGTAGGAAAATCATAAACGCTAGCAACAATTTAGATGTACATTAATTAAAATAAAACTTTACTTTCTGGAATGGAAAATGGCTCATGGAAACGGCAAAATGCATTTTGATTATTTGTCTGTATTGGTATTTTAAGAATTAGTTGACTCCTTGTCTCTATAAGTGGAAGTTTTGAACTGTTATTAGAAGGCAGAAATAAAAACTAATTTAATTTCATTTGATTTGAAGGACCTTTACATTATATCGCATTCAACAAGTTTGTCCGCAGAAGCATCAGATGTTATACTTCAGTACTAATCCAACGGGCGACTTGTCTTCAAAGTAAAGTATTTTCTTAAAGCATCGAATTCCAAATTATAAAACGTCAAAACTCGTTTTCCAGTTTTTGTCTTTTTTGAATAATTTGCTCACTTAAAGAACATTTTCTCTCTTCTCTACACCTTCGTGAGCCGGATTTACATTAAGCAGACCATTTTGCATAATTATTTAAACGGTAGATTTAAGCATACTCCTTCATTGGCAAACGCCACTGTTTCAAATCGTTTTGCATTTTTTCAATAATTTCATATCCCTGTGTTAGCGTTAAAGCTTACGTGTTTGCTTCTAAAAGATCGCTAAACAGCATTTGCGATGTAACCTGGACATATTCAGAAGAAAAATCAAACAATATATTCGATCAACTTACTTGATTTCACTCAAGGGAATTAATAGAAAAATCCCGGAAAAAATATTTAAACCAAATGTTTTTACTTGCGATATAAAAAGTCAAATCCTTACAGTAACTTTCTATAGACTATTAAAAAGTCGGTAAAAATAGGGGGTTTGTAAGGCAAACACTGATTTCAGTTGAAGTTGCATCAGAAAATACACTTAGTAGCATTGAAATGTGTTTTATCATCGTTGAAATCACTGACTGAGTCTTATTTAGACCTTATTTCCAATAATCATGTTCAAACTTAGCACGAAATAAACTGCATATTGATATAATTAACACAATTGTCTTATTTCAGCGGGCCAAGCGACGGTTAGCCCCATTGGTCCAGATGAGTTGCCTCCACCATTCTACCAAGCTCCAGAAGGCGTTCCAATGGTAACATGCCGCGTGTGCCAATCTATGATCGACATTTCCGGCAAACGGGAACAACATGTAGTTAAATGTGCCCATTGTAACGAAGCTACTGTAAGCATAAGATGTAACCCATTTGAATGTTTAGTGTAATAATGTTTTCAATGTTTAGCCGATCAGAAATGCACCGCCTGGTAAGAAATATGTTAGATGTCCATGCAATTGTCTTCTGATCTGCAAAAGTTCTTCACAAAGAATCGCTTGTCCCCGGCCAAACTGCAAACGCATTATCAATTTAGCGCCCAGTCCCGTAACTCCTCCGGTTCCATCCATGCCTGGGATGTGCAGAGTCATTTGTGGTCATTGTCAGGATACATTCTTAGTAAGTATATGTTCCCAGTTTTCTTTGTCGCATTTATTATATTGTTATTCTTGTGTTTTCAGTTCAATACGTTGAATAACGCTTTGGCTCGCTGCCCTAATTGTCATAAGGTTTCCTCAGTTGGTCCAGATTATTCTCGGGGACGTGGTAATATCTTCTTCATTCTAACAATAGTCTTATTGGCACTTGGAATCGGGGTAACAGTTGGCACTTATAAGTTTGCAAAAACCCATAGCGGAATTTATGTCACATATGTAGGAGCCTTTCTTCTAGCAGCCATTTTCTTTGTGCGAAGTGTATATTACTACTTTATGAAAGTTAGCATTATCGAAGGTCCTATGTAATTCCCTTGGATTTTTCGATGTGATGTAAATATAGTTCAATAAGTTTTATAGATGTGGGTTTAAAAGTACCATTTTTATAGCCCTGTAAGTGTAAACATAAATTGCGATCTGATTATTGTAGTTCATATGTGCATTGATTTGCTGTGAATTTTAATTTAAGAATTTGGGGGATTATTAATAATGTTTTGGGTCAGTTTGAGTTAAATAAATAGATTTGATTGAATACCCAACATTTCTTCGAGTGTTAATGCAGCATTGGGCATGCAGCAATCAGATTAACATTAAAACGATAGAAAAGGAACGCTGAAAAGATGTGATTCGAACCACAATCCTTAGAGTTACATTACAGTGATCTACGAGATTTTTCTTAAACAGACTTGAGTATTAAATACGTTGTTTAATGCAGCTTCAGGAAACTTAATAAGGTTATTTTTTAAGCCCATATCTTGAACTATAATGTAAGCATGTTCTGATATTTCAACATAAACTTCAATAAACATTCGGAAATTCAATAATCAATTATCTGTTTTGACAACTGAATTTGTGTAATCCTTTATAACGTAAATTATAAGATATACTGATTTTACTTAAGATTTAATTATTTAGTTGTACAAATTCATTTTATAAATGTTGTTTTTCTGGCAGCTTTATGTGAATTTGCCAAGGAAACATTCCAGTTATTGGTGCCCGAATTCAACTCAATATCCAGTTATTATTAGTTGCCTGTTTGAAGCAAGATTACGAAAACAAATGTTCTTTTAAGAGTAAGTAAAACCATATATTATAAATAAAATGTATTAGCTGCATATGCGTAAGAAATAATGTATTATGCTACTCGACCTTAATAAAATATATTTTAGAACTTGCGCTTCTGTTTAACTAGCCCGCGTTTCCTATATGAAATGTGAGTTATTGCAAACATGAGTTGACACTGTTTATCTGATTTTTATTTCCCAAAAATTCTATTGAATAGATAGAACATATAATTAAGGGTGCGGTAGGAGTTTTGTAACTATATTTTTTGGTATTTGTCATTGAAAAATAAAAAATTCGGTAACCCGAGACCCAACTACAAACTTTCATCCAGTTTGTTACATTTTATCCTATGCAACACTTGCTTTTAAACTTGCGAAATTAATGTGATGAAAATAGACATGTTGAAGCTTTATTAGTGGGATTAAAAATATCCCAAATGTTTCGACTTCGTATTTAAGGAACTGAAGTTCATACGCGGATTTCGAAAGCAAAGCATGATCTAGCGATTTATTACATCGGCTTGCGCAGCCATGGGATATATATAATGAGTGAGTTTTTCGGAGGTCGAAAAAAGTATTTCTTCTTGACGTTCCGCAAGCAAGAGTGGCTTGCATTTTTGAAGGTATTTTCGCCCGAAAGGTTATCAGCCGACAACTGGACAAGCGATGATATTTTGAGCGAAAAACCTCTGAGGATGCAAGTCACTCGTGCTTGTGAACTGCAGGGAAGACATTCTTTTCCACCAGTTTCAAGTGACTTCACCATTCGTTTTTCAGCAAAATACTATTGTATTATAACGATATATTCAGATTTTTAATAAGACTTAACGAACAATATTAATCATAGCTTAATTATAAAACTAAACATAAAATTGGACATTTGGTTTAAATATATTTTATCCAATACTTTTAAAGTCATTATAGAATCTATTTATTTGGAAAACAAAGGGAATTATTAGAACAATACACTTAGTTTGTTATTAAGTTGCACTTATTACTAAACAAATATATTTTCGTAAATATATAAATCGTGATCTTTCACAACTATTGCAAGCTTATCATTTAGTTTTCAAGGCAGATTCGATCAATTGAACTGTTTTACATTAACCTAGAGCCTAGCAGGCCATTGTATGTTTTATAAATTAAATATTGGTGATGACATCGTGTGTAAAGTGAATGATGTAATAAACCAAGTTAGAATAATACAGGAAACACCCGAAAAGCGAAAACGTGCGCGAACGCAAAAATTATCCACAACGTTCAGTTCGTTCTCGCACATCGGCGCGTTAAATCCTGTGAGATTCTCAAAAACTACGCTTATTTTCGCCAACGAATTTCGTGGATTTCATTTGCAAGGTAAATATTTGGAAAAGCATTTTGAATTTTCAATTTGCTGTTAGATACAACACTTATTTATAGCTGATTTATTCACCTTCGGCGTATTTTTGGAAAGTCTAATTCCAAAGTGCTTTGATTTCCCATTAATATAGCATTTAAAAATATTTATCTAATCATAAATAACAGATTTCCTTTTTTTCAGAGTACGAATTTACTTGGAATATCTCATTTTAATATCGAAAATAATTGACGCATATAAAATATTTGATATAATATTCGTTTTTACATCCGCTCTTACATGTTTATTAACTTAAATTAATGTATTTTCAAGTACATTTTTTATTTACTTTTCTAAAACGGCCCTTTGTGAACCTATATTGAATAAATCAATCAAAACGCGCATGCTTCTGTGAAATGCCTCTTGGTTTCCCTCAGGAAGAGAAAATAGGGCACGGGCACTGGGCTATTTACAGGAATGATATCATCTTGCTCCGTTACTGTGATGATGTTTGAGTTGTATAGGATAGCAAAACAACATTCATATCGAACATTCAATTAATTCTAACCCGCTAATCGAATGGATAACCGACTACAATTTACCTATGGTTTTAAACAAGAGTTTACTTAAGTTTTTTATGTAGCAGTAGCGATGGAAATAAGATAATTGGCATGTTTTGTGAGTCCCATTCCGGCTATTTTTCCGGTAAATTTTCCAAAAAAAGTCCTAAGTTTGTCAGCGGCAGGCTGTTTTTTCAGAAATCACAATCAATCCATATAATTTACTGGTTTACGGTATGCGCTAAAAACGATGCAATTTTAACATTAGGTACAAGTAAAGGTTTTGTGGCAAAATATTCGGTGCTTTTGGACGCTGTAGAAGACTTTTCCCCTAAAGAAGAGCATTTTATTATATAATGGGTTATTTAAGTACGTAGCCAATTTTTAGGAGCTGATTTTCAACAAAAGTTTTTAAAGGTCCGGCAATAATCTCTGTACAGCGGACAGGGCGTTGAATAAGAAAAAGTTTCTTACCTTAGTGGCGTCTCTGAGGACTTAATAGTCAAGATTTTTCACGAATAAAATGCGGACCACTGATTTATTTAAATTGTTTCCACTTTGTTAGGATTTAGGGACTTGGAATACAACTTTTATGTCTCTAAGTTTTTTCGTTATTTCGCTCCGTTTTCGAGATAAAAAATTAAATCCACTGTGTTCCATCTTCCTGGAAGGGACGACTTAATGAAACGGTAATTCAGAATTACATGAGCCATTGACTAATGATTTTTGACGCATATAAACGTTTCGATAAAACAAATAAACATAATTATTGCATAACTTCATTATTTAGCACCCTGTATGTTGAAAAGGAACTATCATCACCTCCTGAACTTTGGCAAATAATATATACAAAGAAAACATGTTTTTTCTGCTTTGTATTCCACTTCTACTGATTGCATTTGGTCGAATGAAAGTTTTAATTGAAGCAACGGAAAAATTACTAAATTTGAGAATATTTTATTTGAAAAAAATGCGCCGACCTGTATGCGATAAATGCCAACAGTCGAATAATTATCGAGGTCACTAAACAATCTTTTAGAATAAATTAAATGATCATTACTAATTTTACGTGCGTTTGCTTCATTGCTGGCCTCACACTGCCATTGATTTCATACAAAGTGTTTTGTATGAAATAAATAATGTTAATTTAATATATCATTTCACATGCCTTAAGCCAAATCATCGAAAGGTTATTAAATATCTTCTAGTCGTAATAAAGCTCAATTTCAATTTTTAATGGATCAGTGGGTTCTTAGGAATTTTATGAGATCTGAGCAGTTATCGCTCCTACTGGATTATTAGTTATGGAAGCACCTCAAGAATGTTGTGTACAAAACAAAACTGTATCGTTTCACCACAGCAACGCAAGAGATAACAGGAGATACTTGAAGGAATTTTATGTTAAAATTTTAGTATGTTTATTTGGTAAATTAACGGGGATATAGTTTTATCACTATTAAACAATTACCTAATGATGGTGGATAATTAAGTCGCGTTTATACAATATGTAAACGGCTCTGCAATTTTCCAAGCACAGTTTCTAGCTGATGATTTACTCGAAGAACCCCGTGTATTCAACAGCATTTTGAGAAGATCTCTTACTTTATTTTATATAAGTTTTCTTCGCAACATTTTTATCAGAAATCTCAGACAAGGAAATATTAATCATTAAATTTGGCCCAATTTGTACCTATTCTCAAATAAATTGGGTGAACATGTTAATAGAGACTTTTTCATAATTATATGGAATAGAAAAATAGTTAAACGAGGTAAACGATAAAAAGGATAAGAAAAAAGGATGGGATAAAAAAATCGTTTTTTTTTCCATCCCATATCCCAAAATATTAAAGGAAAAATGAAAACACACACTGGTTTTTATCTTTTCGAATGATTTTCCGCTTGGCTATGGACTATAATTTGTCCACAATTAATGCATTAATGTCCACAATGTGGATTGGAAGTCGGAAACCTTTCTATACATGATAATATATCAAAGGCAAAGAAGAGAAAATAATGACAACTCTCCGAATGAATAAAATCAGTGGAAACATAAGTTAATGATAATATGCAGGACCGAAGCATCGTGATTAAAAATCCGAAGCAAAAAGCTAACAAAAATTCACCTTATAACGATTTTAGAAAGATATAAATGCATTTGAATGAAATTGATTGAAAATTCCAAAACGAATAAATTTGAAGATTAACGAATATATTTTCAAAACCTTTGAATATCAATCGATTTCAAAACAGCATTGACCTGTCTATAAAAAAACAGTTTCTCCATTTTACCACAATTTTTCTCTCTTAGTGTTCTTCAAAGATACCAAAAAGCCACATTTTTGCAAAACTGCTCGTTATTGTTTTTAAGTCATGTTAGATATTTCCAGTATTTGCATACTCGTAAATAGCAATTTTTTATGATTGTTTATAGCCATAAAACCATTTTGGAATTAAGAGTAGAGCAGAGGTTGGCAGTAACATTTACGTATGAATTTAATATTTTTGGCTTTAATTATTCCAGTTTCTTTGTTTTAGCTTAAATGGAAACACTTGAAAATGTATTGTAATAATTATGGTTATTGTAATAACTATAATAATATGTTATTATAAAGTCATATAAATTTGATTTAGATAGATTTACATTGGAGCTACCCCTTAAAGATAATTTGCTGTTTCGAGGCTCTAAATATGATAGGCTATACAACTTAAATATTCAGGATAATATCCAACAATCAGCTATTAATTCTTCTATTCAGCAAAATATCGCTCAATCATTATGAGAAGTAGGCCGAATGCAATTAAAACTTTAATTATTAAGGCTAAATTAATGAAAATATAGACAGTAGGTGGCTGTAAATAAGAACCAATAAATGTAGCAATTAAAGCGAAACTCTTTATTTAGGAACAACTGAACCCCGTTGCCTAGTCAGTTTGAAAACGATTTCTACACACTATTGGCTGTATCAGATATTCATTAACTAAATATTAATAATTAGAATGTCATGGTGTACACAAAAATAAACAAAGCACTTAAGTTAAAATAGGCAAAAGAACATCGACTGATATAATGTTTATAGTTCGTTATAAACTAAATTTGTTGAACAATATTTGGCTTACATCACTTGAAGTTTATTTAAGAACGAAATTGAGGAAGAAAAAATGCTTTTGTTTGAACAATATTGAAAAAAACGGGCTGTTTGAAAGGTAAGATAAGAAACCACAAAACTGTTTAAAACTTATTAACTAACTTTTTAGATTGAATACAATTTGATATATGTTTTTCTTCGTTTAGACCAAATGTTTGTGCAAAAGTGTACAAAATAAAAATGTTAGTATAGTTTTCTGAAGACCAAAACATGTCACGGAATATATGTACCTACCTACTTAATTAATATAATGATACTTTTCAAAAATTTGGTTTAAATCTGATATACGACTCCAAATTTGAAATTTAATACACAATAATTCATTATTAAATGTGCCGTTTTCATCTAATCAAAATAGTCGAAAATCAATTAACCATCTGTAATTACACAGAGTTTTTATTTAAGATTCGCGTAATCAACACTTTCAACTTGAAGAAAACAAAGATAATCTGGAAAACAAGTTGGTTAGTTGCAAATCTTATACACTTTTCACAATTATTGTTTAGTGCAATATAAATACTATATCTATTAAGAATGAAGAACTATGATGGTTAAATAATTTTAATCTTATTTTTAGAAATTATGCAGATGTTACACCGAGCAATACAACCATTTTGACGAGTGCGTAACAAGAAATATTATTATCATATCGCTAAGTAAATAAAGCTACCAATTGTATATACAATTTCATTACACGTTCACAAATAAATATAGATATACCAATTTATCTCCAAGGATTTGCTATCTTAAATGGATTAAGTACCTAGGTGTATAGATATGTTATTATTGAATATTAAAGTGCATGTGATTAAAGAAGTGAGTTAAAAACATAGGTTACATTTAAGAATTATTTTTTTCTTTCAATTCGTGTGTGATAATTGCTATTTTAATAAAATTTAAATAGCTTTATTATTCATGAGGTTTTGGGTGGTGTCATCTTCAATCGGTAGCTCATTCGATCAGAGATCAACGACACATTTTTCATTCGAAACCAGCTACTTTTTACGATATGATTATGTCTAATATATATTAATATTAATGTCTGTAATTTCCTAATTAGAGCCCTCTATTTTTCTCTTATTATTTTGGCGGTTCTTTTCGAAGCGTCAATATTATTAGCTATTAGACGCGCCTTTATTTATATACAGGGTGATTCACAACCTTATGGACACAGAACAGGAGCGTGTAGAGAAGCTCAATACAAGCAGAGTTTCCATTTAAGTTTTTTTTCTCAGGCTCATGGTTAACGAGATACAGGGTGTTAAAGTTTCAAAAAAATGTTGGTATTTTTTCTTTAGCTCCTACAGTTTGTGAGATATTTTGTTCAAATTTTTAACGTAGGCAAATGTTTAGACCCTATGTCTGTAGGTAAGGCGACTGGTTGTGAAAATCTACGGGGTGTTTTTTTTCTAGAGGCATACCCCCTTTGCTCCCCCCCAAACTTTTTTTGTGGTGCGCCACTTACTTCGACCGAACGAATTTGTGAATTTCTTAAAATTTAAGAATTTTCTGGGCTTAAGTGTTTATTTCGTGTCTGTCTTCGTGTTCGAGTTATTTGTACAAATATAAGTCCATGTAGGGTGGGTCCTGGGTGATTTTCCATGAATTTTCTTATATTTTTTTGCGTCTTTTTGTTCACATTTTTTTCTGAAAGAAATTAATTTCATAATAAATTGAAATATTTGTTACATTTTTGTGTATTTTTATTTCGGTTAGCTTACAGCCGATCAACCTCAATTATTGTAAATTAAATAAAAGAAAAAAAAATTATATATTTTAAAGTTAACTCGTCAGCCATCCCTATTTTAACTTCAACTTGCACTTGAAGCTTTCACAGAAAAATGTAAATAAAAGGACACAAAAAAAAATATTTTAAAAATGCATAGAAAATCACCCAGAAACCCTAGATGAACTTATATTTGTGCAAATAACTCGAAAACGAAGACAGATACGAAAAAACTGCAAAAGATCAGAAAATTCGTAAATTGAATAACAAATGCAAAAATGTGTTCGGTCGAAGTCAGTGACGCACCACAAAAAAGTTCGGGGGGGTAAAAGGGGTATGCCTCTAGAAAAAAATACCCTGTAAATTTTCACAACTACCTACGGGTAGAGGATCTAAACATTAGCCTACATAAAAAATTTGAGCAAAATATCTCATAAACTCTAGGAGTTAAAGAGAAAATACCAAAATTCTTTTAAACTTTGACACCCTGTATCTCGTTAACTGTGGGCCTGAGAAAAAAAACTTAAATGGAAACTCGATTTGTTTTGAGGTCCTCTACACGCCCCTGCGCTGTAGCGCTGTGTATATGTATGTATGTATATAAGGTTGTGCATCACCCTGTATAAAGCTTGTACGCACGATGTCTACGAAATGTGGGGCCAAACTTTTTCTTTGTTGAAATAAAGTCATCACTTATAAAAATAATTTCTACATCTTGGATTCGTATAGCAGTTTAGTCATACAGCACGCAATAGAAATGATGTTTTGCATAATATTCGCGACGTTAAAGCTCGCATAAGACGTCGAGAAAAAAAGGAAATCGTCAAAAATAAATGAATTTTACCTGGAATTTAAAATAAATTAGAAAGTTCCACCTCGCGACTCATTTCGGAGATAAAATCATACACATTCATAAACGCAATAATAAAAATTCCTGTAAAGTTCTATCATATCTATCATTATATAAGACGATGTATAAGATTCAATATTAAGATCTACCTAAAATATGTAGACATAAAAAATATGTCGTGGGTAAATGTTCTCCTTGTACCATTTCAGAAATAAATCATGAGCGATTCACCCCAACCTCCCTCTGGGGAATTGAAAAATCTCAGTCTGGAAGGGGAGAAAGCGGAAAGTGAAAGACCGTCTACCCCATCTTCCCTAACATTCACCGAGCAATTTAAAACGTTTGCCAAGTTTGGCGACCCAAAATCGGATGGTCGACAAATAACTTTATCAAACAGTGACAAATGGATGAAGCAAGTAAGAGATTAAATTACTTGAAACCGTTGCCACCTTGCTATAGAATTGACTTTAAAAAGACGTAATTTAATAATAGTTTTTTTTGTAATTCCAGGCCAAAGTTATCGACGGAAAGAAAATCACGACGACAGACACCGGAATCGCTTTCAAAAAGCTGAAATCGACTAAAGTAGGCATTTTAGACTACCAGAAGTTTTTGGAAGATCTCGCCAAGAGCAAAAAAATTGAAGTAGCCGACATTAAATCAAAACTGACGAACTGTGGACAACCAGGCCATCATGGACTGGGGGTAAGCATCCATAATCAAATCATAATAGCCCAATAAACTAAATGGTTATTTATCAATTTAAGATGATAATTCAGATTTGCAGAAAAACGCACTGACGATCGATTAAAATGAGTGCTATCTTGACAAAATTTTAAGTTTGTTATTAACTATCCACTAACAGTTTTTTTTCGAAACAACTCACTTTTGTTTTTAAACTTACATAAAATGCTTATTAGAAAGTGTGTAGTGTATGAAGTAAAAAACATAGAAACACGCGGTTTAAATATATCGAAGAAATTATATAATACGCCAAAGATAAACAGAAGTCCAGTGTTAATATTGGATTATCCAATACGTCAAGCTTTTCATTTTATTTTAATCAACATGTAGACCTCTAGAACATGTACTGAACTAAGATATTGTCAATCAATTCAAGGATGTCTACATGTATACTTAAATAAATATAAAATGTTGAAAATCAAAGATAAAAATATTTCAATTGCCTTTTGTATTTATTACTCAAACCAATTTAATAAGGTAGAACTGATCAATTTTAGTATAAACAATTAATTTATTTTTTAGAATGTGAAAAATACCAGCACAGTTAATAGATTGACCGATGCCTCAAAGTTCACAGGAACGCACAAACAGAGATTTGATGAAGCCGGAAAAGGCAAAGGCATTGCTGGACGAAAAGACCTTGTTGATTCATCCGGTTATGTCAGTGGGTATCAAAACAAAGACAGCTATGAGAAAAAAGAATAAAAGAAAAACCATATTTATTAAAAAATATATGCTTAAGTTTACACCGTGCACTATACTCGAGAAATGAGTAACTTATATTCAAATATTTGTACTCGTGTCTGCTTCCAATGGAGCTTCCAGTTTTCCTTTGCACAAGAGTTTGTTTAAATAGAACGTTTTTGATATGTCAAGTACTTATTTAGATAATTATAAGCGGTTGTACTCGTTTAGAGATTTTTGCGTAGTTTTAGTTTTATATTTTTTCACGATCGTTTAAAAATGTTAAACTCACTAGACACTTACAATTAAGGTACGCTGTGCTGGAATGTGACCCATTCTTTTAAATAAAACTGCACACTTCCTCCAGTCTATTTCATTAAAAGTCTATGTATCATATAATATGATAGTAAATGTGATCGTACAAAAGTCTAGTGCAATGTTGCTCTAACTGAATTGGTGTAAACTAAATCAAAAGCTATATATTTTAGGTATACCACGTCTATTTCGAACTCCAAACTTAATTAGCATAAGGTAAAGAATAATATTTTTACTTTCCTTCTCGTATGTAGAATGTGAAATTTATATTAATTTATTAAAAGACAATAAAATAAACAAACAAATGATTTGTTCAAGTTTGTTGTAGATTATTTATCTTTCACAACACCAACACGCTAAATCCTATTATTTAGGCAACTTCCTTCAATTTAAAAGTATCCTGTTATTCGGCGGAACACAATCAATAAAACGAAGGGGCGAAAAACAATAAACAATAGTTTGTTAAAACTGATGAGGCTTAAATACAAAAACACACAAGCCAAAGTGTTGCATAGTAGTGGCGCTAATAATATAGGTGAACAGTAACAGGATTAAAAATTATTTTAAATAAAATAGTTTCAATATTTTGTTTCAACGTTTGAATAAAATTTTTATATTTTTCGTTTGTTAGAATCGATATTCTATTGATTTGCTTAATTAATGCTTTCATTATACTTATAGTGCTAGAAGAAACCTTTAATTCGAAATTTTTTATTTCTTCTTGTCATATGTGCCCAGATAATTTTTAAGCAAATTACGATACCAGTTGGGTTTAAAATTGGTTCAAACCATATAAAAAATTGAAATTCAATATTATATTTTTTGCGTTAAGCTAAGCTGGAGCAAAATCGAGTACACTTCATAGTAAATTCAAGCCGGCGTGAAGACACCTAATCACTTTTTTGCCTCGATGTTTCGTTTCCCAGAAATGATCAATTTTATTTTTTAATATGGTCCTGTCGGTTTATTTATGGCAAATTTGAATAGTTTTTCTCATTTCCATTCAACAATGTTGAACATACCAAAATTGTGACCAGTGTTTCATTCAAATTTTCAGAAAAATGTAAACTGGAAACTGTTGGTTGTTGCCGCTGGTTAAATTTGCCTACAAGCAAATTGTTTTTTGGTTTTGTTTCACTGTTAAACATTACTCTGATAAAAAAAACTGCTACGAGAATGCTACTTTTCGCGTGAATATAACAGAAAACCTCAACACAGAAAAAATCCCATAAAAAGAGTAGTTAGACAAGGAGACTGGGAAAACTGGATCCAAACCGCCCAAGATCGACTACACTGGAGACAATTGGAAGAGGCCTACGTTCAGGAGTGGACGAGGATGGGCTAATAACAGATGAACGAATACATTTTTCACTTTTCAGGAGTTCTTTATTTTTTGTTCAATATTTATTAAATAATATAATAAAATAATTATAATAATAAATATGTTTAGTATATATATGTATACTCTTTAATTAAATTGAAAATAATAATAATAATAATAATAATAAAAGGATATTTTTTGAATGAATAGATATGAATGAAAGATGTTGTTTCAATGGATAAATCTAATGGAAAGTAGGTACTTTAAATTTGAATAAATACTGAGGTAAAAGCAAAATTAACTGATTGTAAAATGTAATTCATGTATCAGCATAATGATTTAAAAACGACACTCAATTATTTTGAAAAAATACGAAGAAAAGAACAATTTGTTTTTTGAAAAAATCAAAATAATTCGCGCGTTGTTCCATCTATCAATAAAACGGACAGCTTTTCGGTAAAAAACTAAACTTTTAGACTCATTTCATTTGATTAAATTGTTTTTGCGTAACTTCTTTTTCCACAAACTTTGTTAATGATCGATTATAGTTTGATATTTTTATATTTTTACTGTATGTATATTATAGTTGATAGTTTCCAATTTTAAATACTAAAAATTTATTAAACACTTAATTGTGTAGATTATTGCGGCAAATAATGTGTCTGAAAAACGATCCAAACAGATTGAAAAAGTTTTTGAATGGTTTTCTCATTTGGCATAGAAGAAGTGACCTGTTCGGTCAAACAGCTCTTTCAATTTTTTTTTCTACGTCTAGGTAACATGTTTTTGCGTTTAGTGATGTATGTCTACGTCTTCACTAATCAGAACTATACAATCAGAACTTTGCTCAATTTTTATTGATTTAATGTTACCAGCAATTAAAAAATATTTTCATTATATGGAAAACTGGTAAATATTATATACATCTAATGTATTTTATTAAACATGTTCGTTTTCGAAGAATTTGCTTCAACGCAAATTTAGAATGTAGGGATTTAGACAATATTTTTAGTTCAGAACTAAGGATCTTGTATAACCTGTTACAAGTTTTTGATAAACAAATATTGAAACAGTCCACTTACCGTTGGGACATTGATTTTCATTCCGTACAAAAACCTGATTTCCCATAATATTCAGAAGTCAGTCTATTTGGGTCTATTGACGGCGGTTTAACACAATTTGCAATTTTAAATATTTCTTAGAAGGCATTTTTTATATTTAAACGGGGTAATTGAGCGAAGCCAGGCCACTTATAAAACCTATCCTTAATGGGTTTCCAATTAAGCTCCAAGTATTTAAAAAACTGTTCCAATGTTACTTTATTTTTGCTCCAAACATCACAGTTTGCTTACTTATGCAGGGTGACACGCACGAAAAACCAAGAAATTTTCCGCTTAGTAACCCCAACGATCACCTTAATCAGACACTAACGGTAATATTAAATACAAAGTAGCTTAGAACTAAAAATGTTTGCAGCTCTTGGCTCTTGGCAGAAAGAATGATTTCTCAATTGATAAAAATTGTGCTAATTTCTTCAATAGTGTTTCCCGAATTGTGTGCTGGACGTGCGAATGTTTGCCTTGATTTAAACGATATACTCTCTTTGAATTGGATGCCTGCAACTCTCCTACAGAAAGTGGGGGCTGATGTTTATGATACAGATGTTGCCAATAAAACTTTTAATGGAATAGACAACAGAATGGAAGTTATGGATGGAACTATTGATGATGCATTAACTACTATGACGTTTCACAGGTACACCATAAAAAAACATGTATGTATTGCAATATATTAAGATAATGCAAAATTATAGGTCAATGTTAAATCAGTATCACTGCACGAAATATGTTGCCAATCAGATCGTATCGGAAATGTCCAAAACCGCATTTGAACGAAGAAGTGGAGGATCAGACCCAGAAAATGTAGAAAATGATGTAACCCATAAAGATAAGATAAAATCAAGCCTATTATCAGATCAAGGGTCATCAAGCTATGAAGACTGGCTTAGAAAGTGAGTGCCACAATAACAATAAGAAAAGTGAAATAAGTAAGAATCCACTGAAAGCGAATGCATTTTCAAATCCTTAAAAATTCAGTAGAAACTTTTTTTACTTGAGGTACTCAAGAATTAATGAGATATTTTATCAGACGCTCTGCATATCAACTTAACATGTCTTGTAGAAGTGCAACTCTCGACGACTTATACAGACATCATCATAGCATAAACAACCTAATGGATACTGACTTGCAATCAGCAAAAGACAACGCAGTTAACACGGATAAAAACCAGCAAATTTCTACCAAATTCGACCATCAATATCACGGAGGTTCAGGCTAATCAGGAATAGTTAGTACAGTCTAATTGGAAAAGTTCTTGCAGATTACATAGCCACTCATGGGGCTTTTTTGCAACCCACTATATATCATACTTCAGAAGTCGAACAATCTTACAGCAAATCTGACAAAATAGCCGATATTTTTGAAATTGCTCTCACCGCATTGGCGTATTTGTCCTTTGGAATGTTCATCGTGCATTTGATGATGTGCATATCTGCAGTGGTAAGATAGATGAGATCGAATAAAAATCCGATAATTAAAATTGATTTTTGCCAAATTGAAGAGTAATCAACAGACAACCACAGCAAATACCAGAATCGTAGCACTTAATCTGAGCCCGGCTGAGATCAATGCAGGTAACAACATTAATTTCCAGTTTAATTTAATTGTGATTTATTGGTATATTTTGCAGACGAATACGAACCACATGGAACTGTAACTGATTCTATGGAATCTGATGAATTCAAATTCAGGTAGGTAATATATTTATAACAGAAATTATATCTACGTGACTTATACAATTTGATTTGATGTGTGCTTCTAGATCCATTAAAGAACCGAACAATTCGACGCCATTAACTTCTGAGACACCAAATGAGTTAGCTAGAAAAATACTAAGTATTTTCGATTCTGCTTTAGGTGCTCCTAAAGACAAAGGCCAATGCTTCAGATATGCGCTATGCAATGCAACAAAATATTCCCGATTCATCAATGGAAAGGGAAAACTATTCATGGGTTGGTGGAGGTACGTTGCCGAGAGAAGAAAATTATGTTTCAAATTAATATCAACATTAAATATTTGTAGTTTTGGAGTTAGCTGGTTATCGGAAAAGCTCACGCACAATTTCGTGTCCAAACTTGAGGGTCTTCAGGCAATCATATTTGGTTTAGGAAAAGCAAATTGCAAATCGGTTTATCCATGTATGTTTGTGAAAGATAAACAATAACGCAAATGTAACCAGCAGACATAACTGTAGATACTTCTCTTATTTATTTGATCTCGGTGCATTTATATAACTATCCATACGTTTGATAAAAAATAACTTCATTCAGGGAAAATATGAAATTAATTTGGTTTTTGTATCTTTTTTCACTACATAATATACGAGGTTCGGAAATAAATATAACAAAGTAAGTTAAAAATGAATTTCAATAAAAAAATTGTCGTTTTAATTTTTCCAAATCGTTTTTTTTATCAAAATAGTAAATGAGTAAAACTGACTAATAATGCTGCGTGCTACTGAATTTCCAAACAATCGATTTTGTTTGTTGAAACCGAACGCTAGTCAGTTGCAATTAAGAAGATTAATTCACATTTCAACAATTTCCTAAAAAAAGTTTACCAAAAAAATCCTAAATGTAACAAGCATTCTAATCGGCTGATAATTCAAATATGTGAATCAAAGATTTGTAGCTACTTAAAAAAAATGCAAAAATGTTTTAAGTGTCCATAAAAAAGCGTATAAGATTCGATTTAATGTCACAAACACTTCAATCTTCCAGACTAAAAGATTAAGGCACTATTTATTTCACATTCCCCGAGACTGTTCCTCCAAAAAGCAGACACACCTATTTATTTATTTCAGACTCCTGTTTAGCAGTCAATAGCATCATTTAAAAAAATATATGTAAATATAATGTCAAATTCTACCAAAAGTTCAAACTTTACCCAAACTACCTTCTTCCATCAATAAATTATAGTAACAATAAATATTCTATCAATAAATAAATATTTAGGGACTTTTTCTGCACTAAACATTGAAAAATTTGCTGGTTTTAAAATATGTTTTACATGTTGTTCATGCCTTGATCATCAAGAATACTTGAATCATACTCTTTGGGCCTTTCCGGAAAAACGAACGTTGAGAATAAAAATACTTGTCTTGTACTAAAAAAAATCTATTCTAAATAATTATTAAATATTTTTAGGAAATTACAACAAAAATACAAATAAATGAATAGAAATGAGTCAGTTGAAGTTTCAATTCTTTTGTATTTTGCTTCATGTTCGGTAAAATCTAACTGTTTGTAACTCTACCAAATTGTTACGACAAAAACCAAAAGAAGTTAAACTTTGCCAAATATAAATTGCGATTCCAGTCAGTTTCATTTCAACAATTTTAATGTTTAAAGTATAAGTATTTAGCTCCGAAGATACGTAATTGCAAATTGTGAAAAAATTCTAATAGACAAAAATGTCATTCAAACCTGCACTTACACATTGAGCTCATTATTAAAATATTTATTTGAAAATATCCGAGAATATTTTCATAGTAAAACAAAAGTAATTAGAAAAACATTTTATTTTGATAAAAGAGCATTTCATTTCCATCTTATCATATTATGTAAACACTAATCTTAAAATTATATACACGCATGTAAAAAATAAGTAAAAACGATTCAGTCATGATGAGACATTTCTTCCACGTAAATTTTATTTTGAACAAAGTTTCTGACTGTGGCCAGCTGCTGTTCCCAATCATTATAAAACCATTGATCAAAACTCTCAATCGTTTGAAACCTTAATCCGTTCTGCCACAAATTTGAACTGCTATGATTAAAATACTGACTGTACTGATTGTGATAATGAGTATGTTCGTTTGAAACTGGATCGTAACTCCTTGTACTCATTGGTACTTCACACGTATTAATCCTAGCAGTTGATTGTAAAGCCACTTCTTGGCCACTATTGCTTTGCACAGCTTCGGATGCTGTCTTCTGTGGTTCAACGGGTATCCATTTCATAAAACTATAATCATCCACATCTACCTCACAGTTAACTTGTATTTCCTTCTCTACCTCAAAATCGTAGTCTTCATCATAGCTCTGATTATCGGGATTTTCATCCTGATTCCCAGAGTCCTCTGATATATTCATTGCTTCTTGGTATTCCGGTGACAATTTCTTTTTTTCTTCATCTGATAGATAGTTTTGCCACCTTTCCTCCGCTGCTGATATTTGAGACTTGTAGGCTAATCCAAATATATTTTCTAAGCAAATGCCTTGGCCCAGTCCATTTGTTTGATCAGGTTTGGATTCTAAATTCTCTTGCCTTTTATTTGAACAAAGGTAAGTCTCTAAGTCAGTATAATCTTCGCTGGAAACTTCTATGTCGCATAACATCTTAGCCACATTTACTAAAGCTTTATTAGTGGCAAATATCTTGTCTTTGCTGGTATTTGAGGAAGAGTTACTACTAACATCGCCTCCTTCTGCTATCTGCTTTAATAGCAAGCTAGGACTTGGCACTTTCTGATTTGGTAATGCATGTTGCTGCTGCTTTAGGGACGTTTCAGGCCGAGGATCTATGTTAAGCATATTATTATTTACAACTTGTGCGGATGAGGATGGAGATTCGTTCGATTCAAAGCAACCAGAAGCAAGCTGATTTAATGTCGAATGTACGTCTTTACTTATTTTTGATTCGACAACATTATCCGGCACAGCAATTTGTTTATTCGATGCTGGTTTTGATTTTTTTTTATTTTTGACACTTTTCTCTTTATAGTTTTCGACTAAACAAGTCCTGATTTGAGTAACTTCATTGTTATAGAAGGCTGTATCTTTAACAATGCCAAACAAATACCTATCCTTTGGAATGGCATTCATGTCTAATACATATCGATCGTTCAAAATAGGAATAGATAGATGTTCTCCGCCAATAAATCCTAAGATTGTTTGTAATAATAAAGTTTCTTGGCTGGTAAAAGCCATATTAATACAATTGCCGGTTGAGCCGTAACGCCCAGCACGACCCATCCGATGTAGATAAGTTGTGGCACTTGCAGGAATATCATAATTTATTACCAAATCTAAATTGGGAGCGTCAATACCACGAGAAGATAGATCCGTAGTTACTAAAATTCTATGCTTGACATTTTTAAAATCTGCGAAAGAACTTAGTCGATCAATCTGCTTCTGTGCCGCCGACATATAAATTGAATTCCACCCATTTTTGTTTAATAGATAGCTTAAAGTCTCAGCTCGGTTTTGATAGTTGGCAAAAATTACACATTGGACAAATGGAACGGCGGAAAGTATTTTCAACAGTTCCTGATTTTTTGCGGTTGTTACTACAACTATATTTGAAGACACTTGCTGCAATCTAACATAATGCCTCAAACCCAACAGTAACGGTGTTTCTAACTCTACACTGACAATAACGGGACTTCGCATGTATTGTTCTAAGAACTTTTGCAGTTCATGTGGATAAGTAGCACTGCACATAATGATTTGCTTATAATCCGGCAATGCATTATAAATTTCATTAATGTCATTCTGGAAGCTATCTTCTGTTAACTTATCCGCTTCATCTAAGACAAATATCTTGACAAATTCAATGGATAGGCTTCCACCTAAAATTAGTTCTTTAACTCGTCCTGGAGTACCAACGGCAATATGGCAGCCTTTGCATTTCGCTTTATCGTTACTAATCGGCAGTCCTCCAATAAAACATTCGACAGAGAGTCCTGGAAAGGCAAACTTTCTAAATTGCTAATGTGAAAAATAAACCATAGTACATGATGTAGTTGCCACATGATTCTAAATACACTTGACTTTTTAGCACGAATAATGTAGATAAGTCTTAGACACAAATAAGTTACAATTTGACCTGATGGATAAGCAGAACGTGATTACTATTCAACAATAATTTGTATGCCGACGATCTTTTTGAATGCATTAACAGCCGCCACTATTTTATAACATTTTCAATATTCTCAATAAAAATCCCTTTGTCATTCTGTGGTAAGTGGAGAGTTTGCTGCATTTAGTCCAGCGCCAACCTCGTTATTGAGTAATAGATTAGTATCGGTTGTTTGTTGGAACCAAATTATTATGCTTCTTTCTAACTTTCTAATTTCAAGCTTTTCTGCAAAAATGTAGAGCACATTAAGCCGCGCCCAGACGTGAAACCGAAATTCGTAACGTGACATCGTAGCACACCAAAGTTAATGTTCGGTTCGCTTGAGCTTAAAGTTTATACCAGAATTGAAAAATTTGCGTATTTGAAACTACCAATTAACGTTCTTCTTAACAGTTGTCGACCGACAATTTAAAATAAATATGTTCCTTTCACAATAAATACATTGAAATACATGGAATATTTTACATTTGTTCCCATTGTGTTGGATGGACTTATTCTTAGTAGAGGCGCAGGTTAATAAAACTTACCTTTATGATACTTTCCAACGCTCCTTATTACATCCTGAATTTGAACTGCAATTTCTCTTGTGGGTGCCAATATCAACACTTGAGGCTCTGCTTTGTCCAATTTGATTGACTCCAAGGAAATTATTCCGAATACTAAAGTTTTGCCGGTCCCAGATTTGGATTTAACAATTATGTCTGAAGAAAATATGCATAAGCAATCGTTACTCTATGATGTATACATTATACGTTTACGCAAAAGAAGCATTTGTATGGATAATTTATTTTCACAACCTAAGTACTTGCATTGGAAACGAGAAATAAGGCGAAAATTCACTCTTTTAGCGCTTTGCGACCTAAATTGAGAATCATTGAATATTCTCAACTAATTGAGAGTGGCGAATTTATTGTTCCATCAGTTAAATGACCTGCTTCTTATATTTGCTCGTTAGTTTCACATGTAATTTTTATAGTTTTTTGTAATTTTGTAGTTTAAATTGTGCAATCAAATACAATCTTGTCAAAATTCGGTTTCTTACAAATATTTTAATTTTGAGGGAGATTTATTTTATTTGCTATTTTTTACTGAGCTTGCTAAATATTCCCAAATAACACATCCAGCAAAATGACGCCAATTTTTAATCACCCCATATAAATAATGTGAGTAGTTCACTCATAATGGGTCTCAGGAATAAAAATGGAGCATTTCCTTTGAAGCAGGAGGGAGAAGAAAAAGCTTTTGCTCGTTTCTAATGAATAATGGTTTGGTTTGCTATTGCTTCGTAGTAAATGCTTCGTTATTTAGACGGCTTGATACACTAGACAAGTCTAAACAAGAATATTTTCTTATGATGTCTGGTTGATTATAAAAGACATTCTTTGCAGTAGTTATAATATGAATGCGGAAGAAGCAAGGCTAGAGAGAGAAGAAGAAGCTCCGAGGAGAAAGCACGATTTGTGAAAATACCGATCAGGCAAAATTTGTAAAGTTTCTTTTTCCAAAATCCAATTTCCTCCTGGCTTTGGATTTCACTTTTAACGTTGAATATCGCTCGCACTTCTTCTGCAATATTATATAGAACAACGCAGCACACTATTAGTTTAGGAATGTTTTCAAGCTTCACTCGAACTTTATATTGCTGTATGGAAAATATTTGCTTCAACTGTCCAAAGCAACGTTCAATACATCACTTTCCTTCTTCAACAAATTATTTTATTGTTTTTTTATTTTATAGATAACACATTATTTTCGTAATGTGTTATCTGTGAGAACCTGACAAATTGGGGCGAGTTGAATCATCATTTATATTATGCACCGTCCCATAAAAGCCATCGAAATCAAGTTTTGCATCTCAACAAACCCCCGCTATCAATATGTATTATTAATAAGATATTAACATTCTTACCTAGGCCGCAGCGCCCAATTGGTAAAGCTTTTACCTGGATGGGTGAGGGCTTTTCAAACCCAGCATCAGTTAGAGCTTTTAGAATTTCAGCTGGCAAAATCAGTGAAGAGAAATAAATATTCTCATTTAAGAGTACATCTCTGGAACGTTCCTTAGATGATAATGAATGAGCTAATTTATCGTATTTCTCCATTTTAATGTTCTCTTGAACGATGAAAATACAGCTTTAAAGATTAAAGAAGCAAACGACTAAAATAAATATAAACAAGTTTGTTTGATGTTTGAGGTTATAGGGTTGCTCTACTTCGTTCGTCTTTAGAGTAAAAAGTTTAATTTAAATTTAATTTATTACGGAAATACTGTTTTTTCGGAAATAGCAGACGTGTACCTACATTATACTGTATTTCCAAACCTACCAGCATGCCTATGACCAATGAAAGTTGTTATTAGTTTTCGGTTTTCTATTACGAATACGGTTTTTATGCAAATATGGCAATGTGCCGGGAGGCTGATTAACTTAATTTACATAATAAGATAACTTTTTAAATGGGAAAAAGAAATTGTTAAATGGTGTTAACTGTGAGTTCTTTTAATCAAACATTTTTTTTGTGAAATCCATAACGTAACATAATACCTGAGGAAATTAATAATACTAATGAAACTGATTTGGAGAGTTTTATTGAGGTGATATAACTTACCACTGGAAATGGTTACCGATTGATAACAGCGTAAGTAATGTAATAAAAGTCATAGAATAAGTAAAATAAGTAAGATAAAAGTGTGGTCATTCGTTACTATGTAGTAAATATGTAACACGTGCTTTGATGGTTTTACTATTTTATTATTCCTTTATCAATATATTTATATGTAAAAGATCAATTGAGAATTTACAATTTTTTTCCTGTCTTCAACACTCAATTCACCCACTTCAATTTTTTTCCTGTTGCACAAATGTTCAAATGTTGAATAAATTAATGAATATTCGGATAACATTTTTTACGGTTGGTAGCAATGCTTTTGGTCAACTGTCAATAGTCAGATTGGTAAGAATTATAATCAAATAAGTAAACACTAAACATAGTTAAAGTTTCTATTTTACCGACTTTTTCATACTTATTTTGTTAAAGTTGTTCTGTTCGGGGATAGTTAGATGTATTGGCTCATGTAAGTTGGTTTTGTCATGTATTATTGAAAAGGTATACATATTCTAAAGAAGTTCGCTTCTAATATTGCCAAGCTTTTCAGCAATATTAGAAGCAGCAATTGGCGCACAAATAACTTTTTTCAAACATTTTTAAGTAGGAATTAAGGTTCCTGGATTATCTCGATACCCATGATAATTCTATAGTATTTCCTGTCCATACAAGCAAGGAAGATAGCTTGGTCGCAAACTTATCCCTATCTATCTATGAAATTGGATGTTGCCTTTGAAAACTACCTAATTCAACTTTGTTGTTACAGTTTCGATCCAAATTTATAAAATATAGACGAATTGTATGAAAAAAACGAACATTTTATGACAAAAAGGAGCTTTAAGGTCTACTCGCCTACCCATTCCGGTTTTCCACGCGCACTTCTAATACTATTTACATATAGATACTAATCCTCACTAAAGAACACCGTTAGCTTATAAAAGTGGTCGTAATTAAAGGCTCGTTCAGACGGTGACCCCTGTCGACAATGGATGTCATAAGGGATAGCTTTTTAAGTGAACCAAACACATCGCTAAATTCTAGCCAATTTTCTAAACTGCCATCATGTTTAACACTTTGCAAAGGATTATTATATTGTAACGGAAATGGCCTGGGGTACTCACGTTTGGAATGGGGGATCGAAATTCATGGTATTTCAGTAAATGGGAGCCCCATTTGGGCCCCATTTACTGTCAAATATGACACTGACAAACGGGAAATTTCGCACTGGGGAGTCAGTGAAGTGACAGCAGCGACCGGGTGCAGAAGAAGTTAAACCCCGCGAGTTGGAAATCCGAGTTTTGCGTTTGTTATTGTTATTGTTTGTGAAGTAGACGTTAATTTAGAAGTTAGTTTGGTCCTGTTCCGTAGTTAAAGTTATATCGAGTGGAATAAAAGTTGGAAGCAGAAGAAAGAGTTATACTCGGCCATCCACGGTACAATATGCTGAAACACTAGATTTGTTTAAATCATCATTAACTTCAAACGATTTATTATTATGCTAATATTTTTTTGCCAAAGAAATTTGAGCATAGAATTTGTTTTCGAAATCAATCTCTCTTTCTAATTCACCTTTGTAAAATATTTTTCAAGTAAACTACCTCCAATTCCCATAATTCTATTCTCGAGTTCGAGAATATCTTCAGGCAAAATGTTAATTTATATTAATCTTTAAAATTGTCAAGATATTTAGTAAAATGTGTAAAGCCTGTGTGCCATGCATACGTTTATACGATGGTACGATGATACGAAAGTGTTTCTATTGGTTGGAGATCTGACAATTCGTCCGCCGTCGTACTAACTGACAGATCTCCAACCAATAGACAGTTTGCTTGCAAAAATGATAGAATTAATAGAAAATTCGCACCATTCATCGCTTTGCAGGGAACTTCATTCAGGGATTCATCTTCAAATTTGGCACAAAAACGAAATAATTTGATTCAGTTTTTTACCAAAAGGAAATAAGATTATTTTGAAAGAGCGAACAGGGCAAAATCTGCAAAATTTCAGGTCTCCATTTTTAGTAACGTTTTCATTAAGCAATTATACGCAAAAAACGCATATTTTTTATTTTACTTAAAAACACTGACAATCTTCAGGTATTCTCTCCGATAAATTTTACTAAAACACTCGCCTCCTTAACAGCTTTGCAAAAATTGTTTCGAAGCTTCGAATTTTTGACAAAACCCTAATAATGTTTTCTGGGTTTTTTCATCATTAAATTACTTAAATAATCACGTTATATCATGTATTTTGTCCACAGAAAAGTATAGAACAATTTCACTTAAAATGGCACCTGGACTATCTGTGAATTGGCAATTGAGGCAAATTGTGAGCGACAAGCTCATTCTCATAGACACTGCTGGAGCCCTGGTTGGTCGGAGTAATAATGCTAAAGTGTGCCTTAGAAGTAATAAAACATCCAGAGCACATGCACACCTGGCCATAGATCCTAATAACAACCTCAATATCGTCGACTTAAAAGTGCTTATATGATGTTTTAATGCCGTTAAACCAGGTTTCAATTAATCACTAAATTTTAGAGCACCAATGGAACATTTGTGAATGGGCAGCAGATTCCTGTATCTGGCAAGCAAGTATGCTCGGGTGATATCATCAGTTTTGGACTATCCACTATTGATTTATCTGACGAACTGATAGACAAAGAATGTTTTTTCCAAGCCACGCAAATTGAACAAGCCAAGGTAGATCGTAAAATATATATAGTTTTCGTCCTTAGTTTTATTGAAATTATTTTTCTCTTTATGCCACATTTTGTTTTTGGTTCATTTCAGAACAAACCAGAAGCTGCAGACTCCACAACTAATGAACTTGATAATTCAATCATCCCCATAGAAATTGATGATTCTTCTGACGAATTTTTGGACGATAAACGGCATACTTCTACGCCATCCGATTCGTCATCGGTTGTCAAAACAGAGAACGTTTTCAAATCCGAAATGAGGCTAAATAATATTCATACGTTAAGTGAAGCACCAATGGTAATCAGTAGTAGTTCAGGACGGGTTTCCGCAAAAATTGCCAATCGCGTATTGACTGTCTCATTGGATCGCACACCCCAGCAGCCAAAGTCACCTAAAATATCTACGATTTTAACAGAAAGTGATTTTGGTAATATTTCATTTAAAATCGATGCTGATTCGTTAGACAAGAAGGATAAGTTACTGAAGGAACCCGCAATAAATACAAATGGCAGTGGTAATCTAATCATTGGATGCACGAAAATATTCGGCAACAGTAGGGTATTACCAGACAACAAATCCACAGATGAAGTTGAATCAGTTGAAAACGTCCCTGAGATTAAGCCTACAGCATTATTAAAATCATTTTCAACAAATGATAGTAGCAACTGCTTATTAATTGATTTGACTAATGATGATGAGGATGACGAAGCAGATATTTCTAACAGTCAAATTTGCCACATGTCGCAGATTGTACAGACAACAGTGCCAGATGATAAGTACCAACAAATCAAACATGAGCTAGCCGAAATGGATTACTGTACGGAAGAAGTAATTGTAAATGCGGTCCCAATTAATTTAGAAGATGATATGGAGACTGGTTTTGATAACACTCAGGACATATGGGAACTTCTTGAAGGTGGATTCGAAGAGATCAATGATAAGATAGATAAAAACACCCACGATAACAATGCTAAAGATATACCTGTTTCACCTGAAATAGATTTCAGTGACAACTGCCCTACAAATACATTTCCATCAAATTCAAACTCCAGTACTGTTTCTGAACCGACTGTTCCTGAAGACGACATCAAAAATAATTGTAATTCAACACGGACAAGTAAATCTGATAAACCGAAAAACAAATTTAATAAGCCTCCAATAATTGAACCTCATTTCATACAGCCTTCAACAAAATCAACCAAGCAATCATTAACAACAAATAGCAAGTCGACGAATAAAAGAAAGACATCAGTTGAATCTCCAGTTAAAATTAAACGAGCTAAAAGTGTCGACGTATTTAATCCATTGAAAACTGTTAAAAATGTTACCAAAAATATGGCGAAAAAACGGCGTAGTCCATTGAAACCAACTGTTGATAAAGCAGCTGTTGAAAAAGCACAGAATGTCCTAGAAAATCGACGAGCGAAATTAAAAGAACTAACCACTGCAAAGGGCAAATGCAGCGAGAACCTTTCAGTCGACATTCCATGCAGCTCAATGCAAGAAGTAAATGACGATCAAACATTTGTTTGCCCAAGTACGGCCGTTAAAACAAGGATTGCACGAAACGATTCAACTAAATATTCGACTGGACCTGTCGAAAAAGATAACAGCCGCTGCTTTAAAATGCCTGCCAGTCGACCTCAACCAGATATTCGAGCACCTCTTTCCCTAGCGCGTGCGGCATATGACCTGCGTCGAACTAAGTCTTCAGAAGAAATAAAGGTGAGTTGCAAAATAACACTTCTTCTAATGGCAGCTTCGATGTAGACGTTTTATGAGTTTGATTGTTGACTTTTCACAGCTGGGAAGAGGAAATTCTACCCAAAATATGGAGAAAACTAATCCTAATTCATTTAGGCGTAGTACAGGTTTAATAAATACTCAAACTCAAAAACTCAAAAATGCTTTGAAAACGAATGCGATACAAAACTTACCCCCTGGTACCCGAATGAAACAACCTAAGCACGCTGCTGCGAAAGCACAGTATTCTGCAAGTGTTAGTTCAAATCAAGACGCTTCGAGAAGATTGATGTGGACCAATGGTGGCCCTGCAAAACGATTACCTATCAGGTATTTAAAATTTCCGAGCATTTCATCTATTTGAAATGTAATACGGTTATAACTTAATTTTAGGCAGCTACCTAAAGTTGATGATATTGCAAAGAAAATGGTACAATGGTTACCAAGCTGGCTTTTGGAACAAGTAGATATTGATGCGAGTCCGCCCATAAATAATCCACCCGCTACAAAGATACCTCAAACATTTCAAGACTTTGGTCATTACTACCAGACATTTTATAAACTGATATTGTTGGAATCCTGGCAGTATTTGTTCAGTGGCTTTCGAGAGGCCAAAGAGTAAGTCTATTGTCATTATTTGAAAATTCTATATGATTTTCAACTTTAATTGTAGTCAACCGAGAAAAGTAAGAATCGATCATCTGCGAGTTGCTAATGATGTAATCATTTTGGATTGCACTTGTGAGTATAAATTCGAATTAAGATTACTATGTAATAAATTGGTAATTCCGTTTCAGGTTATATCACTAAAAATGAATTGAAGAAAGAGCTTTTCTACAGACCAGACGATTTCGTATTGTTGGAATGCGCTATGAAAACTGAAAATAATTCCTACGCGTCGTTAAATTTCGGAATTATACAAAACTGCAAGAAAACAACACTCACCGAAGCTTGCGATGTTTGGATTAAACGTAAGGTTTCGTCATATCATTTTATAATAGGTCTTTTGCAGGGTTTTGTCGTGAGTTGTTTTTATATTGCAATATATTGGAGATGTATACTTCTTTGATTCCTTTCTGTAGGCGATCTATGTGGAGACCCTCACACTAAACTAGAATTTACTATGATAACTCGGTATCAGCCGGATAAGGAGATGAACGTTAAAAAAAAGCCTATAATTAAACTACTTTCCAACCTAAGGACATATTTCATGTTAATAAGGGCTGTTAAGGGTTTTGCTAACTCACCTTTACATCCGATGGTGTTAAATCCTCAAATAACAGACTATAAAATTACGACTACTCATCATAATCTGAAATATAAAGTGAGTTGTATATTTGAAGTAATTTTTCACTGTTAAGTTCATAGCATAAATGGTTTGACAACAATTTACTGCAAAAATCATTAATTATGGACGATACTTTTTAGAATGAATTGAATGTTGAACAAAAATGTACAGTCTTGCAAGCCGCTAGTTTGTGCACTGGAAATAAGCCCGGAATTTATTGCATCAAAGGCCCACCTGGCACCGGAAAGTCAACCGTAATCGCAAACTTAGTATTTCAAATACTATTTTCGCATTATTACGGCAAAGAACAACAACGGCCAATGATTCTTTTAGTGGCGCCATCAAATACCGCGATAGATACTTTACTATCAAAGATGATGTCTTTGAAACGAGGTGTGTCTGTAGGTGAGTGTTCCTTTATAGAGTAGACCAGAAAATAATCATTCGAGCTATTTAACTTGACTTATGTCGTTTTTAGAAATGCAAACAAAAATCAAATGCGTACGAATTGGGCCCGAATCTAGCATTAGTAAAGGCGTACAAGGATATTCTCTACCTAGATTGGCTGAAAAACATATGCCCCTGAATCATCAGGCCAATGCAAATATTTGGGTATGTACGAAAATTATTTTCATAATTTTATACAATCTACAAAACTTTGGAAAATTTAGGCTAATAAACAGAAACATCAAAGCCCATTGGATTGCTTGAAAGATTACTTTGGAGACCAATATTATCATGAACTGAAAAAGTGCGAAAATATCATTCTTAGCAAAAGTAATATCATTTGTACAACCTTAAACAGTTGTATTAATGGACTTCTGATGGACGCAGTGAACAGGCAAGATATTTTAGTTAAATATAAATAAATTTGAAGAAAAACCCAACATAATTTGAATGATGATTGGTAAGAGCGCATTCTGTACTCATTTTTTAAGTAATTTTAGGGGTATTCTTCAATTCACGTGTTGCATAGTTGATGAGGCTACTCAGTGTCATGAGGTGGAAGTTCTTTTGCCTACATTACTTGGCATTGATAAATTTGTGTTAGTTGGAGATCCACAACAACTTAGTGCTACGATAATGAACAGAGTAATTTATTGGATAATTGAATTAGAAGCAGTCTTTACATCCGTCTTGTTTCAGGATGCCTTAAAGCTGGGGTTTGGCCAAAGCTTATTTTCGAGACTGGCAAATAGCTTCGGATCCGATCCCAGGTCGCCTATCAAAATGCTTACAGAACAGTATCGAATGCATCCCGAAATATGTTCTTTTCCCAATAGCCAATTTTATGAGGGAAAGTTAAGGTAATATCAGTTATAATGCTTTAGACTAAATCCATCCAATATTTTGTTAAACGAGTTTATGGCTGGTTGTACTTTAAAAAATCGCTGCAGAACTTTTTGAAGCGAACAGTCCTCTCAAGATTCTAGCGAAGAGCCTAATTTGTGTTGTTTCTTTTTGGATTTTGTGCAGTTTTTGTCCATCTTTACATCTTGTTACTTGGTTGATACGTTTACAAATATTTTTGAATTTAGTACCAATAAGGTGTTTTTGATACGCCGACAAGAAAATATAGAAATACCTTTACCTACATTTGCGTGCTTCCATATGATTTCTGGTACCGATAGAATAAATTTCGTGTAAATTCAGCGAAATTTAATGCCTGAAACATATGATTTAATTATATTCTATTGCTTTCATTTGAATGTACCTTTTTCTTGCAGATCAGTCGCAAATCCTTCAAATAAATTACCTGAAGAAATTAAGCCTTATTTAGTTTTTAATTTGGAATATGTAAATAATTCCAGGGAATACACTAACATGGGTGAAATAATTGTAATAAAAAAAATTCTAAGTTCCATCATCAGCTTAGTAGGCAAGAGCTGCAATTATACAATTGGAATTATTACGCCGTACAGAGCGCAAAAGGATTTAATATGCGATAACATTGCAGATCTAGAGTAAGTACTCAATTGATTTGATTAGTTTTATCATATTAAATTTGGAAAGTTGATGCTATTTTACCAAAAAGAGCCTCACAATTTCATTTAATTTACAAACTATGTAATTAAAAACTCGAAATAGTAATGTTTTCTCACATATTAACCTCGTTATACTAACATTATTGGTGAGCGATTAGAGCACATTATAGGTGAGAGTCATCAACTTTGCAAGTCCATTAGCAAAAAAAATATTGATTTCAGAAGTACATAATTATATTTTTTTAAGGGCAAACAATAACTGTAAAATAATCACAAACACTGTAGATAGCTTTCAAGGTTCCGAGAACGATGTTATTATAATTTCTTGTGTTCGAGAATCGTCAAACTCATTTTTACAAAATGAATGTAGATTAAACGTGGCTTTGACCAGAGCTAAGCAGGCCTTATACATAGTCGGGAATTACATTCTATTTAAGGTGAGCAAAGGGTTAAGCTGTGATGATTGAGTGATAACGAATCATTAAAATTATTTTTTACAATAAATTAATGCAAAAACTATATCTATATTTTCAGGAGTGTAGGCCATTATATAATCTTCGAGAAGATGCGAAAAGACGCAACGTTCTATTGGATATTAAGCAAAATCCAAATACTATAACCAATTTTGATAGATATTTGATTAAGAAACGAAACAATAGAAATACCGCTGTGTAAAAATGTATCGTTAATTTAAGGTTCAGTTCATACGATTTTACCTGTTGTGTGTTCAGAGGTGTCAATTGTTTAGAAATGTGTAGATCTCAGCGTAAGGGTGCATTATCTCAAGATCAAACAAAAAGTGTTCCTTATTTTATAGATTTTAGTAGTTGTAGCACAGCTTATATCATATATAACCTGTGGTGGTAGTAGTACTAGTCTAGGGGCACCCGAACGGGCCCCGCTTATATGTCTTAATTAATTAGGAAAATAGTGATTTTGACTAATTTTCATCATTGAGCTTTAACTAATGTTTTAAAGCCAAATGGTTTAACTTAACAGGCGGTCGGTTATCCGATAACTCTTAATACGACTCAAAAATTGTGCTTTTAAGTTCAATACTTTGTGCCATAAAATGATGCGCTGTATAAATTGCGGAACTAACAAAATATTATAGTATAATGTCACTCGGCATCAGTTTGTAACATACTTTACGTCTGAAGCGAATCTATCTTGCAAATATTTATTGCCTAAATGAACTTACAGACGATGTTCTGCACGTTTTCAATTCTTTCTGTCCCTTCCAATTGTTTGTGCCCGATAGTTATCAACATGTGCTTAAAAAGATATATGGGAGCATTTGGCCAAATTTCTAATAAAAATCGACTATTCTCGCAAAAAAATAAACACGATTGTTAAGAGAAAATGGCATAATTCTAAAAATTACCACATCTCCAGATGCATTTCAGGTGTAAAATAGTCCATGTCATTTATATTATGTATTGCGAGGCCACATCCAAGAACATTTCCTCCTATAGCGTTTTCAAGCAATATATTTGTTTTATACACGCTTATGTAGTTTGATCTTGGGGTGACAGTCTAGGCCGAAGGCTTGTGATCATACCAGTGAATGTTATGTTAATGTGCTACTTAAACATTGTGTGCTCACATTTTGTGCTCAATTAATTTGTTAAGAGTCTTAATTAAGTGAACTTTTGCTGTAATTCAATTAATCATTTTTAGACAAAAATACTGTTATTTCATTTCTTACTCAAAAATTAAGAACTAACTTCTGACTCCGTAACTGTTAAGTTAAAAAATATATTTCAAGAATTATATAATATACTTTTGATACGCTATTATAAACCTGTCGTTATTTGTATGTAAATTTGTTAATTAGAAATAGTAAACAGATAACTGAGTTTCCACGATTGCAATACATCTTTTCATTTTGAGAAGTTGCCCCTATCAGAAATGATTGAAAACTCTTTTTTGTTGTCGATCCCTAAAGTGTGGAAATGCAATGGGTCTCCTTTTAGGACCAATCGATACTCAGGTTCCCATAATTAATTTGTTTCTTAAATCAATCTCATTCCAAAAAAAACATACCACGTTATAGTTAGTTATCAAATCACGGAGACATATTCGGTAGTATCAAACAACGACATAGTTTTTTTTTAATATATACAGAAGTACAGGATATTTTCTCATAAGTTGACACCCCCTCTAGATCGCTTATTTCAAAAAAATTGGGAAAGTGACGAACACAATTTCCCGATTTCAGAAATATATATATTGCCTAGATTTGTATGTTTTAAAAATTTTAAATAGCAACAAATTAAAGTAGCCTGCAATGAAACAAAAAAACTATATAAAGAGAACATAACGGGATTTATTGCTGCTATAAATTTCAGAACAAATAAATAAATAAAAACAACAATCAAATCACTGATTTTGTATATTACCTCCGTTTAACGCTAGAATCTACTTCAATTTTACCTATAACGTTTTGATTAATATTAATACCGTTAATTGCGTCCACTATTTTCAGGCGTCTAACTAGAGTCTCATACACAATATTCTTTAAATAAATCCAGAGAAAAAAATCAAGAGGCGTTAGGTCGGCGTTATTTGGAGGCCATTGGATAGGACCCGCTCGTACAATCCAGATATCAACATTTTCATTAAAAAGTGCTACCGGGCGAACGTTATGGGTTGGAGGGAGCGCCTTGTCGAATTTGAAAGCTACTTTGATTTGTGGATATTGATAGTTTTTAAAAGGTAATATAGGAGAAACGGCTAATACAAAATAGGCAAAATGTATATTTTTTAAATCAGGAAAAAAATCCTATTGGTATGTCTAAAAATATATAGGGCGTTTTCTTAAAAAAAAGACTGCCAATTTTTGTATTTTTATTTTAAACTCAGATTTCAAAAATTTAAGTAAAATTAAACAACTTTTGTGTTGGTCAGTTTCCCAATTTTTGTTTAAATAAACGATCTAGGGGAGGGTCAACTTATGATCAAACACTCTGTACACGTAGTTCGCCTTTCGCATCCTAAAAAATTAGCTCGATTCTACAAGTAATTCATTCCATAATAGCATTACCTATTAGGATTCGAATTTCCCACAAATAAAACGAACCGTTAGAAATATGATGTATTTACTACCTAATAACTAAATTAATACAAAAATGAAACCTATCTTAAACATTCCGATTAAGATTGTACTGTCGTGATAAAATTATTGTATGTGAAACGAGAAGATAAAACCGTCTGATAAAATTATTACCTATTCTTATTAATGCGAATATGGTCTGATATAAATGACAATTTCCATAACTGTAAATTAACATTTCGAACAGTATCCTCCCGTTTGCTGTTGATAGACTTCGATGGTGTCTCCTTCTTCCATATCTAATGTGGTAGGTGTATCTGTTTCGTTTATTGGGTTGCCGTCAAAACGAAACCGTACAACTTGCGTACTAATTCCCTGGGAAGTAAAGTGAATGATGCATGAATAAAAAAATGAAACGTTAAAACTTTCATATAATTCAGTATTCGCTTGAAAACCACAAAATTTGGTTGTCTACTCGTATCAGTAAACAGGCTATAAACGGTTTCTTTTAACATTGGCACCATATGATCTATTTTAAATAATAATAAGCTACGAATTGCTTTTATTTTTTAATATTAACATAAGGCTATCAGCTTTTAATAGAAACAGATTGTTCTCATCTTTGAAATATCACATACCAAATAATACAGGGTGATGAAAACTAGGTCTTATTACTTTGAAAGTAGCCTCTAACGTATAATTGGAAAGTAACTGGTGAGTTTTTCGGGTTTTTCAGCCGTGGTGGGATGTTTTTTTTGGCGTTTTGCAAGCACGAGTGGCTGCATTCTCAGAAATAAATTCGCTTGAAAGGTCTGAAGTTGCATTCCACTTGTATGTACGTGCGAAACGACAGAAAAAACGTATTTTTCACGAGAATATATACAATGTATACTATTGTTTTCTGTTTCGTTTATTTTAAAATCGTTTATTTGAAATTTTTTTTGACTTATAGTAGTAATGTTATCAATTTGAGACACAACTGAGTATGGCGTGTCCCACACCTTTGAGAAGATACGCAGCACCTTGTATAAAAACTATAAAAAAAAGTTTACAATTACAAGGCTAACAATATGCCGCTTAAAAACTTGAGTTGCTGATTTATTTTAAAAACCCAAATTTCCGAATTTATTTTATTATTTTTTTGGCGTTAATACAAATCTTAAGCAAAACCGACTGCACGTTCTCACAGCCACTTTCAGTCAGAGAGAGATGTACATTATTAGTTTTATGCTCTGACGTTTCACCTCCAAGAAATCATAAACTTCGCTTTTTTTAAATACCTTTGTATGCTCAACAACAAATCGTAAACCATTTTTTATTCTGAATTCATCGATGTATATCTAATATATTAAAGTTTAATTATGTTTTGGTCAATTTTGGAAATTTTTTCCAATACAGAAAAGTTTGATTGATTTATACAAAGAGTCCAGACACCATCCAGGATAATAGACCCTTTCTTTTATAATCACAATGCTGCACTTGACCACAATTCACGAAGTGTTAAACAATATATGTTGGTTTGATTCCAACATTTAATCATTAAACACTTGAGAGACGCCCTGGCCAGCGCTGTCACCCGATATAACTCTACTTGATTTCTTTGCGTGGGGGTATATTAAGAATTATTTTTATGAGCTAAGTTTTCCAACTGAAGAACTTTGTATGTTGGTTGCTCCAAACTGCAGCTTTCGAAAGTGTGAAGCCTGAAAGGCTGCTGAAACCGGTAAGAGTCGACAGTTAGAAGGTCCCATTTGAGTTTAGAAAACGAGGGTTATATTTTTGAACATTTGATTTAATTTTTTTGCTTGCAGAATTTGCTAACAAATCACCAACGTATTAAAAGAAAGTTGAGGACGGTTTCTTGAAAACGAAACGTCGAAGCAAAAAACTGATATTAACGCTGACTTAAAGTTGCCATGAGAGAGGAGAGTGTAGTTAGTTTTGCTAAAGCTTTGATATTAACGCCAGGAAAAACCAGCGACATTGAAATTCGAAAATGTATGTTTTTTTCAAATGTCAGAAATAAAAATTCGTATAAAACATCCATAAGCGCCATTTCATTAGCCTTTTAATTGCTCAACTTTTTTCCGAATTCCACCAACCCCTTATGTTGGACACAGTGTACCTACTTATATGTAAGAAATAATAAATATATTTGAAGAGTATAGAATATTTTATCATGTCTCGTGAAACTGCAAATGCAGCCTTAACTCGAAAGAAGTATATTAATGTCAACGTTGGACACTTCTAACAATTCATATAAATCAGTATTACGTAATTTATTATTTTTAATGTTGTGTTCAAATTAAATAAATTTTAGCCATTAGAGAACATCATTTTTATCAATCAGTCAGGTCTTTCAGGCTGTGAATGAAACCTCATGTTGAATATTCACGCAATAAAGTTACTAACTGTAAATATTTTCAAAATTGGTCGTAAGTAGTGTCCTTGGCGACATTGGCAAAATTTGCAACAACCATCTTATTCGGGGCCTAAAAGCAATGTAGTGAAAAGTTTGTACGTTTCTACCGAAGATACTTTAAGAATAGTGACAAAAATAAAGCGATATTTAACACCCCATTAACCGTATTTCCGAAGCTATTAATTTTCGATTATATTTGGGCGAATGTTAACGTAATTATAGCTGTTGTAATTGTAGATGTAAAACATTGTTACATATTTTTCTCAAATGTACACATCTAGTTCTGGAAAAAATAAATACAAGCTCATTCTGATGCCTACACAAATTTTAAATAAAGTAAAAGTAATACAAACAACTTTAGTACTACCTACAAGCTCAAGTTCATATTAGCTAAGGCTTATTGTATAATGATTGAGACCCCGTATATAATTAGATATTTCTGCTATTACACTAACTAATAAGACAAGAAAAAATAAGTACACTCGATCAGTCTTTTCTTTTAAAGGCCTTCATCAGTTAAGATAAGACAATGAAAAATCTGATCATACTTTATAAACAGATATTTCAGGCCAATCAGCAACTGCTAAATTTGATTTCGAGATGGTTAAAACGACAGTTTGGAACTCATCCCGACCATTATAGCTGTGAGGTGAAAAACTGCATATAATTAATATTATGGTAATCATTAAACGTTCCATAGAAGAGCTATGTTATAGTGTAAATTGTAATTCACGTTGCCCATATTGGTTATGTCAATATAATTTAACTTAAATCAATTGAGCCGGAATTATTAACATCCAATGAATTATTTTCGAAATAAACGGCCTTATTCATGAATTGTAATTCAATCGTAAAGAATAAGAAAACGACACCAAGCATTGATAGCTGCTACAGTGAAGCTTAACTACTTACAGCTCTTTCACAATATGCAGTCATGAGTTTCCTAAGTGGAGTATGTCTTTTAATTTTGAATTGTACCACCGCATTATCCTGCCCAAGGACTTTCAAGTTGATACGGTCGGCCTCAGCCCCCTAGAAAACAACGCCGTTAACCTAACAAAACTCTACCGAGAATCCTGTGCCCTGTTGAGTGGAAACCATATCAAACTGACCTTTTTATCGTCACTCATTTTTTAGGAAATGTTTGCAAACAATCAACGTAAATCGATTAAAGTAAAGTGCAGTAAAATGGAGGTTATTAAACAATAAACACACACCTTTTAACATTCAATACCGGCACTGGCTTGGTTTAGTAGACAGATTGAAAGCGGCAAATACGGCAGTCGGAAACAACGCAATGTCAAAAAGCGACTTCCGGTATCGAGACGTTAAAACGAACTATCAACTAAAAAGATATCAGTTTTTTAATAAAATAGCTGAACAGTTTGTGAAGTTGAAGTGATTTTTAAATTGATTACCAAATTGTTTGATTTTAAAAGGGTATGTAACATGAAATATTCGCAATTTGAAAAAGTCACGTATGAACACAGCGGCTCAATGGACACCTAGTTTGACCTAATACAGGGCAGGATTTCGTCGGCCGGTCAAGATGTCGGTTGAAAAGTAAATGAAAAGTAAGTTGTAGAAACAGTCAGAATATATTGCGAATAATTATATATTAATTATACCTTGCAAATTTTTTATCGACATATTGTAAAGGTGCTAATCGCCACTACAATACACACAAAATTTTGAAATTTGGCAGGAGCAAATACTAATACTTTATTGTAATATTTTATAGAATATTTGTCTTTGCAACTAATACAAACTTCAAAATCTCTCATTACGCTTAAATTGCGCGCCCTTGTATATTGTTAGTGTCACTATTTAGGATAACAAATCCTTTAAAATAAGCTAAATATTTCCAATATCTATCTAGTATAATTTTCTTGAAAATAAAATGTTTCAAAATGCCTTCTTAAAAAAGTTATATTTTTGAACTTGAAAATACGTTAATTTGGACGATTTATTATGTTCTATAGTTTCAAAAACAATTTTTTTAAAAACCCACTATTAATGTAGTATTTTTCTAGCCAAGCTTGAAAATGTGGTTTTCAAAGACGACGGAGAAATGTTCGTGTTACCATCACCATGAAAATACGAATTCTCAAAACCGAATAACCAAAAAAATATTCAATTTTGCATCATATTTTGTATAACAAAAAAAAATCGAAACTTAGGTATACGGAAAAATTAAATAACATTTTTCAGCGTTGCGACTGTTCTGGCGCAGTCTGAAGAATTGTGAATATTTTAAAAGAAAAAATGGACATTTAGAACCTTTACAATATGATGATAATTTTGAGACTAATAATACCAGTTAAGTGTAAATTTACTCTATTGTTGGGACACCCTATACATTATATATATTGAAAATCTTAATTTACATGCCATATTAAACAAAAAAGGTACACATTTTGTGATAAGCAAATCAGTTAAAAAATATTTTCATATAAAAAGAACAGAGCTAGATGAGATGAAAAATATTCCGGGACGGTAATTTCTAGAACAATCAAAAACTGTTTGATATCTAGAAAAAGTTTAGTTAATTCCTGCTTTCATCTATTTGGTATTAAGTACTTTTATTATATTAATATTTTTCCAAGTGCCCCTTACTACCACACTTATATTTTTTACCCCGTATGTCTAATATGAAATTTGAATCAAAACCTAAAAGAGTAATCATTTTTCTGTTAATTACGGATTCGTGTTTTGTATCTCGATCAATTTTCCAGAAAAATCGCTTTTTATTTGCAAAACAGGTTTTTATCAGAAAGATATTTTTAAAGTTAATAAATAGCAGAAAAATTTCAATTTATTCTGACGGACAACCTCCGGATTCGATGAAATCAGGAGCGACATACATTTTTAGGTTGAATCTGTCTTAAATTTGATGCGTATCATTTTCGGACATTCTGTATGCATACGCATAAATACAACTCCAATAACTTACATAAAATATTATAAAAATACAATAAAATAGGAATTTCCCTACGTTCTTATTAGGCATCAATGAAAAGTGATTTTTTCCATTAGGGATGACTATAGTCATCCCTAATGGAGCCTAATACGAACATATTGCTGCAAGAAAAAGTGCGTATTAGTAAATAAAAACATTTTTTTAAATTTCTTGGTGTACCTGAAAAAGATTTGCACGTTAGGAAATTAAGTATCTAAATGACATGATATAGAATATAAGTACTTAAATAATATAATAAAATATTTAAAAATTTACCTGACATTCGTAAAAAAGAAAGAGGGCACAACAATGACCAAGAAGCCCAATCACAAACTCCGCACAAACCACATTAAGATTTCCGGAAAAACCGCAATTGGATTTCGCAAAAACCGCAATATAAACGCCGCTAAAGCCGCTAGATAAAATCCGCAAAGCTGCACATGCGAGCAGCATAATGTTGTAATATAGGAACTACAACCCTGGTTGCCATCTACTACTACCAAATAAATCGCTGGATCTGGATCCAGATCGCTGAAATTCCTTAAAAGCCCGAGTTTTTGTCGTTTGTCAAAAATAGTTCGTTTAGACTATTGAATTTGGAAAAACAGCGCGAAATCTGAAAGATAGGCCAGGATCACTTGCAGCCCCTTAGGGCGCTATCCTCTAGATCAATAACAAAGCTATAAAAAAGTTCCACCTACCTTTAGGTACTTTGGTCTGGATTCTGGAAAATTTTTCCTTTCAAGACATCAAAAAGTTTAATTTATAGGTCAAAAACGCAAATAATGATATCTTTACTTCGAATCAGACAATGCAAGATGTGTTCCCTAATTAAGAACCCCCCTTATTTTATATTTAAACGGTAAATCTTCATATAAAGACGGTCTGTTTCGCTAATATTTAAAAGCTGAGTGAACAAGATTTTTAATTTGAAAAATCTAGCAATCTCTATTAAGAATACAAGAACTGTTTAATTTAGAGTGCAAATCACAGAAGAAAAACACCAATCAATAACGGAAATTTCCTTCCAAGGCAATGAAAACTGTCGTTCACAGCAGATCGACATATTTTTTTATGTATAATGTAAAAGTTCATATAAAAACAGTCTACTTTGGGAAACCTAGATAATGTTGAGAAACTGGTTAAAAAGAACTTGTATCTTCCGAGACACTAATTTTACATTTATATTGCAAGAGTTCGCAAAAGCCGCATTGGCTCACGTGTAACCCAGATAGCACAAAATATTACATACATATTTAGGAAATATTTATATGTTTGTTAAATATTTCAGATCAAAAGCAAACACAGCAAGAAACAAATACAATAAAAATAGTTTTTTTTAGTACGTAATACTTTTTGTGTCTATATATAACACCACTAACACGCAAAAAGTTACTAATATATTATTTTAATTAAGTGGGATCAAACTTTAGAACATATTATATGAATTTTCATTGATCAATGAATAGCAAATATTTAAGAGCAAAAGAAAATATTTTTTAGGAAGATATTAATATCTGACTTGATTAATTATAAAGAAACAAAATTTCAAATTCTCTAAAACGCAATCCAGAATCCAAAAACTCCCTCGTCGCTCCACGTCGAATAAATAATAAAATACAAGTCAACATAATGGGACTACAGATCTACATCTACATGGCAACCAGGGGCAAAGTAATGCCAAACTTACCGAAAGCTGCATCGTGCCACCTGGAAAGAAAGAAAAACGTTTTTTAGTATAACCGAAGCTTTGGTCCAAAGCCCAAGGAAGGCCATTTGAAACCAGTAAAGGAATGAAAGGCAAATGTAAGAACGCATAAAACTTCAGTTCATTCTCGAAAAACTAAACTCAATTGAAGCAAAGTAATGTATAGGAAGAAATCCTTCTTACCAGCTTTCAGCAAGCTGGCGCTCCATCAATTTTGTAACCATTTATCCACAAAAAGGTGTGTCTTCTTAATGTTTAATTAAGTGTCTACACTTAATCACTCACTTAAGGTTCACACGAATTGAAAAACTCACTAAATCCCGTAGTAAACGGGGAGGATGATCTACCGAACCCATTTCATTGGCACGAAATCCCTCTATATATCCCGAAAAGACACCAAGGACCGACGACCTATTTCATTCGTTGCCCGTCAGACACTGAACAGTTAATCTGCTTATGGAAAAAACTCAAGCGATATGGAAGTTTTTCACACCGAACCACAGAACTACGATGATGATATAATTTTCTTGGTCGCCCTTTGTATGACTCATTGCTTTACTATTCGATTTCGTTTTTGGTTGTTTACAATACTGTAGAAAGTTCCAGTTTATATGGCTATATTTTCAAACGCAGGTGTCTCGTTCAAACGGATTTTGTAAATCGTCGTAAACAACCGCTTTCTCAGCCAAATATAAACAACTTCAATCATGGGGTGGAAGAGACTTTTTGATATAAAATTAAACGCTATTACCCGGCTTAGTTTTTTGATCGGTTTTTATAAAATTTTTAGTCCTGTTAGTTTCATATATTATGTAAAGTCTCCCTACATGGCAGATCCACATTAAAGCCATGCATTTTTTGTTGATGCTTCTCTTTGACCGCACCATTAAGAGCGACGGAATACAGAACTTGACTCACCCGAGCTCTCAGATTAAACTGTAGCTCAATTTTTAGGAAACTTTGAGTTCGAGCAGCTTGGGAACAGTTCGTTTAGGCTCAAATTGAAAGAAAACTCTAATTAGCAATTAAAAAGTTACCTTGACTCATCCATAACATCCCCAAAAAGGAGAATAGTCTAACTAACGTCCCTAAAAAAGAGAACAGCTTGATATGCTGTGCAAATGCTGTCTAAATGGCAATACCATATTCCATGATTTGAAAATACCTCTGTTTGCTTGCATCATTAAAAGCGACGGAACAGTATAAACCTTTAACCAAACAGTTAAACCAAAATTTAAGTTTTGCTTTAACTTTAAACTTTCTAATTTAGTTTAATTGCCAAATTAACAGGATATGTTAAATAAAACTTTATTTACGATTACTGTACAATCTTTACACCTTACTGATATCCGATATGCGATTGGTTGCTCAAATTTAAACAAATCCGATTTAAAAAATTAAAATTCATAAATGACCGAACTAGAGAAGATTCTCAAAAGCTGAAAAATTCATATTAAAAGCAGTAACAAAGTCAATCCAACCAAATTTACAGAATGTATTATAAAAAACCTTCTAAATGAGCGGCTGACATGCGCTAGGCGATATCTTGCCCAAATATGAAGAAATCCACTTTGAAAATTTAACGTGCGGAATGGCTAAACGATAGAAAAATTCATGATGTTATAACTCATCGGTTAATGAGTTATAAGTCATTTATTGAAGCTTTAGGAAACCCGAGACTGGAATTTTCGCATCTAAAAAAAGGTCATCAACATTTTTTCTGAGTAACATTTTACTACTTTGTTCAGGCAACTAAAAAATATCATCTAGATTGTTCCAGCAACAGAAAGAACTGAGTCCAAAGAAAGTCGACGAGTTTTCTTGTAAAATCGAACTCCTATTTTTTTGCATAAAAGATTCAGTTCTAGGATTTTACAGTAAAACGTTAGGAAAAACGCGGTTATTCTGTTTAGAGACAGTGTTGTTTAAAAGTATTGACCTAAAAGTGAAGAAACCCTAGTTTCTAAGAGTTTTCCAAATAAATGAGTCTAAACTTTCGCTTCTTCAGTGCGCAAAATATTTTTGGAAAAATTATCCAGAGATAATTATTAGGGTTTTGTCAATTAACGAAGCTGCAAAAAGTTTTCCAAAAATTTCTGCAAAGCGGTTAAGAAGGCGAGTGTTGCAATAACTAAAAAATAATGCGATTTTTGCGTCGAAAGAATTGCTTAATACAAAATTTAAAGGAACTTTAAAAATCCTCAAAGCGATGAGACAAACTTTTGCTCTGGTCGTTTTTTCAAGATATCCTAATTACGTTCGGTAAAAAACTGAATAAAATTATTTGGTTTTTGCCCCAATTCGATGCTGAAGAGGGTTTTCTAATGTTCCCTGCCAACCGATGAATGGGGCGAATTTTCTACCAAAATTAATTTTGTTATTTTTGACTGAAAACATCCTATTTTGTCAGAAAAGAAGAAAATAATGAGAAAATAATCTTTTTTGCATTTTCGATTAAAAACTGTTAGCTATGTGATCGGTTTTGGGGAAAACCTCAATAGTTTTCGGGGGAAAATGGGAGGAATTAATTTTCGTTTTTGGGCCGAATTCGACGCTGAAAAAAGATTTTGTAACATTTTTACAAAGTCATAAATTTATCTTTTAATTTTTCGCGTAAAAGACCTCCACATCGTTAGTATGTTTAAGTGAATGTACAAACAGACCGTTTTTGAGTAGTAGTAAAGCAAAAAAAAATCAGTCAAAGCTAAAAAACCACATTTTCTCAATGAACTCTTACAATCTTCAGAGGTATTAAGGTGAGAGACAAAAACGGTGCGGTGCGTTGTAGAAAAAAGTCTACAGACAATGAACTACTTTGGTTATTACCACTTTTTACAATTTTTTGAAATAAACGATCTGGGGAATGTGTCAACTTATGAGGAAAAACCCTGTACATGTTTGTAAGCTTCAGCCTTAACATCACTTCATAGCAAAAGTCGATTGGTGTCATGTCAGGTGATCTGGATGGCCATTCGATTGAACTATCGCGTCCAATCCAAGAATTTCTCTTATAATCATCTAAGTAATTTCTTGCATGGGGCTATGATGATGCATTGATATTACATAATCTTCCAACTGGTTTATTCAGAAACGTGTGATACAAGGTTTTGACCATTTAGCATTTTCTGAAAGTTTGGTGTAGGGCTTTTAGGATACCGTAAGATCAAAAAAAAGTTAGTTATCTTTATGAGAAACTCGGACTATCTGTATTTGTGCATTATTTGGAAGAAGGCACGCTTTGTTATTATACTACCAGATGAATGGTATTGTTGGACAGGTCTGATTTTTCAATATCTTTTACATACTTAGTACAGAGCTGTTCCAAAAGTGCCCCTGTTTTCATCTGGAAATGTCCATATCTGATAAACTATCAACCGCAGACTCAGAATTATCCAAATTCAATTTCAACTTACCATCAGTTGTAAGAGAATCAGTTGCGACACATTGATACAGGGTGTTTTATTTAAAAAACACAAGTTTGTAACTGTGTAACGAAAATAATTTAATGATTGGTGGCCATAAAGCAAAATGTTGAGGGACTTTTTGCAGTTAACTCATATTCATGAAACTCAAGCGGCGTAAATCAACCCTGTAGAATAATCGAAACAGTTTGGATTACAGAACCGGAAACAACCCTGGTCCTGAAGATGTCGCTACCCCAGTAAAACGAGCGCTGAGCGCCGCGATTGTGACCTACATCCACAGTGTGACAGCGACGTCCCGACGCTCGACGTCTCCGTTTTGAAAAACGCGGTTATATCGCGCCTTCGTCCCGCATCGATCCGCGAACTAAATAGTTGCAATTTATATTTGATTGTGTTTTATGTGAATAAATTAGGAAGAACAGTTTCCTTCTCAATTTTATTTGTGGTTTGAAGTGTAGCTATGGCTTGTCTGAACTCGATCAAGACAGGGATTAAAAAATCTCATTGATTTTGCTCTATGATTACATCAATTTGGTTGCGAATTATTTATCAAGAGTACGACAACATACAGGTCAGTAAAGAGATGGATATATGGAGAGGATCAAATTATATTCGTTATAAATAAGCGTATCATTGACAATAAGGGTGTAGCTGGAACAATGAATTACCGATCCGATTGGAAACTTCTTTTCAAGGCTATTACCTGTGAAAGTCAGTGTTTTTGCATGTAACTCTTTCGATATTCAGCCCAATCTATAAAGCATTTGGCTGGAAACGCGCTCATAAAATATGGGCTTTTATATAAACTTATTGTCTTTGTGATTTCATGTAGGTAAACAGACTTTTTTTAAATTACGAACAAGTAGTTATCTAGGGAAGCAACTTTTATGTGGATGTGGAAAGTGTTTGAATTGTTTTTAGTTCTCCTCAGATTAAACGATTTTTCCGCCCAGAGACGAGTCATCTTGTCTAAGGTTTTTACGAAGAAAACAAGTATTGCATAGTCATTCTCCGAAGTTTTGATAACTTCACTTTTGTTAGAGTTAAGTTTAACAAAAAATGAGGCTCATCAATCACTAACTGGCGTTACGTGACTGCTGGAGAACTCTATCATTCCATTTTTGATTGATTCACTAACTTGATTCTAATATTTGTCTATATACCTAAAATTCTCCTTTGTTTGCTTTTCATTAGCTTAGCATTTGCCTGAGCACAGAAGAATAATGAATAATTCAAAGTAATGAGACAGATGTTCACCATTTTACCATAGAAATCATTTTTTATCAGTAAAATTGTATTGCAGTTCTATTCCGACTTCTCTCAGTGTGCAAACTGGGGCAAATATGTGCTACCGGTAAACCAGACCTGTAGTTTAGTAGCTTCAATGAAATAACTAGTTAGTTTTGAGTAATGCTAATCGTAGACAATTTCGAGTTCTACCAAAGAGTATAAGAATGCATAAGATGAACAGTTAAATTTAGTAAAAAATGGAAAACAACACGGAAATATTGGCTCATTAACTTTTTTACGAAACTTTACTGACATTGAGTCAGAGGCTTAAAATTGAAAATACCCAACGAAATCCAGGTCAACACCCATTTTAAGGTAGTAACCTAATCTTAGGATTTCGGAACAAAATCAAATTAAGAGTAATTACTGACTGTATTTTCAAATGGGAGCCAAATATTTTACATGCAACAAAGATACATTTACACAAAAACATAAATTCGGATTAGTTGCTTTCATTGGAAATTTATAGTTTTTTTATGTACTAAAAATACCTCCTTAATCGAATTTTCCATGTGATTTATAATTCGAATATTGCAGGAATTCGCCTCATTTCAACGTAAGTAAATTAAGAAGAACTTGAGTTAAATCCAGTCGGATAACAAAACTGAAAGTGTGAGAACTTGGAAGATTTTTTTCTGTCATTGAAAACTTTTTATGTTAAAATGTAGTGTGTTTCCTTAAATATCGTATATTGGAAAATGGTAAAAGAATTTTTCATAGGTTCCCTAGTGCATTGATCTCAAAATGCTCTCGAAATTACAGCATAAACGTTTAAAAACATTAGTTGAAAAACCTCAATTAAGCGTAAATCATGAAATGTTTCCTTCCGTATAAAGCTGTAGGTACTTTGTGCCCCTCCTGAGCGAGTATCCCCTAAGACACAGTAAAAAATCAATTGCTTTTTCGTGTGTTTTGAAGTGTGTAAGTTTAATCAATACGCAGTGTTTCTGGCTCGGTCTGGCATTTCCGCATAGAAACACTGAACGGGAAAAATTAATTAAAATTCGTTGTTATTCACAGTTAATTATTAGATGAAGTAATTTTTTCGTATTATTGATGATTTAGCTGTGAGTAACGTGGGTCTTCTAAAGAAGTTAAGTGTTCCCGTATTCATGTCATTTCTTTTAATTAGCCCTTATTTAAGTTTGCATTAATATATTTAAAAAGCCGCTTGGAAATATACTCAAAAATATCTAAAAAACTGTAATGGTGATTTTTCAAAAACTTAGTTTCGTGTAAAAACTGTAGGTACATCAGGCCATCAGGGAGCGTAATTTGATTTAAGCATTCCAGTTGCATTAAAAGGAAATTTTCAAAGTTATAACGGTATTAAAGGGTGTATCATAACTTTCACCATACTTAATATTTCAATCGAACTGTTAATTTATTGAAGCGGTGGAAGCATTTTAATGCTAAAATAAATATTTGGCCATTATGTATGGAATCCAATATCCTTTCTTTTTGGTGCGGTTTTGTAAAGATTCCGTTTATGTTAACCAACCCGCCACAATTCTCGAACCGAAGCTAGATATTCGGTGAGTTATTGGCAAATTTGATTTAGAAAGAATTATATTAAGGTCGTGGTCACTTGATTTCATAATAATTCCCAGTCCTAACATTTTGGGTTATCGATGGATTTATCAGTCGGCTCCCATCACCAATTCATCTTCGTAGTTGCCAGAATTCTCAGTTCTGGTGCGTCAGCTCAGATCATGCTTTTTAAGTCGCCCCTTAGGAAGAAGTCTAACCGAGTTAAGTCTGGAGATTTAGCCGGCCATAGAGCCCCTACACTCAATACATTCTTGGGAAAAATATAGTATTCAGCGTTGCACAGACATTCTTTTTGTTTTAAATTATACATTTTTTACTGACTTAATTGTTGTTTTGCGTTGTAAAGCAATTGATAAACCAAGAGGTTAAAATTTACCAAGTGACTAAAGCCTTACTATCTAAATTTCCTGAAATTAAGAGGCCAAGGTTTAGAACGACATTTAAAATCTCATTTGGGTGGTTGATGAGTCGTGTTTTTTGCACTTGACACATCTAACATTTTTCCGAGTCTTGGCACCAATATCTATTTTCGTTGCAGTATTTAAGTGGGGAAAATTAAACCTGTTGATGTTTTACTAGATAGATGCTTCCTTGGCACTTTCAATACGACTACTGAGCTTGGAATAGCAACCTTATCACCATAGTAAACCCACGCAAATAAATCCTACAGGCAGATGAGCAATAACATTATAGTTATTACTAGGCACGACTAATTAATGAAAATAGTCTTATTGGAATGTTTGATCCAGAACTTGCGAAAGGGAAACGTGAATCTACTGTTAATTATGACCGACGATTGTCTCATAGGAATTTGAACTAAAGCCAACTACACAATTCATTTTTGTACCATTTGATGTGATGTAGATGCTATAAAATTTCATAGGGACTTTGAATGATGTCTTGCTTTTGCAAATAAATAAAATATATATTTCTTTAATGTATGGTGTCGTTAACTGGTAGTGCAAGGCGAACAGAGCACATGCAATGCCAAGATTAATAATAGAATAAGATGCATCAAGATATTTACAACATTATAAAACAACAAATAAAACTGACCTGATAAATAAAAATTCTGGATGAAAAGCTTGGATGAATTTGCTGTTATTTTGTTATCGAAAATAAGCTAATTGCACAGGATGGATTGACTTTGATTCGCGCGAACTTGGGCATATTCTCCAAAAGACTAGCTGAGGTATCAGCCCTTAAAATTGCATATCCTTAACAAATACGTATTTATATGTAATCCATAATATTCGTTAAGTGGATAAAGAATGAATTAACATTCACACGTTTAATAAACCTTTCTTGAAAGTCAACACATTTTGGAAAACTAGCCAGGAACCATACTAGGAACTCTTATGAATTTTGACCAAGTTGAGTTTTTTTGAGGGTCTGAGGCATCCTTACACAACGCAAAGTGCTCCTTAGTATTTTCTTTGAAGTCAACTGTTTTTGAGTTATGTGAAATTTTGATTCTTCCTCATGTGATCATCTGAAACTGACAGATTCTTCCGAATGTTTTGGGGTAAGGGAGCAGTCCTTGTAAATTTTCAATTGGGGATGAATAATGTATGTATTTATTTATTAAAGTGCTGTTTTAGGGACTGTGATGTGCAATCCCTAAAGCTACGATAAAAATATATTTTTTTGTCTAAAATATTGTTTATCAGGTTTTTTTCAATTACTCGATAATGGCTACAAATACGATACATAGTCAAAAGACAAAAAACTTCTAAACTAAACGTAACCAAATCTTTCCAAATGAGTGGTTTATGAGCGTACCACAACTTTTTTGAAGCCCAAAAGTGGGTCTTACATTTGAAAACAAAGTCTCCCTGAGCATTGCGTTATACCCGATGCTACATCCTTGTAACCAGGAAAAAAATGTTAATAAATGATCAGAAAAACTATGCGAACTGTGTGGAACAGGCAAAAAATTTTAATTTTAAACCGAAAGCTTTAACACTTTCTAATGCTTGACAAGAGGAGCCCTACTAATACAAACCAACCCAATACATTTTTGTATTATACTGAAAATAATCACATTATAATATTGAGTTACTATTTAAATAGAAGGAAAATAATAAAAAAAAACCTAATATTAGATCATATTATGTTATAGAGCTTATTCAGGATAAACTTCGATACAATGGAGATTTCCATACTCTTAGCGATGAGTAGAAAACAGCCCAAGTTGCTAAAGAACCGCCAACTGCAAACTTCCAAAAAACAGGACAAAAAGAAACCTTTGTCCATTTTTGCCTAATGCCAATATCAGAAATCTTGAATTTTTCTCTGATTTAACCACATCTTTATTTTTTAGGACGCAATCTACAAGCAATGAAAATATGGATTTTCTCTCTAGTCAATGTTTGTCTATCTGATTTTATGAATTAATATCTGTAAAATATATCTTACTATACACTTATATTGCAGTTGCTACCTAATTTTACGTTGTTAATTAATTTAAATATAAATTGTATTAAACAAACTCTTGCAAGTTCTCAATTTTTTAGGTATAGGTATAATATTTTGCGTTATTCGGCCTTAAGTTTTCAACCATTTGATCAAAGTGAAAATATTTGGCTGTATTGTCCCATTTTTATTCAGGCAATTTCAAGGAATATCATTGGCTTAAAATTGATCACTGGAAGATTTCAAACATTAAAGCTTTAGTATGTTTACAATCGATGAAATTCGACATTATGTTTATCCATTCTGAACTGAATGCTAAATATTGGCCGTTGCAGTTTAGAGAACTTCGATCTTTAAATATCCAATTTGGAAATACGATTAAATTTAAATTACGGATATCTAAATTAATTTTTATTTATTAGTTTACTAGGGTGGCTACCGTAGGTTTTTTAGAAGTGTTGATTGAATTGAAAGTTATTGGGGAACAATGGACTTTTTATAAACACATCGTTTCGAGTTTTCTAAACAAAGATCCATTGCCTCGAAGAAACGTGCTGTTATTTATTAGTCAATTGTTTTTTTGGTTTTAAGTTAATTACCCCAAGTTTACATTCCTTTCCACACAAACTAAGCAACTACTTACACCTGATACACAACAGTTTAACTCGAATTAATAAAACTAATGCCTTTAGCTTAATCACGATGTATTTTTCTCAATAAAATTGTTTATTATCACCGCCGGAATTTATACAGTGTAAAACACATAGCCTCTAAACAACTTTTGCGCTTAACATAATAAAACAGCGTTTAACCCGTCACATTTTATTTATTCAAATTGGTACACGTAGCTACCCACGACTTCACAAAATAAATGTCGATTGCCATTCAGATAATTTGGAGCAACATTTTTTTTTAGTAAACATCGGATCAAAGGTAGCAGCAGGCAAACAGTCTTTAATGTAGACTGTGAAGCTTTTAGCAGAAACATGTTAAATGTAATCGAAATGGGCATTAATTGATTGCATTTGTATTTTTTTATTGACAGCATCGGGAAAATGAGAGATTTGATTAATATTTCCATTTCATTATGAAATGGAAATTATCAAGGTTTTGAGTTGGAAACACAAATGTGGGCTAATGCGACTATCAAACTCAATCTAACTCTAATGGGTTATTGCGAAAGCAGTATTTTAAAAGAAGTTTTTCGTTTGGTGATTGTGAATAATGCGAGAATGTTTTCAATATATAAACTCAATAAATAATGGACTTACAAAGCATAAAATATGTATACACAGTTTCGTATTACGGTACACAATTTTGTATTGACATACTTTTGATGAAACTGCTCTGTTGGAATAATATCTGAAAAGCCCTGGCAAATCCCAGTTGATATCCAATCAATTTCAAAGATAATAATAACATTTTCATCGAGTTTCAGTTACGTGCTCCAGAAAGCGCTGCTCTACATTAAATTGGGGAAGAGTCAAAGTTAGCAGGACCGCAAGGAAATTAGTTTTCGATAAATTTAAGCTTGCACCAAAGGCAAAGCCTCTAACATTCTTAAATCATTATTCACGCTCGCTTTGCTTTGAGTACGAAACAGGTGATATTTTATTAATTTAGTAAATCGGGTGAATTATGATCGATCCTGCTAACATTCTGAATTTGAATCGCTAGTAGTAATAAAACGTGAAAACGGAAGTTTGAAGACAAGTAACAGATAGATGTTATAAGCATATTTTGATTGTTCCTCAATTCGAACTGTGATGTCCAAATCAAATGTGAAGAAGCTAAAATTAAATTTTCTTTGGAGGCCAATGCAGGAAGGGGCAATATGGAGAAGGTGTCGGAATGTAATGGTCCAGTAAGGAATAAGAGGAAAGAAGACAATTATGCGTTGTTTTCGTTTGATGCACTTACAACAGTTGAAGTGATCTATTTTGGAAATGAATAATGCTTAATCGCGTCACGTCGAGAGTCATCTCGATTATTTTAAGAATATTCTCATCTAGGTGCAAATGACAATAGCTGAGGCTGTACCAACTAACCTTTATGATATGAATATTAAAAATGAGATTGCAAATAATTTTTCGGAAATAGCATCTTGACAGTGGCTCGATTGGCAAATTTCCACGGTGTGCTTCTAAGCAGCGCGTCGAATTTAAATAACTTGATGTCGTCATCACGGTCATAAATGTGGTGACATCATATAGTTTTGTTATTTTATTTTCGAATTTGGCGGTCAACGACGTGCTCTTAACAGCCCGAATTTGAATTGCTGAATTTTTTTGCTCTCAACATTGACTAATAGTTACTGGCAGGGATGAAATCCAAACATTAAGTGAAGAAGTCTCAGAACAGAACTTAATTGGATTTCGATTTGGGGCCACTTAAATAGTTGCTGTAGTTATAAAGTTGGATATTTGGTAACTATAAACAGTGTGCATTTTTATAGAAAGTTTATACAATTTAATCCAGATAAAGTGATTTAGAAGTGAAACTTCCAAGTCCAAGAAAAAGTTATTAATTGCCGCATCAGCAGTTACTAAATAGAAATTCTTACATATTTAGTGTTAACTGTGAAAAAAAAATGGACTGCGTTCGAATGAAAGTGCATTTTAGGTCAGGAAATAATTTATGAAATGTCCGGCTTAGTTAATAATATAAAACAACTTATTTTTTGTTTAATTAATATCATATCTATTTCTTTTCAACCAAATCAGACAAATACTAGCAAGTCTAAGGTTATTGCTTATAATTAAAAAGTATCACTGTTTAATTGCGGTTTGGTTTAAGAAGAAAAGTTGTATCGAAAAAATGTATAACACTAGTGAAAGCGCTCATACGGAAGCATCGCAGTTAATATATTTTTCAATACGATAGTTAATTTTTAAGATAATTATTTTTATATTTACAACATACATTTTACAACAATTCCTAATAATTATGAATTTTCTTTTTTTAATCTATACAGGAAATATTCCAGTTTAAGAATACTACTCTTTTTAAACTTCTCTGAGTAGAAGAACATTCATATTTTCAGAAATAGCTATCGAATAAATTTGCAACTTCTGACGTTTTTAGAAGGCATTTTGACCAGGAAAAAAACTGTTGAATGCTGAAAATTCAATTGGGTCGATTCTTCAAAAGCAATAGACATTGGTGTAAAATGAGCTGATAATGAAATAAAACTGAACGTGAAGCACCTCTTATTCACAGAAAGCAGACTGAGGAAGAAAATGGTTCTAATTTACAACTTTGCCTTGCATCAATTGCTTCGATTTAACTTTAGAAGTGGTGTTGGTTTAAATTTTTTAATCTCTCTCTTTTTTGGGAACCCACTAGACATTTTGCGTTTATTGCCGATCAATTCTAGTTTTCTTGATGACAACCTTTCCATTTCATATATATTTAGATCTCGTGAATTAAAAATATAAGTGTACAGTGAATAATAAGAAACAAACTTTTTCAAGTTTCCAATTCCAGGGTGTTTGCCGAAATGTCTAAGAAATTTAATTTTTATTTGGCGTATAATTTTAAAAGCTAATATTCTAATCAGCTAGAATACCATAATCAAAATATCCATATTATAAGAATGATAATTAAAAAAAAACCATTTGGTCTATTTTTCAGCTAAATAAAATTGTTAGATACTATGCAAATTCCAATAACTGCAGATTTGGCAATGTATCTAACTTTACGATCAGTAAATTTCATCCTGTGCTTTATTAAGTATATGAAAAGTTTGTTGGATTTATCCTTCTGCTTGCTACAGATATAGAGAATCTTTAAGACCCGACTCCCAAATGGCATCAATCATTTATTGACAATAAAAACTCCATATCATATTTCAAGTAGCGAGAAAGAAACTTCTGCTATCGAGCCAGGGTTATTAATCATACACGAGCTCTCGGGTAATTACTAAATATGAAATGGTTTCTTGACGGTTTCATAAAAAATACATAAATTTCGTATCAATAACATTAGGCTTGCGTGTACACCAGGTAAAAGTTCTTGCAGAATTTATGAATCAACAAATATCTTAGCTGGTATTATAGAATGCATGACGAAGCCTAAATTATATCGTCGCAACTTTTCCATGTTTCCTACTGGTTTTTCGTTGAACATAAATGGTTAGCAACAATAACGGCGGTTTTATGTAGCAAATAAACACGACATCCGTTGGTTGTTGCTTTATCAGTTATGTATATTAAGTGTATAAATATTTAACAGCAGGGTGCATGTGAATATTTTTAATAAATCATTCAATTTTAGCCACATTAATATTATTCAAATTTCCATGGCGTTTTTTAGTTTTTAAACCACATGGAAAATTGAATGCATTTTAAATTACTTAAGTGTTTCTACATCAGATTTTCCATCAATACACCATATGTCTACTATTCTGCAACGTGCTGAACTGTACTGTTTTCTAATCCCATTAAACACTTGACTGTTTTTCTAAAAATGTAATATGTGTACGTAAACAGCAGACAATTCGCATTGTTTGACTTGGGTAGTTGGTGGAATCGGCAACTTAATATTGATTGCATTTGGCTTTTATGTAAACTGTGCATTCGATTAGTTTGCACGTTATTTATAGACTTCTTATGTACTAAATAAACCTTCCTGAATAATCAACATGGTGTTCGATCAGAGGCCTATATAAGACCACCGTAATTTCAAACAAATTATGTAGCAACGACCAGATCTCGTTAATATACCTTATAAATTACTTTTTGGACTTTCAACTTTTAATTAACTTTTCACAAACATACATGATCAATATGCAGAATCTGTTACTTCTGGAATTCTCATAAAGAAACTTTTATAAGAACTTATGTTGGGAACGACTTGAGTGTTTTGTTAAAGCGTTAAATGATTTGTTGTTTGTGTTTGGGTTAGTTTGGGTTAGTCAAGTCAGCCACTAGGGTGATATCCTGATGCAGAGATAGCGGAAAAATTAATCGTTTTTTTGTCTTAGAATCTTTACTGCATAATTTTTTACTTTTGGAAAAAAATCGAAATTCGCTTCTTCATAACGACTGGGACATCTTTACAACGGTTCATACCAAATTGTCTTTTACTTTCAATAAGGAATAACTGCTCGAAGTTGTTCGCTTTAGTTTTGAAGCCCTGTATAAAGAACACGCATTTCCTAGTTTCAGAAACAATCACTGTTTTATTTCACTACTTATATAACTTTTCTAATTAACATGTGCTTAAACACCTTTTGGAAATAATTTGAATACATTTGCTATTACGCCGCCCATGCTTCGGCCCATTTGCAAAAAGAATTCCCGCTTATCACCTTTTTATGCTGTTTGAATTAGCATTCTAATAAACCAACTAGTTGCTGTTTTCGACTCTTTTTTGGACGAAACAGCCATATAAAACTAGTCAGTATACTTGTATTTTAATTGCGATAGGCAATTCCATCCATAAGAAAATACCAATAGAGCATTAAATTATAAAAAATTACAACATACTTTCGCTGCATTGTCACATAACAGATTTAAATATCACTGCAGCCTTAACCCATTCTCCTCGTCATTTAAAGCGGGACTTGAAAAGTTCTCTAAATTCATTGTTCTTGAAAAAGAAAAAGTTGTAACTACTACAACTTTAAGATTTATATTTCTTTAGTTTCGATGCCGGACTTTTCGCTTGTTTTAATCTTGTTCAATTGCCTTTTGTAAGTGAATTTCGATTCATTTATCTTTTTAAGCGCCGTGCCTCTGGTAGACTTGGCGTCTCCTACTTTTATGTATTCTTAGCAAACCTTTTGCTGGCGTTAGCATTTAAATCGGTATTTGAGGCCATTTCTCCCGCTTTTAGTCGCATACGGTATTTGTTTCGTTTTTATTCTTTTGCAATTCCAAAGTCTGCACATTTGGAATTCTTAACATTACTAAGATAAACGCGACTGAACTATATAAGTAGATGTCTAAACATTTGCAAAGGTAAAAAGGATTCTAATCAGAGATATTTCAGAAGTTTTCATAAGGAAACAGCAGGAAAATGTTGAGTGTTGTTTTTGAGAAACAAGTTTCTTCAGTTAGAACTTTCGTAAGTTGTACTTTTGACTTCAATAAGGTGGTATATGTTACTTCAAATTAGAAATAATTGTGGATATTTGGCTTCTATATAGATGCCTCTTGGGAAGTTAGCTCATGTCTAAACCAACCCTCTGAGAATATTTATCTGTGAAAGTAATGACTAGATAGACTAGATGAGAAATCGATGAAATCGTAATCAAATTGAATTGAGGAAACAAATTATTTGCGAATACATAATGATTTACGTTGCTAATGTATTGCAAGCTTGCATCTTTTGTATTGTTATTATATTATATATTTTATACATACTTACAATGTAGTGTCCCAAAAAACAAGTTACAAATTTACAAAAAGGATTTTCGAAGAATTGTTTTGGATCATAAAATTGTCTGCTCATTTTGAATCAACCTGCGACCTTCACTTCTTTAATTGTAAATAATTTCGTGTATGCAGCTAAATAATTAACATCTATTTTGTATAAATATGTATTTATAAATAGAGTTTTATTTAGTCTAACTAAGATTTAGCCTAATAAATAAAATGTTTGTGATGAATGTAAAAAATGAAGAAGACAAGAAAAAATATAGAAATGAGAAATACCATAAAATATATACATAATAAATAGTATAAAATAATAAAATAGTTAATGAGCTAAATTTTCATTCATTCCTTCCAGTATTACAAAAAGTGAATATTGGAAATATCTTAACAAAATTTGCATCTGTACACAATAGAATATACAATACAATAATAGCAATGGCTACAAATTTTGTGGAAAATGTATCGCAGTATTTGTTGTAAATCTAAGAAACATTTTCTTTGTGGTGAAAAAAAAAATTCCAATCTGGTTAGATTGGAATTTTTTGGAATCAGCATGCAGTTGCGAAGACTCAGTCTTATGGCTTATTAATAATTATAAAGAATGCAATAAAGCAGTGTTCTAAAACAATTCTTACAGAATTATGTAATATGTTTCCAAGAATGTAATTTTACTATGTACAATGTAATTAACAGCTAGCTTATATTCTGTACATAAAAATCAGGATTATTGCTTTATCCAGTACATTACATACAGAATAAATAAAAATACCACAATTCGAAGAAGTAAAATTCGAAAAGTTTTACTAATGTACCGAAAATACTCATTTGTACATGTTGAATTTAAGCCAAATAGATTGAGGTAGATAATCATATTTTTTTAAGTGACAAAGAATTTAACACCATTGAATGTGTCTACAAATCTCGATCAATTCTCATTAATTTTAATAAAACAAATGTATTTATCAATTAATTAATTAAAATTAAATTAAATAATTTTTCAATTGCTAGTTCTGTAAGTGGATTGTCGAAAGCCCCAAACTTGTAAATTTTGGCTTTTGTAGACCCTCTTTATGTTGAGATAATGTTGTTTAAACAGAGTCGAAATTATTATTTTTAATAATCTGGTTTCGCTTTCGAATATAAATCAAAAATTCGCTTTTCGAAGGGAATAATTCGAGCGTAATTTTAATAGTCTGATGAATGAAAAAGATAGCAGCTTTTTCTGGCGGTTTAAAATTGATCGCAGAGTACGAAAGAAAGAATTGCAATGAAGCGTTTTGCATTCAGACTTGAAACATTCCCAGTCAATTGGATAATTTCAATTGGCTTTACTCTGGCTATTTCACTGGAACTTACAAAATTATTTTTCAAATGTGAAAGGTTGCACATTCCATGGATTGAAGTTCCAATTCGGATATTTTACATTTTACACACTAAATAATAATTTAAAGTTAATTCACTTTTTCTTTGAGTTTAAAACGTAGAAACTCAATTTAATAAAAAAACCTATTTTTTATTCCGTTGGAGTAAGTCCCAGTTAGCTACTTGCCAAATTTGGTCTCTTTTTGTAACACTTAAGAGAGGTCACATTGCAGGCCTTTCAATTCATGTTTTCCGAAGAAAACATCTTTCCAATAAGCCTCTAAATCTATAAGATACGCGTCATATGTCATCAAACGCTTTTTAAGATCGATTACCTAAGGGAGCGTCTGAGATCAAAATTAGATATATGAGCCAGGTGGAACTTGGATCTAGAACAGGGCATAAAAGTAACGATCACTTCTGAAGACGTGAAATTATCACTGCTTCTGAAAAGAAGCTACCAAACTTATTGCTGTAATATTCAGCAATTTCGTAGAGTTTGATTTTGAATTAATTATTGCGTCTTGGAAGACATACGAGCGACCTAGAAATAATTGTTGAAACAAAATGAGTTTTATCATAGCTCTGGGATGTAGAAGCCCTGATGAAAAAGGTAAATATCGRTAGAAAGTTGTTGAGCCACTGAAATTTTAATTTGATGTTTTTACTACCTACMACGATCCTCACGGAAAGTATTCAGAACACATGCCTCGAAGTGGTCCTAAATATAAGTTTAACCCAGAGGTAGTGAATGCTCAACCTTGYCTTGAACACGCTTTCAGTAGGTTGTCTCTGAACTGAACAGGAGGATTGGCTTCGGATGGACTGGCATTTGAACAATCATTATGATAAAAATCATCRTCATCATCATCACAGAGCCATTTGCGCCCACTGTGGACACAGGCATCTCTTAGTGTATGTCCCTCTGCACGGTCTTGTGTTCCTTGCACCAACTTACCAAGGAATCTTTTGAAATCATCCGTCTACTTTGTTGATGACCTGCCTCTCCTTTAGAAGAGATTTTTTTTAGTCTTGTCTTCATGTCTGAAGAGTTGTGACGCCAAGGTTATTTAGTTGTTTTCTGATAAAGCCTGCCTATTCCGGAGGGATTTGGGGTTCCAGGTATGTTTGTAATCTTGGGTCCATTATTCTCAGGATAATTTTACTCGAATATGGTACTTAGGAAAACATGTGGTAGTTTTGGCACTTCATTGTAGTTCCCTTTTTGTGAATCGGGATAGAGGCTGATCTAGACCAGTCATCCGGCCATCGTCCGGTGCGCCAGATTTTATTGCATTTGTCGTGCAGGATGTTAACACTTACATCTACCTGCAGCTGCTGCTTTTATCCCAGTAATGCTTAGATATATTGCGGTCTCTTTGATCTTACAGATAAGGATATCGGTCTCTGAATCTGTTACCGGTTCGTCTTCGTTTGGTTGTTCCTACGTAATGTCTGTTTCTTCCTTGTGCAGCTCTTCACAGTGCTGTTTCCATCGGTCAAGCACTTTCTCGTCTTCTCACACGGTGCTTCCGTCCCTTCCATCTTCAATTTTAAGTGTTTTTGGTTTGAATTTTCGTGTTAGTTCTTTCACTTTTTTATGTAGGTGACGAGTGTTATTAGCAGTTTGGTGTTCCTCTATTTCATTGCATATTTTCTGGATGTGGTGGTTTTAATCCTGTTTTAAGCCTCTGAATCTCTTTGTTCAGCAGCCTGTGCTGGTCTTTGCTTGTTTGCGTGGTAAGACCTTTCATTTTTAGTTTTTTGCTTTTGTTTCAGCCTCGAGAGTTCTTTGTGTTATGCAATGTTTTTTCGGGTTAGTGAAATTTTGCGTTAGTCGAAGATTTATTGCTGTTTCTTCTGTGCAATTTACAGTGATAAAACTAAAAACAACAACTTGTAGATAAGTTCTATATTGTTGAGGCGGAGTCATTTTTTACAAACTTCTTGTTGGGTATTTCGCCTCAAAAATGTTTGTCTTTAAAAAAGACAGAATTTCCCCACGTCTTCTATTACAGATTGATAAATAGTGCTCCTATTTCGCAATAAGAACGAATTATTTATCAAAAAGTAATCAAGAACTATCACCTAGAGGGTATCCTGCGACACACTTAGGCTCAAGCTCAAATTAATAATAATTAACTTAATCAATGAGATTAAGTCAAAGTCACATAACTGACAATTTGCACAGACGAATTATCAGAGCGAATTTTCATATACTGTATTATCCTACTATTGTTGCACAAATTATGAACATGCTCTTTTTTAGGTTCATTTAGGTTCTTTTGATAATGATAGCAGAAAATAGCTATCGAAACGTCAAGGTAATTTTTCAAATTAATTTATTTATTAATTGGAATTTTCTCTTACAGCTTGAGTCTAAGTGTGTCGCAGGATACCCTCTAGGTGATAGTTCTTGATTACTTTTTGATAAATAATCCGTTCTTATTGCGAAATAGGAGCACTATTTATCAATCTGTAATAGAAGACGTGACGAAATTCTGTCTTTTTTAAAGACAAACATTTTTGAGGCGAAATACCTAACAAGAAGTTTGTAAAAAAATATAAAAACAACAACATACAATCCTGACTAACTCAAACTTCCAAGGAGATGCACGCACATTGTTCGCATTAATGAATATTTATTAAGTATGAAATTTAGTTTTATTTAGTGTACTACATATTTAGTGTAATAAAAGTTGAGTAAGCAAGCAGATTTGGCTCCCAATTTTTTTTAAGTTGTTGTAATATTCATATTTGGCTCTTTGGCTAATAGGTTTGCCGACCACAAGAAGCGACATGTATTTACGTAATGTGAATTAGACAGATTACGTTGAAAAACATTGTTGCCGATCTTCTGATCTACCTTTTTGCACTTGTCTCAGTTTTTGGTAGGAATTACAATTAGAAAACCTAAATAGCCCCACTGAAATAACGCCAACTTTGAATCGCACTGTATTGTTGGAAAAAATCGCTTTTAATTTATTCCATGTCCTTAATTTGCAGACTTGGTTTTTTTATAGTTTTATGGTAAAACCATTAAGAAAATTTATGTATATTTGAGCACAGTTTCATTGTTCCAGATAAGAATGGCGCTAAGGCACGGCAGCGTTGGAATGGCTAGCGTGACCAGCAGCGAGCTATGGTTACGGCACGGCTAGCCTGGGGCATTCGTCCCCATCGATGATGGGCGACCGCGACGGCGGAAGCGGCGAAGCGGATGGGGGGCCCGCCGCCATCGCCGCCGTGCGTTGGGACGAACCGGCGGCCCCCCTAGTTATTCCCGGATCCCCGCCACTGGACCTTGGGGTCTTAGGGGCGTCGACACATCAGTCTTATGAGCCGCCGCCGCTGCCCCTACCCCTACAGCGACCGTACTCGAGGAGCATGTCATCGTTACCGCCGGAAACGTTTATGATCATGCGCTCAAAGGTAACATTTTCATGATCAATGTTCATGCTTAAGTAAAGMCACAACACCACTCGAAATATGTAACAATCATCATCGCTCAACTSACTCKAGTCCATTGCTGGACATCTCTCCTGCGAAGGGATTGRTGACTAAGGTGCTCCTGTAGCMGTAYTTAMWKTKTTATRCCACTCTATTCTATTCTGGGCCATATTTAGAGTCATCCGTTCATGCAGCCGCAGAGACAAGGGAGAATCTCGCTTCTCCCTGTGGGTCCACCGATCTCTTGGGTGACCGTGCGAATGCTTTCCTTCCCCTTGTAGTATATATATATATATATACAGGTTTATTCACGCTATACGGCACGGCTATACGGACGTTTGCGGATAGCCCGTTTGTTTTTTGCAAAGTATTATTTGATGAATCCACAGACGCCTATCGGGTGCACATTTTAAAAATATTTTTGTAATGTGCAGAGTGTCCCAAAAGCCCTAAAAGTATCAAGGTTGTGTTTTTATAAATGAAATACCCTATATATTACCGCATTTTTGGATTCTCTGAGCAAAATAAGTGTTTGTTTTAATAAGATTTATAATGTCTAAATCTAAAGGTTTTTTAAATAATTCGAATTTTATCAAAAT